AGATAGGATTCGATCAGAGGCAGCGCAATTGGTTCAGATTGTTCAAAGGCGGTTTCGTCCAAAGGCGGGAATGCTAGCTCCAGGTGCGTCTTATTAGATGTGGAGTTGACGTTGTCAAAGTTGCTGAGGTCAGGCTGGTTGTAAACACTGTGGGATCTGCTCGATGACTTGGTAGGCGGTATTTGGATCTGGGGCTGTGTGGCTGTTTGAGGTGAAGGCAAAGGATCGCTGGCGACGCTGTTTCCCGGTTGTGTTGGAGCGCTGGTAAAGAGTCAGCAATAGAACACCTTATAATTTTTCTCCCGAGGCGAATCCTCATTTCCTACTACAACTCACTTAAATGTTTGAGGAAGGCCCTTGGTTTCTGAGACCGCTCGGGGCGGTTGAGGTTGAGGCTCTTGCACTTCTGGCTGATCCTCGACGAGAGAGAAATTGACGTAGTGATATTTTGATTCGCCTCGGACGCCAAGACGACGAGTCTTGAGGCCAGGAAAAAGAACTCTTACTAGCTTTCCAAAACTGGCTGGGTTCAATACCGTGATCCTTTCAGTAGCACATCGCGAAGCGTAGTTGGCATAGACCCGGCCACGAGGGACAGAGCCTTTTCCCTTGGAGCAGACTGAATTGATCCTGGAGGCGAAAGAAAGGCAAAAATTAGCAAAACGTTACAATAATCATCAAGGTATCGGACGGCGCATACCATAACATGGCAAAAACCTGCCGGGTGCGTTCTGAATTAGGGCCCCGCTCATTCCCATGTAGCTCGCGTGCCACCTCTTGCAGATTGCGATGGCGGTTTCCATTGAAAAGATGCCGCATTTCCAATTCATTGTTGGCGCTAGATCTGGTGCCTGCCTTCATGGTGCCTGCAGTTCCGTTCATGGAGTCGCCGTCCTCATTTTCCTCACGATCTAGCATCTGGCTATCGCCTTCGGTGAAACTCGCGCCCGCGTTGTATTGTTCGGCAGGCAGGGGATGCCTCGCTATTGAGTGGTGCTGCTGGTACTGTATGTGATGGCTCATGGGGGCACTCATGGATCCGTCCATGGAGAAGTCGTGGCCCGATGATTGCATGTGGGTTGCCGCCTGCAGGATCATGTCTTCAGGGGACATTTGCGGTGTAGCGGCCATGTCTTTCGGATGATTGTGGTGCTCGCTCGGAATCCACTGGCCGGCATAGAGTCCAGACGCCTCTGCGAAGGCCGTCTGGTCGAGGTTGGGCTGAGTAGCGGCGCTGTGAATCGATGTTGTCGAGGCACGAGAGAGAGGGCGCTTCCGAGCCTTGGCGGCAGCGCGTGTCGATGAATTGTCTGCGACAAGAGGAAAATGGTTAGTTTGGCAGGGTCAAGATATATCACAGGTGGCAAAGCAATTGCTGCCGCTGGTCGAGGCCCACCTTGCTCCATAGTGAGGGTTGCCGATGTAGAGTTTGCGAGGCTGAAGTTTGACGACCGAAAGTTACCAGACAACAAACATGGGCTGTGGCGGGAGACACGAGCAGGCCGGATCCCGCCGCGACCAGACGCGAACAAGGAAAAGAAGTACAGAAATTCGACCGGTGAGAAAAGCTGAAGCGAGCGACTTGTACAGGACCAACTCGAGCAATTATCCCGATGCGCGCGCCTGGTGGTTGGTGGCAGGTCGTCTCTGCCTGCAGCTGTTGTTGTGGTTTGATTTTCTGTTGCGAGGCCAACGAGAGGAGAAAAGCAGACGGACAGACGCAGGAGTCCCCAACTGGGCAAGAAAACCCAACTAGGCAAAACTATAAACAAACTTTGGGGCAAAATAACAAACTGTGCTGGCGTTAGGTAAGCAGGCTTGCGCACTAATTAGGTGGAATTCCAGCTCCCGACGGACGATTCGAGCAAGCGGGGCAGCAGCAATAATAACAATAATAACAACAAAAGGATATTGTGCAATGCAAAAGGTAGGAGGAGCTGGGCTGCCAACACTTTGAGCTGGTTTTGAATACTATTCATAGGTACATTGATTTGTGCTTATTTGATTGAGCGAGAAGTCCATCGTGAAAGGGACTTGTGCTCATTCTCAGTATCAGATTGAAGAGACCGCAGTTAAACTTTCCCCATATTCAGACGAGAGGCATGCCATCTTCGCACCAGGTTAGACCCATGCATGGCTTCGCCGCCTAGTACTCTCTCTCCCTCTATTTTGATTTTACTCATGTCGACACATGGCAGCTTAATTCTAAAGCTCCTTATATGGCTCTCGCAGCGTGGGTAGCATCTGTTATGTGCCACGAACCTCTATGCAGCCTACCTATCCGCAGCCCGTTTATCTACAGGTTAGGTCGAGTGGACGACGTACTGTATGTAGTAGGCAATATCACATGCGCATGCAGCTGCTGGCCCCTCAACTTCTGGTCGGATGCTTCCTGGCCTGGCGGCTCATCGAGACTCGCCCAGAGCGCCCCTTGCTGCTGACGTCTAGCATCTCTGCTAGTACCTGTTCAAGCAAGGTACCGACTCAGGTAGCGCGGAGTAGCCTGCCTGGTCTCGAGTACCTCCCGCCGGCACTGAATGACGACAAGATGCCAATGCTGTGTGATCCGCCGCGCTGTATTGGTACTCATCATACGCTATCCGCTCCCATCTGGGTACCTGCTAGGCACACTCGGCATATGCTCCGCAAGAGCTCCATCTAGCCGCGTTATCTCTTCCAATGTCTTCCATTGGCAGTCGGAAGCTGCCCAGCCCGTATTTCTCAGGTGTGCGTCTTCTCCTCCACCAGGGCAGCGAGAAAGGCTTGAAGGGGCACCGCCGTGTTCCCGACCCTTCCAGAGCTGTGCTAGAGCTTCATGTACCTCGTCCAGGGCTTCTACCCCTCTGTCAGCTGATGTCTGGTTGGCTGCGCAGGTAGCTTGCCGGATCCCACGACCTTGGCCCTAACACTGGCAAGGCGACCCGGTTTCAGTTCGGCGTAGATCGACTCAGCACACGTCAGTCGCTGGCCCCATTGCCCAAGACCGTAGTGCCAACCTGTTACTTCCACAAGCCCCAAGCCACTGACGCTGATCAAAGCTTCTTAAGCTGGGCTCGATTCACAACCTCTTTATAACATCATCGCTCCCTTCTCTCCTCCATCTCCAGTATCTTGCCTCTGTAAACTTCTTCCCCTAGCCTTCTGCCCTGCTTGCACCACCACCCCTCCAGCGCCACCATCTACCAACCACTGCCTTTTTTCTTCTTCTGCGGGGACCTTTTGCTGTCGTCCCGAGCATCACATCACCACGCCGACCGCTGCGCAAATTTGAGCATCTAGCTTTATCCCAAGACAAAATGGCGTCCGCCCAGGCAAAGGCTCAGGACTACCTGAGCGTCATTGACAAGGAGGTTCGTCTACAGCGCCGCCATGGCTTGGCCTTCGCTTCAATCGAGCTCTTCTGTGCTGACATACGAGGTGCATAGCTCTCCAAATACCCCGCCCTTAACAACCTCGAGAAGCAGATTGGTGTTCCCAAGGCCTATGCCGTCATCGGTGCTGGCGCTCTCTACTTCTTCTTGATCATCTTCAACATTGGTGGCCAGCTCCTCACAAACTTTGCTGGTTTCGTGGTTCCTTGCTACTACTCTCTGGGCGCCCTGTTCTCCCAATCCAAGGAGGACGATACCCAGTGGCTGACCGTGAGTTTCAATTTGCCTGTCCCTGTGCGCTGCCGCAGGGCTGCACCAGCCCAGAACCACAAAGACTAATTTGAATTGCTTGCTAGTACTGGGTTGTTTTTGCCTTCTTCACCGTCGCTGAGGGCTTCTTCAGCATTGTTTACTGGTTCCCCTTCTACTTCGTTTTCAAGTTCATCTTTCTGTTGTGGCTGGCCCTCCCTACTTTCCGGTAAGTTTTATCTTCAAAGAGGTTCCCAGCAGAGAACAAAGAAGATCTAATTGTAATCCACAGTGGCGCTGAGATCGTTTTCCGATCCTTCATTGTCCCTACTCTCGGCCGATACTTCCAGGGCCCCGGCACTTCTGCTGGTCTCCGCTCCAAGACTGACGCCTTTGACAAGACTCAGTAAATCATGCCGGCTTGAGCAGCTGCATTGGTCGCAAAATTTCTACCACTTGTCCAAGTCCCAGGACCAGGCGCTGCAAATTAAGAAATGCAAACTCATCAAGATTGAATCAATCGACTATTGAGGATAAAACGGGGACATGACGGGATTCTCGGCACATGCTAGATTTCCGGAGATGGACTAGGGTATTCGGGGGAACAAAGAGCATGGAAACCAGAGTTTTGATAACGCATGCTTGTCTTAGAAGGTGTCATGACTTGGAGGCTGTAGGGCGCAATGAGATATTGGGTTGAAGAGAATGCACATGAGATAATGGAAGGCTCTTTTTTACTTGTTTACCTACAAAATATCCTTGCATCGAACGATGAGATTCTAGGAATCACGCATGTGAAGTACTGAACAACGAGCCAATGCTGCTACTAATCGCATGTGATATCTCTGATGTCATTTAGCAGTGCCAATCGCCTGAGATGGCAAGTTTACTGAACATCCTGTACGGTTTCTAGAACAGCCAGCATTTCGCAGGCGCGCCATCGATGGACGCTCCTCGTGTTGATGACGAGAACGGAGGGTCCGAGCTACCGGGTTACGTGGCGGTGCAGACGGAGCTGCGCCTCTCCCTCCCTGAACCGCTAAGTGGCCCTGCGCCATGATAGCGGCCACCCGCCAGATAACCGGCATCTTGTACTCCGTATTATTGTGAAACAGCCATCTGACAAACAGCGGCCCTGACGATCCAAGGACGTCAAACTGGCAGCTGGGGGCCCAAACGATTCTCTTCTTCGTTTCCAACTTTTGACCCCTTTGTGCATCGGATTATAGACGCTACCCTAGAAATTCATCATGAAATCACATGGCAACGGGGCGACAACATATCAAAGCTAGGACATGCCGCACGATTTAGACGATTGACTCGCAGACGGCCGACGAGACTATAACAAAGAATAAGACGGCGGACGCGCAAGCGCCTGTGATGCAACTGAGTCCGCTGGGATCGCGACTTGCGGCCTCGCTCGCAGGGCTGCTTGTTGTTTTGATCTTGTACATCCTTCTCTTCGCACCCAGCGCAGCGTTTGCGCTGGAGCTTGCGGCGCCCTCTGTATCCGACCTGACAACGCCAGTAGAGCTTCTACAGCTGGGTGCCGAGCCGCAATATGATTATGAGCCCGAGTTTGCTCTGTTTGACCGAGGGATCCTGGGACGAGCGCCCGCGGTTGCGACGCCCCTGGTGAACAATGTGCCGATTCCGATGAATCTTCAGCCAGGCGCATCTGCCTGTTATATGGTGGCCAAGAACATCATCCTCAGCGGCCATCCAAGTACGGGGTCTTCGAAGAGAAATGCAGATTCTCACGGGCATGACGACGAGGACCACGACGAGCACGATGAACACGACGATGAACACGACGACGACGACGACGACGACGACGACGATGACGACGACGACAGCAAATCACCAAGTGGTAACCAAGGCAGTGGTAGCCCCCAAAGAGTGCTCTACCTGTCGGCAAATACCTGTCTTCAGCCGCAGAGCGCTTCGAGTAAGACATCAGTACCTCCGCAGCTTCGCATCTATGTATCTACTTCCAGTAAGGATGGGTGTCCTGATGTGACCAAACCTCCCGCTGGAGTTCAATCCAAGGCTTTTGTGGAAGGCGCTATCATGTACGGCTTAAACGCAACGGACGACGTGTATGTGACAATTGCGGCTCCGGACGTCACAAAGGATTTCCAGGGCATATACAATTTTGAGATTGCGGCATCGGTTGATGACTACTATCATCAGTATAACGATGCGGATGGGCAGCTACTGTGGATGGACAGTGACGCAACATCAGCCCTCTTGCAGACGGCGCCATTGACAGGCAATGTAAATCAGATTCCATCCATCATGAAGGCCGGCCCACAATATGAGATGTACGTTCAGGGGGAGAAAGCGCCGATTCTCAACGGGCTTATGCGCTCAGCCTGCGGGCTGAATAATGCCGCCCAGATCGCATCCAAAAGACTGGACAATGGACAGATGAACAATAACGAATTGGTTCGAAGCAAATTATACGACAAGGGCCCGGGTGGCTGGCCAAGACAGCAGTTCTATTTCGAAGGACTCAATTCTAGTTCGTCTTACTCTGGTATCTTGTTGATACCAGGAAATAAAACAGCCGGCTCGAAGAGACAAAGCTCGGGTGTGGTTGGGGGTGGTGGCACTGTCTTTCCGCCTACTTCCTTTGACACTTCAAGAGGTATGCTCTCCCTTTACCTGTCTTGATGAATATGGAATTGGTTGATTTTCTAACTCACTTGAAAGGCACAAACTGCAATCTCATCACTGATTTAGACTTTTGTGACGACGTACAATGGGCAGCCCCCGGCAATACCAAGTTTAACAACACGGAGCTGGGCAATCTCTACGATAATTATGCGAAAACGATGTATGGCAATTTCCAGAATGCCTTGATGCAAATTCCATGCGAAGCGCCGTCTACGCAGCGGTACTCGCTGGCAGCCAACTGTGACAACTGTACGGTTGCATACAAACAGTGGCTTTGTGCTGTGGCTATACCCCGTTGTGAGGATTTCTCAACCGAGAACAACTACACAATTCCTCGAAACGTGGCTCAAGCCTTTCCTAACGGCACCTTCCTCCCAGACGAGCAGAGGCAGCAGCTCATGCAGAAACCAGCTTTCAATTCGTCTCGGAACGCCTTTATAGATGAAGTGATTGCGCCGGGCCCTTACAAAGAGATTCTGCCTTGTGCCGATCTTTGTTATGGGGTCGTCCAGGGCTGCCCGGCGGCCATGGGCTTTGGATGTCCCCTGGCGCATCATGGAATTGGATTCAACCTGAGCTACGGTTTACGCGACCCTGACGGCAAAGCAGTGACTTGCAATTATCCAGGAGAGCCTAGAACCATTGTTAATGCAGCAAAGGCAATTGCGCCTAGTATGATGCTCCTGATGAGTTTTGTTGTGCTCGGTTCAGGCTTGTTACTATGATGGAACGACTATCCGAATAAAGATAGAGATAAGAGGTGCATTAGACAGACGCATAAAGAAAGAGCGAGAGCGAAAGAGAAAGGAAAGTCATGCTATATGCAAGGCGTTTATGGTTAGCGTTTGTGGCTTTGAAGGGCTGGCTTGATTTTGGTTTCTCTGAAAAGAAAGCGGAGCATGGCGTTTTACAGGCTGAGTGATTTGCATATATTCTGATAGAGGAGCTGGCGACAAGGGCCAAAGTTTGAAGCTTCGATTGCTCCTGTTTGATAGATGTCGGAAGATTGGCTAATGAGTCAAATCGTATTTACAATTGGCATGGCATCGAGGTATAGAATGGAATACAAGTATTTGTACGCATGGATAAAAGTTGCTCGTGTGTAAGTGAATTTATTGGCAATGCCTTTCATTCGTTCTCCTTTCGACCCTTTTGCCTCTAAGAGTCATTTGACAGAATGTCTCGATTATTATACGAACCTCTTCCGTCGCCAAATAGTGTATACGAGTTGTGAAATTGCTTATATTCGTTGTAAAATATTCAAGTTGGCCAACCTTCCCTCCACAGCTGGCTTGATGTGACCTCCATAGAAAGATATCCTTCCTTTTCATGTCTCTTATTTCTCCTCTTTTGTCTTTTTGTATTCGTTCACGGTTGTTTCGAGCGCAGCAATCGTTGCTATAACATGCATGTCCTTCTGTTAGCACCGCTTTCCCAAAACGTAACCCCCCCCCCCCTTCCCCCTTCCCCTTCTCCTTTTTCCACCAGAAGAAGGCTCCAATTCTCGGGCTGCTTGGTTCTCACCGTCGGTTTCTTCGCGATGCTCATCGGCTTCGAGCTTCAGCCACGTCCAGTATGCGACCTGGTATGTGAAGACAGCGAGGACAAGGACCTTGCCTATCGGCCGGGTGAAGGTTTTGTAGAACTGAGCCTGGAATTTCGTTCAACGAATTGCAGTTAGTAAAGGAACAATGTTGAGGAAATTGAAAAAACAGAGCCTATTCTTTCTTACTGCTGAGCCAGATTGCTTAGTGGCATAGCTTCTCGCAATAGTCCGAGAAGCCGGAGCTGCTCTATGCGAAACTCGGATAGCAGACGGGCATCTCTGGCGCAAGACCCTCAGCGCCGAAGACGGATGCATGGTTCGATTTCACTCTCGTAAAACTCGGATCGCTAAGGTGTTCTCAATGGTTTGGACGTCTCCAATTCATTAGACCCGCTGGTTCTGTCGCTCATTGGGCGCTGCAGCGCATGCCATCTCCAGAAATCGCCGAATGCATTTTTTTTTTTTTAGCATCGATCACGAGCTGCACATTCTTTAGCATGATCCGTCAAGGTGCATCCGCACACACTGATCGGCATTGCTGTGGCGGTGCAAACTGCCCTATACAGGCCACAGCTCAGCAGCTTCCAGCGCGGTCTCCCATGTGGCGGCGCATTGCTTCCAGCACCCCGCGTTTTCTCCAAAGGACACCTCTTTTTAGGCCCAGCAGAGAGACGGCAGCACTTTGCGCTAGAAGCAAGTCTGGCGCAACCATTGCCTGTTCTCCGGATACAGCAAGCCGCGTTGCGACAACGGTGCGACTATGTACCTGGTACCTTGCCGTCTGCGCTGTCTGCCGTGCCTACCGGACCCCTGCGCCCCGTAGCAGGTACCCGCCTCGAGATTAGATAGGCCACAGCACCCTGTCCGCGGCTATTTTCCCTTGACGACACATGTCCTCCAGAATCCCTGGACGTTCAGCAGTATCTTTTGCCTTGATCTGGTTTCTTTTACTCTCAGCATTGCTACATTTACCCTTTTTCTTTTCCCTTCCACGCTCCTTCACTCAATTTGTTAACGCCTCTCATAAAAAACAGGCCAATCTGTCCCAAACTTATCGTTTCGCATACTTGACACGATACCCTGAAAAACATTCGCCGCCCTCCTCACGCCCCCCTTCCAATTTAAGTCTTGTATAAGAGTCGCATCACTCCCGTCCGATCTTCTGGAACCACAATCTGTCCAGCTAGCTTATTATAATTTCACGACTTTCAACCACCTTCAGTAACCAAAAACCACACACTTACACAATCATAATGGTAAGTCTCCAATGACCTCGTTTCGAGCTACCAAGTCGCAAAAGGTCCTGTTACTAACGTGCGCTTCTCTTTGCGCCTAGGCTCAAACCCTCGAGCAGCGACGGCGCAACGCCAAGTTCGTCAAGGACCAGGAAGCCCGCAGAGGCAAGTCCGAAGATCAGATCAAGAAGCGCACCAAGGAAGCTCCCAAGTCGCCCATTTCCATGTTCTGGCTCGGTATGTGCCTCCTTCAATTCGAAACTCTTTGTCCAAACTGGATTTCGTTCTCGCGCTGACCACTCACTTGTCGTCTAGTCCTGCTTGGTTTCGTCATCTTTGGCGGACTTGTATTTGAGGCCTTGTCGCGCTTCTTTGGCCTGTAATTCAACATTGGCCCTTGTCGAATTCGAGTCGAGACAAAACACACAAAGAATCAAAAACGAAAGAAAAATATGTTTGAAAATCCGACGGACAAGAGCAAATGGGTTGTCCTCTTGGACAATAGAAAGAGTGAGGAGGGAAGAGAGACTGAGCGCGAGAAGTGAGGATCATTGGCGAATCAAAGAGGCCATCAGTGTCATGCTAATCGCAGGCGCTGCTGTAACATTGACATTTCACCTGCGTATCCTGCCCTTCTTGCAGCATTTTCCTAGAGTTCTTATATCATGGGGATCTACGGCGCATTGGCATTGTACATCTAGTATTTAGGCGCTTTGATGAGCGAGAGAAACAATCGAAAGACAAATTCAATTCCATTTGGTATCTCCTGTGAGCTCTGTCAAACGCCACGTTACCTTGATCCGTTTGAAGCCAACGCGATCAACTGATGCAAATATATCGAGCAAAACAAACGACAAATATGGTACACGGCAGATATGGTACAAGCGACCGATAGGCAGCCTTTGCAAGGGCATCATCGCTCAAAGCATGTGGCAGCCCTACGCACCCAAACCGCGGCGTTTTTGGCCGCTTTCCTTCAGCTGCATACCGGCCTCGTACTGGCGCTGGATGGCTGCCTCAGCCTTGACTGAGTCATTCTTGCTAGTGGCGATGCTGCCTGGCTTCGCAATGCTGGCGCCGGCCTTCTTGCCTCCGAGGAGTCTGAGAAACTTGTCTTGGCGTGCGGATCCTCCTTCAAGGCCATCGACGTTGATCTCCTCCTGCTTGCCCTTCTTGGTGGCTGGCTCTTCGGCCGCATCATCTTGTCGCTTTCTCTTGCCATCAGTCTCCTCGGACTGCGACTTCGAATGCTTCTTTTTCTTCTTGGGTTTCTCCTCGGCATCATCGGCGGCTTGAGTAAGGGCAGCTGCTTCCACCTTAGCCAGCTCGATATCGCCGCTCTTTTCCTTCTTCTTCTTTTCCTTCTTCTTCTCGCCCTTGGTCTCCTGCTCTTTGGTCTCCTGCTCCTTGTTCTTATCGTCGTCTTGATCATTCAAAGGACCGACAGCAAGGCCCATATCGCTGATGAGACTTGCAAGGAGTTTGCCATCACCGCTCTCGGCCGTTTTCTGCACACAGAGTTAGCTCTCTCTTAGCATGCACGGGAAACAAAAGACATTGGAAGAGAGTGCTTCACCTCAAGAGCTTCAGTAATTTGCTTGTACATCTTGGTAACCTCTTCCGCTTGCTTCAACAACTTCTGGGCTTCTGCCTCAAACATCTTGGACTTCTCCAAGCACTCATCACGCTTCTTCTCTGCCAGCAGACGATGTGCCTCTAGAGCAGGGTTCTTGTCTGCCTTTTTAGCCTTTTTGGCTTTGGCAGACTTTTCTCCTCCGTCTCCAGCTTCCTTCTCCAGAGACTCTGCCAATTTCTTGGCCTTGCGCTCAGCTTTGCGAGCCTTCTTCTCGAGTTTGCGCTCTAAAGAAAAGACATGAGGGAAAGTTCAAAGAGATATTTTATGGGTGAGGGGTGATAAGATGAAAGAAGAGCTCCAATATGTAGCTGTCCGTAACATCAATGGCCTTACCTTGGTCGGCCTGCGCCTGTGCATCAGTCGCTGATTTACCCATGATGACACTGGGATTCGAGAAAACAGTGACAAAATTCGAGCAGAACGTTGCTGAAGACAGATTTTCACTCTCGGGAAGATTTTCTTGTGAGACGACGCGGAAATCTTCGTTAGTTGGGCAAATTGAAGCTTTTGAGAAGTTGTAAAGTGCTGGGTGCGAGCTCGCAGCTGGAATAATAACTGCTGCGATCGAAAAAAATAATGGGCTTTCTGCCGGGCGGTGGGAAGCTCTCCACAATTAGCGCAAGGTACGGCGGGAAGATTGCCGAGTGACGGAAGGAAGGTGGGGTGAGCAGGAACTGAAAAGCTGTGGCACCTGCCAGGCGGATAGCGCTGCGGAAGGCTCCGAAAAAGTTAAGGTACTCTATTGGGAGATCACAGTACAAACAGTCAAGGATTGTACCTCTTTCTTCGATTCTTCAGTCGTTGGGTTACGATTTGATGATCTGTGATGGGAAGACACACAGCCAAGTTGCCAATATATGACAAAGTGAGACAATGTATCATTTCTGCAGAATTTAGACAGGGTCAAACCACGTGTTGGGCATAGGTAATTGGCAGCAGTGGGCTCTGAAGCTAGTTTCGAGGCAATGGCACTTGGCGCTGTACGGAAGACCTGCAGAGTACCAGTGGTGATTTGAGCAATTTAAAAAGCAAGCAAATGAGAAAAGTGAATATATTTCCTGACATTTTTTAGCTATGTACTAAGTGAAAAGACAGATATCACTGATGTTGCGAGAAGAATCTACAGCAGCAGATCTCCCGCCCTTTGCAGATTGTTGAAGATGGCTTAGCTGGCGATCTTCGGTATCTGTCTCCACTAACAGCTATTCTAAGCCATGGATAAGTGTCTTGGAGAAGCTCGGGCAACTTGTTGAAGATGGAATACTATAGAAAGAAGTAGAAGGAATCCTTACGACTTTCTATTTGTCTGTTGGAATCACAACTACCTAGGCTAGTACAGTATTTTGTGGCGCATATATGCATGGATAGCGTCCTGCATACAATCACAACACAACAGCCCTAGGTGAGGCTTAGACTATCGGCCAGCCCGCTTGGATAGGTCTAGATCAACAGCCACAAAGTTCCCCTGTCCGTTAATGAAGCCGCCGGAAGCCGTATCTCAGACGAATTTGTGACCTAAGGCTACTGACATTAGGGCACAGATTGTGCTGCACCAGTTCTGTCTGAGATGACTCTAGTGTCCAGCTTCAGCTCAAAGCAACCCTCCTGATACCAACTATTGTCTAGCACATCGTTAGAGTAACATATTTTGCGTCGTATTTGTCTACCTATACAGACTGCCCTTGAAAAGCTAAACATTGAGTTCTATATCTTTCATATTGTCCAGGATGCAAGATGTACTGACCCTGAATGCCGTTTCTGGAACCAAGCTATGCGCCTACGTTTCAACGCAGAAGGGGGAAAAAGTGATATATACATAGTGTCTTGTTCATACCTAAGAGGGGGAAAACTCGACACCGGGGAATCTAAAGTAAGAGTGTATAGAACAGTTGGAGATGGAAAAAAATGAGCCACGAAATCATAACGTGGGAAAAGCTTGACCAATGAAACAAGCATCATAAATGTATGGATTTTCCTCCATATAAATATCGTTAGCACCGCTGCTACTATAAGTAGCAGATTGACGCATATCAGAGCTAAGAGATGACGTATAATTTGAAGAGGCGAAGCCATCACCTTGGTGCATGCCTCGACGGCTGGCTTTTCGACTTTCGGCTTCGTGTCCACGAGCAACGAAGAGACTCATGTTCATGCTGCCCCAAGGCAAGCCCGATAGTTCTGGTTCTGTGTCGATGTCGTCTGAGTAAGGAATACGGTAGCTGTTGCCAGCATATTCCTTGTCTCTGGCTTCGCGCTCCGCCCTTTCTTTCTGCTCTCTGGCTTTTGATCCTGGTTGTTGTCAGTGAGAAAGTCAGAAACAACCAGCACCGCATTACGAGGTTGAGTGGGAGGGGACATACGGAACTTGCGCTGTGCGACGCGATTTTGTATCCGCCTCCTCTCATCTGGATCTGTCACATCGGACCACTCGGTGTCTTGTGCCCCAGCCTTGCTTCTTTTGATTGGTGAAGCGCAATTGCTGCTTTTGCTGGATAAGACGTCGGGACTATGCGGGACACTTTCTGATCTTTGAGCTGCAGGCATAGTGGTAGAACGATGTTACCAACGTTGAGATTCTCTCGAGCCCTTAGTGTAGAAGAATGTTTGAGTTGCTCAGTCCCAAAGAAGATTTTGCGTAGTTTGAGTTAGTCGGCTTGTATAAGTCAAGTATAATTCGCAGTGAAGTTCTTTGCTTCTAGAAGTACCGGGGTTTGAGCAAATGACCGTTGAGTCAGAACTCAAAACACGCTTTAATAAAGCACGTGCTAAAGAGATATGCTGCTGAATAGAGTAGAGAATTTGTGCCTTGGGTACATGTAAGTATGTTGGCGAGAACCGATGAGTGGCGTGGAAAAGAGTATAGGTGTAGTAGTCTCAAGTGATAACATGCCTGGTCGGGACTTGTCAAGGGGTTATAGGCGATTAGAAGTCGCTGGATGGGGGGCTGCCCGAAATGGCACGGCGAGGCGGCTCTGTATGTGCCGTGAAACTGAGCTTGGCCTGTGAGGCATTGCCCCCAGAACTGGCCCCGGGCCCAGATCCCAGCATAGGCGCCGGTCCTCGAGCAGCGACAGCCGTGAATGGATCCATTCACGTCGAGTGATCTGCAGTACTCTATTCTCAGGGCTCCACCGGCGCGGATTCCAGGGTCCCGGCGGGTAGAGGCAAACCAGCAGCGTGCGTGGCGCATATGTGGCCTATACGCAGGATGCGAGTGTGGAGGGCGTGAGATTGGCATGGCAGTACCTGGTGACGTCTGGTCTTTTTAGCTTTACGAGGTTACGAGGCCGAATTCGCACGGCCGATGTCCGGCGGCGATAGCCTGGAAGGAATTCCCCCCAAACTGGGGATGGACAAACAGCGGTGTTGTGAAAAAGCAGGGCTGATATGCTAGCACCCGTAGGCTAGAGCCACCTAGTGCTCGTATGACAAGCCAGGCAGGATTGCTTCTATCCGAGACGGCAGCTATGGCTGCAGCCACTTCCAAGGCAGACGGCATTGGGAAGAGGAGGCCTGGAGGTCGATCCTTTGGGGATTGTCGGCAGGGGATGCCATGAGTTGATACGGCCTTGAAAATAAGGACCATCTGTGCTTATTGTCACTGTTTCCCTAGAATTGGATACCTTACCGAGATATTTTATGGTGTATGGTGGACATTGAATCTGTAGGAAATATGCCTAGGGCGGCGTCGAAGAGTGAGCTTCGATTGCCAGGAGAGCCGCGTCTAGTGATGAATAGCCGCACAAATGTACTTTTCCAAAAGCCCATCTACAAAGTGCATTACACTACCTGTAGATGGGAATACTTGTGTAGTTGGCGTATGATAATTTACGCGTAGCGTACCTGGTCGTTTCACACCCCATCTATACGGGGCAACGCTAGAGCTGGATATGGCTTAGACGTGTGCAAACAAAGTCAAGAATAAAGCTTAGCTTGACCTGAGAGCCAATCGCAGTATTGTATGCAAGCTTTCTTTTATGGGGCCGAGCCCCTACGGCAATGCTTAAAAGACAGCTTACCGAGGGGACTGTAGGCTAGCAACGATTATAGGGAGTTTTCGCTCAGCAGCGGCATCAGGATCAATGTTTTGGAATCATGCATGGAGGCAGGCCTATGGCATTTCAACAATCTCCTTCCTGTTATAAGGGTGGGAAAAGCAAAGGGCAATCATACAGCAACAAATTGAAGAAATATAACACAGCCACTAATATCCTTTCTGCCTCATTTCGCGCACATGCCCACTTTCCCTTAAACAATGCTAGATGGACAGCTAAGGCAGCTAAGACGATTAGCTGGGCAACTTGGCGAATGAGCTGAAGCTGGGACTGCTCGCCAAGAGCCAATTGCAGACCAGGCTCCGCCTATTGGGGGTGTTATTTATAGGTGAATCAAGCCCTAGAAAGCAGGAGCAACCTGCTTGTACAACTGGCGGTGGCGCCTTTGATACAGGCGAAATAGGCACCGATTACAGTAAAGTGCTGAGGAATGAGATAGCCCGTATAGATGGCTTCCATTTCTGCAAGCCCTTTCCTAAATTCCTATCTTCCCATCTTCAACCTTGCACCTCCACAACGAACAACACCACCGCCATCATCATCGCTGGCACCACCACTGCTGTTGTCACTTTCGCATCCTGGCTCTTCCTCGAGCTGAGCCTCAGCAATTAACACGCACTCCCGCAAAGGCGGTATCCATTTCGAGCCACCGGCTATCCTACCCGTCGTGCCAGGCTAATAGCTGACACTGTACCACTAGCAAAGCTCCAGGTGTGACTCTTCACAACGCCCAAACGGCTTTTTTGGGGGCCAAATGGCAGGGCTAGGAGCCAATGGCAGACAGCTTTACAAAAGGTCCACAAATATGCCTCTCACTCATTCAGCCCGACTCACAGACTTGCAAACTACTCTACCCAAACCGAGATATACGACGACGAGCTAAGAAGCACATCCCTTCCCGCTTTGCGTCAGCGCGGCCCTGGCCAAATCTTGCGTCTCCGTGGCTGTCGCATCTCACGGCAGTAAGATACCTGGGTGATTTTCCCTTTTCGCTCGTTCTATTTGCACGCAGTGCTTATAGGTGAGAAATAGACGCGAGACACACAGAGGATCAAGTTTAGCAATGCGCAAGTCAAATTGTAACGCATCTCACAATCGTGTCTCTCTGTATAAGTCTCTGAAATGGTCAAAAAGAAAAGAAAAGAGCAATAGACAGAAAAATGTTTCCCGATCTCTTGTCTCACTGCACGAACTATTCGCGATGTGAATACCGGTGTTGCACTTGATTCCACCAATAGGGCGAGAAACCATCCGTATTGGTCAGACCAGTCTTTCAGCTTCTCAGTCTAGAGCTATAGTAGGGTTACTTCGTCTATAGCCGGACAAGCGAAGAGGTGTTGATACCACAACCTTGAGCCCTTCACACCATGATCAGGCACCGCTATGACCATGCATAACCGCAGCTTTGTCTTGGCTGTCGTATTAGGATCTCGTGCATATTTCAGGGTGGACTGGATTTTGGGCAAGTCTAAGCCTCGTAAAGCTGTTTACACCACGGAGTGGCCTATTCTACTGACAAGTCAAGATGAAAGTGATGACAGTGAATATCTGTATGCCAATTGAATCTTGGTCAAATCTGTTTGGATGACTGCAGCTTCGTAATCACAAAGATCGAAAATCTTCCCAGCTGCTACTCCAATGATGATGCAGCAGCTGGCGTCGGTAGAAAGATCTAAGGTACTTGATCTACTAATGACCTTGCTGCCTAAATGGTTTTCCTAGGGAAACACAACTCAACCCTCCTTTATCACCCTATTCAAAGCAATGCGTTATATTTCTCACTCTAACGGTATCCAGGTGCACAACGGTTCGAACCACTACCAGTAGCGGCACATATTGCAAATGCGATGCTACGACACGTCACATGCGGTTTCTCTTCACCCCTGTGCGCCATGTGTTCCCGTCCTTTAAGCTAAAGCGCGGATGGCATTTTGCGTAGTCCGTAGGGCTGCCAAGAGCACCTCGGCTCGGATTGGCAATATAATTAGGACAAGCATCAACCCATACAAAGGGGTTCGGCAATCTACACTAAACCGTGACGAGTATCCAGGGCGAGGGATTGAGGCTCAACATCAACTGTTTTGTCAATTCTTGGATTTCACAGGATTTCTTTTCTTTGTCCTACTTGTTTAGCTCTGCATATCTTCAAAGATTTCTGCCCCCACCTAAGAGACATGCCTGATAAGAACAAAAGGAGAAGGCCGAGGATGAAAATGCTTGGCATGGGCTCGTATCTTGACTAGATAAACAGGTTCTCACGGAAATCCCCCTCAACCAAGGTCGTATTCTCACCAGAGAGAAAAGAATCTTATAGACCTTAGGTTTCAGCTGAAGGCACTGAATAATCCTTCTCGAACTGCATTCTCCCTTTGGTCGTCGTGTCTCGGTTGAACTTTGGACCGTTATACATATAATTCTCTTTATAGCAGTTTTGAGTCTCACTTTTTTTTTCTATCAACTTAACGCTAACTTAACGGAGACTTCTCTCAATGTCCAGGCATGGTATCGTTTTGTTTTTAGGTGCTCAGCGAAGAGGGCATATTTTCTTAACACCTACAGAGCATCAAGGCTGTGAATATCTTTTGGGCAATAAAAAAGCATAGCTGACAGTCTTCTATGGAGTATAGTGGGCAACATGGGTTTGTCAGAAAGAACAGGATTAATGATCCCTGCAACTATAAGCATCTTAGTTCAGATGTGTATATCCATGAATATTATTAATCTCAGATCTAGGCAGTTATTCCGCCTTTTTCAAGATAGTTCTAGTAACATATCCTCATGGAGCACCTATATATTTGACTAATACAAAAGACGTGGATAATTACATGCCTTTGATTGCAACAGTATCTCAACAACGTCCATCCAGTGACCATGGCCGAGAATCAACGGCTTTCCATCTCAGCCAACTCGGCCAACGGTGGTGACATCGATACCGGCCTAGTCACCACGGTCTCATGAACGTTCTGCCCCATCCCCTGTGGCTTTGGCGGTGCCCAGAATCCCGACACGCTGTTATGAGCTGTCATATACGACTCCTGCGGGACTGAAGTAGATGCCATGCTTGTATGTGGATTTGTGCTGTAATGTGTGTGAGTAGGATAGGTAGGGGAGCCATAGCCTCCAGAAGACACGGGCACAGGCACGATCTGGGGTCTTTTCGATTGGCGGCGGTAGTACAGTAACAAGCCGAGGGCTAGAAGCAAAACGGCAGCGCCGCCGATTGCGATTCCCGCTATTGCTCCATTGGACAGGACGACAGAATTGGAGTTGTAACCTGCACTTTCCGCCGTGGTCGTAGAGGAAGTTGTAGCCGTCGTTGAAGTTTGCGTTGCCAGTGTCGGAGCTATTGTAGTTGTCACGACTGTAACATTGCTCGTTCCCCCCGGTGAAAGGTCCTTGTATGCATCGCAGTCGGGCTGAGGCTGTGCAAGCGGACACTCATCTGCGAAGCAAATGGAGTAGAGCTGGCCATTGACAGGAGGAGCGCACCGCACGTTGTACCTTGCGTTCATAAAAGTATCCAGCGTCTGCGCATCTTCGTCTGAGAAGCCAAAGTATTTACTGGCTACTGTGAGTTGCTCGATGAAGTATCCAATATCCGTCTGGTTCAGGTTCATGAACTTGTGGACGTAGGCAGCAGAGAGAGGACCGCCGCTGTCTGCCGTACGTGGGAATTTCGGTGCGAAGCTGCAGCCGTAGATGAAGCCAAACGCCGTGAACCAGTGGGTGAATAGACGGCTGATTTGAGAAATGTCAGTGGTGAACGAGGGGATGATAGCTGGTGGAAGTGACCTAGAGAGTAGGGAGACACACTATTGATTCGTCGAGTTATTTATATCAACTGAATTTGTTGAACCGTTCAAAAACGACAACAGTGGACCAGTAGCACCTCCGTCTAACCAGTTGATTCCCACCGGTTGATTATTTAGATTCGTTGTCGCTTCTATTAATATCGTCGTTGTCAGCCCAGACAGTACATCATCAAGTGGAATATGAAATACTCTGCTAGGAGGAAATTTCTTACTTGAACCATCAAACCAAGGTCGAAGGTATACATCTAAACCCTTGAAACGCGCCCTGTTGAAAATGCCAGAGCTATCGTCTGGAGGATTTGGAAGGCCAGCACTTCCAGCGTAGGCCAGAGTGACGATGCTCTGTACGAGGAGCAGCTGGGTGGTACCATTGTTCTCGCCATACCGCTGAGTGGCATAATAGTCGCAGATTGACTCGTTACCGGATCGCTGGGCGAGAGTTAGGCGCCCTGCAGCTAAGAGCGAGACAACCGCGGCAACTTGTTTCCACATATTGTCACTCGTAGTACTGGAAGGCTGTCTCACGGGATTTGTAACCGATGGGCAGAAACAGAGAGGATCCAAGATTGGGAGGGCCACAGGTTCAAGCGTACAGAGAGCACACAGAGAGTAATGATATAGGAGTGGCTCATGGCATTGGGCTGGCTAGTCTAGGCCTGGCCAGACTGCCAATTCCAACTGACCGGGCAGCGATGCCAACCAGGATGCCTATGCCAAGACGAATATACTCGCACAACGTGGCGGACGTGCATATTGTGGCACGCGAGGCCTGAGGCTATTTGCTCGGTGAGCGAGCTATAGCGTTAGTTGTCAGCCTAATGTTTGCTTCCTCCTGCATAGTGCTGCTCAGCTCTGGAGGCGGTGGTTCAGATGACAAGGTTGACTGGCCAGGGTGGCCTCCCCACGGCTCCCAAACGAGATCATCGCAGAGCTAGTATCTCGTTTTCACGGCAATGAGCTTTTGACACTGCATCTGGCTCTAGTCTTGATGCCTAGTTGTACCGGCATCTGGACTTGGGGCAGCTGGCGACGGACAGCGTTGATTGGGCAAACAGCTTCAACCCGTCCTGCAGTCCAAATGCTTATACTAGTACTACTGCTCGCTGATAGCAGGTATGACTTGTCTAGACGCCAGCCTCTTTGCGGCTGAGGGCGCTTGGCGGCAGTCGAGAGCTGTGAAATGCAAGGGGCTTCAAATGGTTCAATGTCACTATCAATACTTCGGTTAGTAGCGTGCATAGACTGGATGCGGGCGAGCAATAAGCGAATTTGACTTACTCATCATAATTCAGCCAACAAATAACTCAGTCGGTGTGAAAGAAAGAGCTGAATGGCCTGTTCATGGGCTATTAAGAGAATCTATGTTGTGGTCATAGTCGGCATTTGCCAAGCGATCCTCTTTTATGCTTAAAATGCTTAGCTTGACCGGAATTAAATGGCCACCTAGTAACTGTATCAAGCCGGACGCAGACACCTGAGCACTGCATATATTGTTTCGAGACAACAACTTCCATCAGTTTGATTGATTATAATCGTACGAATGCTGATGGTCTTGTACCCTTTTTCCTAACCTAGATGGCTCAGACAAATCAATGCGTCGCAGTTCTCCGCCACACCCTGATGTATAATGTTAGTGAATCATGAGATGAAGGCATTCTAATTGCTGGAACTGGAATAAGAACAGTTTGTTACATGATTTTCATAATATACAATGCGCCAGCCCTCAAAGCCCTTCCCGAGACACTGCTTTTACAAGCCGGCCAATGCTTCCGCCTCACGCTCAGCCCTTCGCTCCACCGACCGTCTCTTGAATCGAATCTCCGCCCTTCTTCTCTCACCACCGTCAATCTTGCGACCCTGGCGGTGTTCCCACATGCCCTCCGTGGCCTTGACAATTGCGCCAGCCTGCTGCGGCAGCGGTATCGCATACGGACCTGCTATTGACCTAAGTCCCCTGACTGTGTAGCCATTGGGCCGTGGCAGGACTTCTGAGTCCCCAATGACACCTTCCTCCTCTTGAGGCACGTTGACCACGTATTTTGCGTCGCTGATGACGGACGCTGGCGGGGTAGCGACTTTCAGTAGAGCCTGGCCGTCTTTAACATATTTGAAGTCTCCGCCCGGTCCCAGCGCTCCTTTTCGGTATCTCTGCATCCATTGCAGCAGGTATTTGCGGTTACGAGGCGGCTCGATGCCCAGCTCTTTCAGTTGTGGAGATGTAAGAGAGAAGAGAGACTCCCACGACGGGAATTTGGATGCGTGCTTGTTCAGGCCGCGGCCAATTAGTGTAAGAAAAGTCGGGACATCGGGGACGAATGGCCTCGGCTGTGGAATCTTCGGGGCTGGTCTCGTCTTATGGAGCCATCGTGTCTGGCTTGCACCGAGGAAGTTGGCATTGCGAAGGAATCGCAAGGGTGATGTCGATGGTGATAGGCCGGACTTCATCGTGGCTGTTGTGCGAAAACCCTAATATTAGTCGTCAGTAACGTCTGTCGGGCGGATGGACTGATGGCCAAGTAACTTAGGCCTTACCAAATTTTGAACCGCAATTAAAGTGGCTGCGAACAGGGTTGAAGCCAGCAATCTTCCTCAAGCCCGGCTCGTTCGATCCTATGATTTGCGAACTTTCCTGGCACGGCCAATTCGATTTTGAAGATGTTAGCTAAGCAAGGCTGCATGAACAATAGTGGGGTGATATCGAAGCTCACTTATCAGTGCAACCTCATTGGCCCGGCTTAATTGTCCAATTGATAACGCCTTGCATCAACTGGGTATATAAAGTAACTGGTCGCATCATCGCTTCTTCACGCTTACAATCCATCATGGCGACGAGTGTGTCCGCCAGATCTGACGGCGGGCCATCTCCAAACCATCCAAGATAATCAAAAGAACACACACACAACGCAACTCGCCCAGCATGGCTCCCAGGAGGCCGGCGCACACGCTCTTCGCGGCATCACCTGCGGCATTCGACATAGGACCCCATGGTGAGATTGTTCATACCACTTGGGATTCTTTACGGACTAGTGAATATTAACACTTGGTCTTCCAGATGTACTACCGAGCCAATTTCTAGAATTTTTCGACTCTTTGTCGACCCCGAGTTCTTCTGAGAACACGAGTGACAGTTCCCGTAACCTTAAGCTACCTCCATCGAAGCGTCGCAAAGTAGATCGTGAACCAAACGACGGCATCTGTATCGCAAACGCCACAATATCGTTCTCGCGTCGATGTGAAAACACCCGTAGCCTAGACTCCAGCAGTGATCATCACGGCATTGAGCCCTTGCTCTTTTTCGGTCTCAATAATAATTGTTTATCGATCACTACTCGAACGGCCGGTGGTATCGGACCTTTTGAAGCCGATATAACGCTACAACGAAAAGAAATAGATGGAAATGTGGAAACTATACTTGATGTTGGAAAGTCCAGTCTGAAGAAAGCCACTCCCGGTGCTATTTGGACGGCTGTTGATATTTCAATCAAACAACGTCAGGGATTGGCTTCGTTGACAATCTCTTTCCATCTTTATTGGAATGAAACACCAAATCCGTATGCATACCTGAGGCGGAATAATGAGCGACGATATAGCGAGAAGTTGGTTCACACTTTTTTCCCACCTCACGAGAGCGCTCTCAGCGAGATCTCGTGGTCACCGATGGATTTCTACAATGCAGCGCACGTCCCGTCAAAAGATGATACCGATTCCCTCTCCATTGATGTTTCCGGCCTAACCGCCACTCTCTATCCTTACCAAAAGCGAACGCTACAATGGCTGTTGCGCCGAGAAGGTGTGAAATGGACTAGCCAAGACGCAGCTATCCAGTTTTTGTCAGAAGATGAGCGAAGACAAGATTTAGATCTTTTTCGAACTGTGCAGGACGCCAACGGTAGCAAGATATATCTAAGTGATGTGTTTCAAACTATTACTCGAGATCCCACACCGTACCATGAAGCCGGCAAACTCGTCAAAGGTGGAATTCTAGCGGAGGAAATGGGACTAGGAAAGACTTTGGAAATGATTAGTCTTATTCTTTTGCATCGGCGCCGAACGGAATTCTCCCCGGAGCCGCTACCTGGCCAAGAGCACCTTGTTCCCAGCAGCGCAACGTTTATCGTGACTCCAAAATCATTGCAGCTGCAGTGGATATCTGAATTATCCCGCCATGCCCCTGGACTACGTGTGAAGCATTACACAGGGTGTCGAGGTGTTGATAAGGATGGTGAAGCCCGGCTTGTAGCCGAGCTAGCTGGGTACGATGTGGTGGTCACAACCTATAGCGTACTGTCCGCCGAGCTTCACTTTGCAATCAGTCCCCCTGAACGGTCGCGGAGGCACGAGCGAGCATATAGCCGGGTTATTTCTCCGCTTGTCCAAATACTGTGGTGGAGAGTGTGTCTTGACGAAGCTCAGATGATTGAAAGTGGCGTCAGCCAGGCGGCTGCACTGGCCAGAGTAATACCTCGAGTAAATGCCTGGGGCGTCACCGGAACACCAGTCAAAGATGACGTCAAAGACCTGCTTGGCCTACTCTCCTTTTTGAGATATGAACCTTACTGTTCCACACCACAGATCTGGCAGGCACTTACTACCCGCTACAAGCCATTGTTTCAACAGCTCTTCAAGTCAATATCTATTCGACATACGAAAGCGTCTGTAAGGGATGAGATAGCTCTGCCTCCACAGAGACGATACGTTATAAGCATGCCTTTTACCGCGGTAGAAGAGCAGCATTACCAGTCATTATACAAAGAAATGGCAGAAGCTTGCAAGCTCAGCACAGATGGTGATGCCACTATTGAGAAGTGGAACCAGGAAGATTACGAAGATGTTATGAGGATATGGCTCAACAGACTTAGACAAACTGCTCTTCACCCAGAGATTGGTGTTTATGGACGCCGAGTATTGGGAGGCAAGGAGCGTCCCATGAGAACAGTGGAGGAGGTATTAAGTGCCATGCTGGAGCAGGGCGAGATCGCGATAAGGCTTGAAGAACGAGCATATCTTTCGAGCAAGCTGGTACTGGGCCAGTTATTTGAAAACAGCCCTCGGGTAAGGGAAGCTCGAGAGATTTGGGAAGAGGTGCAAAGCGAGTCCGCCAAATTGGTAGCCGAAGCCCAAGTGGCACTCAGAGATGCGCTTCGAGAGAAAGGAAACGCCAAAGACACGGACGAATTCTTAGAGAGGGTGCCAGATCCAGAAGACTCGGACATTGAACTGGAAGACGAAGATGTCGGTAATAAGGGGAAACTGGGCGAGCTGCAGAACCGGCTGAGGACTAGCCTGGAGTTGCATCACAAGGCCATATTCTTCTGCGCCAACGCATATTTTCAAATTAGGGATAATCCGGAGCTGACACAGCCGGATTCAGAGGAATTCCAACACCTCAAAAAGCTCGAAGATGATGGTTATGAGAGCGCCAAGTTGGTTCGAAGGAAGATACTTGGGCAAGGGCAGCGCAAGGCGATGCGGCTCTTGAACAAAATCGCGTCAGCGGCCAAAGAGCAGTCTTTTGTTGAAATACCGGAGCTTGCCGTGAACAGCGAGCGCGGAATAGAGAGTGGGGGTATTATTGACAACCTCCAAGTCCTCTATGAAGACCTCAACGAACAGGCAAACTTGATCGACGAATGGAGAGAACAAATTATTCAACTCCTCTTACGGCCGCTTGTTGATGAAGAGGACACTACAGAGACCACTGGAGAAGAGCTCGTAGATGCTGCGAAAATCCAGGACGAGCTCATGGTTTATGTCCAAATTCTTCGGGCCGTTGTCGCTGATCGCCAGTTTGTCGTTTCGGGTCAAGAAAACGGACTGCTGAAGCATGAGATAGAGATGGCGGTCAGGATGGCGAACGAAGGCGAAGGACCTGCTCCAGAAAAGCTCCTCGATCTGGCTGAAAAAATGACAGAGGCGAAGCCTAGAAGGGCCAATATGTCTATGCGTGCTGCTATCAGCGACCTTCGCAGCCTGTTATCTCGACTCCATCGAGATCCGAACCCTAGCCAGAGAGAACGTCTCGAGTCTAAGATTGCGTCTGACTTGATGAAGACTACTCAGACACTGCTTGGTGAACAAAACAAGGCAGTAGTGGCGTTGGAAGCGGAGGTGGAAATCTTCAAAAGAGCTATGAATGCTCGATTAGACTACTATCGACAGCTGCAGGCCGTCTCGGATGACGTGATGCCCCTTGAAACTCCCAAGACTGAAGAGGCCATTGAAAAAGCAAGAAAAACCATTGATGATCTTCACAGAAAGCTGTTGGCCAACGAAGCCAAGCACCGATACTGTAAGTTGTGATGCAATTTTCATCGATTTGAGACTTGTTATATCTATGCTAATCACACTACTGTTAGTGGTGAGCTTGAAGGAGACCGGCTCCAAGTCCAACGAGCCTCGAATGTGTGTCATTTGTCAAATGCCATTCTCTAGCGGCGTATTGACCGTGTGTGGCCATCAATTCTGCAAGGAATGCATCATGATGTGGTTCAAGGCCCATCGAAATTGCCCAGTTTGTAAGAGGGCGCTCAAGGCTGATAACTTACACGATATTATTATCAAACCTCAGCAGCTCCAGGTCCATGGAGAGGAAGCGGGTCTGCCCAAAGCAAGCTCCAACGATGATGGCCTACAGCGCCGTCGGGACTCTTCAAAGCAAACTGTGCTCTATTCAGAGTTTGATAATCGAGAGCTTGAGCGGATGAAGAACATTGAGCTGGATGGCCCTTCGTTTACAACAAAGGTTGATACTCTTGTTCGGCATCTGATGTGGCTACGCGAGTCTGATCCAGGCGCAAAGTCTATTGTATTTTCGCAGTGAGTCTCCTATTATGATTTTGCACACATTATCAATCATCAAAGTGTGCTTGAACTAACGGCGTGTCGGAATATTCAGATACAAAGACTTTTTGCACATTCTACGCAACGCCTTCAACCGCTTCCGTATTGGATACGCATCAATTGACGATCCTGACGGAATCAGGAGATTCAAAGAAGACCCGGCCGTAGAGTGCTTTCTTCTCCATGCAAGAGCTCACTCCAGCGGCCTAAATCTCGTCAATGCAAGCCACGTCTTCTTATGCGAGCCCCTTCTCAACACCGCCCTCGAACTACAGGCAATTGCCCGCGTGGACCGAATCGGACAGCAACACGAGACGACGGTATGGCTCTATATTGTATCTGGGACGGTGGAGGTATCAATCTATAACCTTTCCGTCAGACGGCGCATGGAGCACATGGGCAGGAACCTCAAGGGAAAATCCAGATCCAAGGAGTCGACGCCGGAACTGCTAGATGCGAATATTGAGGAGGCCAATACGCTGGAGCTGGAGCAGGCTGCTTTGTCGAAGCTTATGAGTAAGGATAGATCTGCGGGCGAGATGGTGGATCGGGGCGATTTGTGGGAGTGTCTGTTTGGGCATGCAAGTGGTAAAGATGGAAAAGACAAATGAGTTTCTGTCTGGGCCTGCAGTACGAATAATGAATGGTTTATGTCAATCTCTGTGATAGATATATGAATGTACACTACAGATTGATAACGATGTTATGAAATGAATTGTGAATGGTACTCCAGGTCATTATCATTTTTTCTCTTTAATATATTATTATACATAGCTTCGTTCTAAACACTTTCTCTTTTTTCTTCTTTTTGGTATTTCCAAATGCATGGGAGTTCCGTTACCGATTTCAGAATCCATGATCTCGACAACCTCTTAGTCGGCATTTGCTGACTATTTCGGGAAAAAAGGATATCCTCCTAGACAGAAATGTTGCTACACATTACAAGTTCGCTACCATTTCCCCAAGATGAGAGTTATACAAGAAGAAGAGTAATCAACAGAAAATGAAGAAAGAAGAAGAGTGGAAGAAGAATGAAAGGCAGAGGAGAGTAGAAGATGTTAACCCCCCCTCTCTCTCTCATAGCCCAATCTCCATTGGCGAATATATATAAATCTACTCGACAACCTTCTTCTTGCTGCTGGCGCTAGACTTTACGCGCTTGGCGACAGGGCGGTTGATGTGGTGGTCGGGAATCCAGCTCTCGTCGTACGACTTGCCGGCGGACTCGGAGCCGGAGAGGGCATCGGCGGGGTCGACGGGCTTCTGGACGGGCTTCTTGGGGGCGCGCGTCTTCTTGGCCTGGGGGAACAGGGCCTCGATCCAGGTCTTGTAGACGAAGTAGAGGGTGCCTCCGAAGGCGGCAGTGAGGACGAGGTAGAGGAAGATGCTGTTACCAGTTAGCCACGTGAATATGGATAGATAGGAGTAGGGAGTTATCAATGGTAGAGAATATTGCATACATTTGGGGATCGAGGAAGCTGGTGGGAGCCTCGACAATGGCGGTGCTGCCCTCATACGCAGGCACCTGGAAGACGACGCCCTCGGCATTGGTGAAGACGGCAAGCAGGCGCAGGCGCACATCCTGCGGGTTCATGTCGAGCACAAACGAGTAGGGGAACGACTTTGTCTCGCCAGACTCAATCTCCAGGCTGTACTGCACCATGGTCAGGTTGCGCACAATGCCCTGGTAGGCGGGCACATCGTCGGCGAGGTCCTCGGGCGTCCACAGCGCGCCGTTGGCGAAGAGGAACTGGATGGGGCCATCTTCGTGGTTGGTGACCTCGACGAGGGCCGTCGTGGTGCGGCCATTGACCAGCTTGAGGCCGAGGATGTCGGAGTCGGGGAACGAGGTTCTGATGTCGGCGTTGAGGGTGGAGGCCTCGGCAGCAGTAGCAGGCTCGGCAACAGGCTCCTAGAATTGACATTAGCTCTGGCAGTACTTTTCTCTCCGCTTGATTCTTTTTGTTTTCTCTCTCTCTCTTCTAGAAAAGTCGAAGTCACGAGGGTCCACGGAGATATCGAAACGCACGCACCTCTTGAGCAACTGCGCCAAAGACCTGCAAGGCCAGAAAAGCGAGGAGGGACGACTTGAACAGCATGACGGACAGACGGACGACGAAGACGCGAACCAAAAGCCTCGGCTCGGCCAATTGATGCAACCAAAAGAGAAACGGGGGAGGTGAATTGAGAGGAAAGGGATAAAGAGAAAGGAAAAGAAGAAAAAGAAAGAGACGGGCGGATTGGGGAAAGTTGGAGCTTGTATGGCGCGCCCCCGGTTTAGAACATGTGGCCACAGCACCAGCTTTCGTGGAGGGGAGGCCCCACGCTTACATAAACATTGAGACTCGCGCCATTGTTGGGACTGGAACCGGAAAGAAGGGCCTTGGCCGAATATGGCATTTCTGTGCACCTCGCATGGAACATTGGAAGCTTGACATGGTATTAGAGAGATACGTACATGCATTGTGGAATGCTATCTACTGAAATGAGGAAATCATAATACAGTTGAGACATATGTTCAAAACCATCCATAAAATCAGGGACTTCCCAATTCCTTCTATTATACCCTAATATCTAGCATAATCATCGAGTTCCGCCCCTGTTGGTATACCTAACATACACACTGAAGCACCGCGTACAAACGGCTTCTTCTAATATGGGGACCATGATAATAGATAATAGTAGACCCTCGACATGTGCGCCCGTCCGTCTAATAGCCAAATACTAAGCCCACTACCTATAGTTGAATAATGACTTTCGCCCTTTCACGGCCCCCCGAGATCCATCCCGCCCCAACCATCAAACACGTCCATATCGGTGTCGTCGAGGCTGCCAAATAGATCTGCCTCTGCCGAAGCATCCAGCCCGCCGTTGCTTCCCGGTCCTCCCAGGCCCAGGTCAGACGAAATGCCGCCAAGGCCCATATCCAGGCTGCCAACTCCGTCCATTGACATCGTGGCATCGCCCGGAACGCCAGCAGCGACAACAATGGAATCTTCTAGGTTTGTCGCATCTCCTGCCAAGTCTAACTGCATATCGGCCGCCTGCAGCATCGGCGGTGGCGGCAGCACCATCTGCGCCTCGACTCTCCTGTGAAGGCGAACAACAATCTCCGCCAGCTCGGCATCCTTCTTCTGCAGCTTCCTGTAGTCCTCGGCCTCCATTTTCAAGACTTCCCGGAGGGTCAGCGGTCGCTGCAGTATCGGTAGCATGTTCCCTGTTTCATCCAAAAGACCACTGGTCGGCGGCAGCTCGTTGCTGACATTGGGGGCGCAGATAAGTGCCGTGGCCACATCGTAGACAACGCTCCCGTTGCCGGCCAGAGTTTGGTGCCGGATCTCCTCCAGGATGACTCGCAGAAGCCTGCTGGCGCCCACAATCTTAAGCGTTGCAATGACCTGTCGATGCGTGTATGAGGTTGGCATCGCTGTCTCGTCAGTATGCACGCACCACTGAACAAGTCCCTGGATCAGGTGCTTGGCAGCCCCGGAGAGACCGCTGCTGGAACTGGTTGCCCACAGCTCTAGCTCCTGGTGCTCGGCAGCCCCCGTTCGCCTTGAAAAGGGCAGGCTGTCCTTGAGAACCCTCAGTAGTGGCTCAATGTCTTGATTCTTTGGATCTTGTCGCTGGTAAGATCGCAGCGAGTGCTCTAGGGGCTTCGCAACAATTCCCTTTACAGAAGCAAGCATGGTAGTAGCTTCGCCGGAAATGGAGGTGGGCAGAAGTATGAGCTGCAAGATTTTGATAATAGACTTTTGCTCTTTTTGTTCGACCCAAAGATAATCGGACAAGAACCGAATCGCAGGTATCAGAGATGGCAGGAGAAAAGTATCGATCAAATCTATTGCAGGTAAGCTTACGAAACAGTACGGCCATCACAACTAGTCAAAGACTTACATTCCACGCCCGACCTGAGGGCGTCGTCGGTTAGAAAGCCCTGAGTATATGCAATGACAATATTTTGAAAGAGCGTCGCAATGAGGAGATAGAAGTCTGCAGGAGGGCAGGATGACATCAAGTCATCTCCGAGACCACCGGCATCGCTGTCGAAAAGGCCTTGGATCCATCCGCCAACGTGTCCATTTTCTTGCTCAGAGAGCTCGCCCAGCTCACGGCTAATGTGAGCTCGGCCAATGATTTTGGCAACATTCGAGTCTGGGGAAATGATGCCAATGTCTGCTGGAGTTAGGCTATATCGGTAGGCAAAGGCCAGCACCAAAAGCAGAATGGCTCCGAATTCTTCATAGACGGGTTGGTACTCTCCTTGGTCTTCCTCGTATCGCCAGCTGTCCAATAGCTGGCATATAGGCTCCAAGATGGTTGGCAGCTTCTCAAACAAGAGTAAGATGTCTAGAGACTGGGGCTTCTGTGCCAATTGGCTGCACAGAAGTTTCAGCGACATTGTCTCTTTGCTGTGGCAAAGTTGCCGCAGTAGCTATCTCTTATTATCAGTACGAGGAATATACCTTTGGGTAGATGGGACTCGAGGAGAAACAAACCTCTACAAGGGCCTGACACACGGCTCCAACATTGCCATCCATCTTATCCATGTCGCGAATGAGGGCTTGTATCTTTTCTGGGTCCGATAGGCAGCTCTGGACCAGCTTTTCCTTGGAATACTTTTCTTGGGAAGGTTCATATCCCATAGAGCTCTCTCCCAAGATGCGCTCTACATGCTCTCGTTCAATCAGTCCATGGAGGGCACAGGCCGAGCAGAATTCCTCTCTGACACTCTCTGTGTACGGATTGTTGTTACGTGATTCGTCAAACATGAGCGACGCCGTAGGGAACACGCTTGTGTCGACATGCGGAAGTGCCTGGGTTATGCAAAACTCCGCGGAAGGCGTTGCAAAGCCAGGGGGGCATAGTTGGGCGAGTATCAGGGGCACCTTGTTTATCAAGAAAGATCGAAGTAGCTGTGCATCCCTAGGGCCCTCGTTCCTGAAGACGGCATTTGCAAGCAGGTCAAACGACGCCAAAATCAGATCAACAGCGCTTTGTTGAACGTCTCCCTATGATTGAGTGAGCAAACATCGACTCGGTTAAAGATAAAAGAAGGGTGGACATACCTGATATCGGTTGTTTAAATATGAAAACAAGGCATGGTCATCAATCAACGGTCGGCCAACAAGCTAATAACGCAAGGTTAGTATGCAGCCTAATATCGTAAAGGGAAAGGGAATAAAACACACCGAAGCACCAAGATATATGTATAATCCTGCACGCGTGTTGGTAATTGGTACCTCCGGGATAACCAAGTTATCTACGCCGACTGTTGAATCTAGGATATCGTCCATGACAGCATTGGCGGCTTGCTTGCTCTTGTCCACCGGATCCAATGGCGCCAAAACCTCGGTTCTAAATAATTCGAGCTTGTTGATGAACTGCTGGAACTGTGGCAGCTGTGGCGATTGCTGTATAACCTGTACGAACGACGCAAGGCTTTCTGAAAACACTTTCCGAGCCCCTAAATCCCATCGAAAAAGGGAAACATGATGGTTAGTTTGTGAGACTGTCGCCGGAGAGCAAAAGATGTATACATTCACGGCAAAATCGTACCTTTGGCAGAGGGTTGGCTAACGACCTTGACAAAAGCGGCATTATCAACCAGCCGAAGCACCAGAGGGACAAGAGCGCCCCAAGCAGTCTCCATCTCATGACGGACCTGAGGATCTTGCAAGCTGCCGCCCAGCATGTCCGCAGTCATGGAATTGGACGCCGTCGTGAATAGCACCATCCACTTGGAGCTGATATGGATGAGCTCCAATGCCGTGCGAGAATCTTTAAAAGCGCTTCCCTCGACGAGGAGCTTGATGACGTGATAAAACATCACCTCCTCAAGCCAGGACGAGCTCTTCCACCTGAGGGAGGGCGCCTGTTGGGCATCTTGTCTGGTCGCTCCCTCTCCATTGGCCCCGTCTCCCTCATGCTGTGATTGCTCTGGTATCAGGGCATGGAGCGAAGAGTACCTATATAACGCTCGTAGAATAGATACTGCGTCGGTGTATCGTAGCTTGGTGAGAACGGAGACGTAGGGAGGGATGCGCGGGTCGGGGCTGACGCAGTTGGATTTCATAGGCCGTATGAAGAAGTCGGCGATGATCTCGGGGGGCAGCCGGTGCTTGGACTGGACAAGCTGGACATAGTCCTCAAAGGTGCTCGCGTCGAGGCGCTTGGTCAGGCATTTGGAGACGAAGCTGGACCAGTACTTGACGGACTCGCGGAAGGCCTCGCTGAGCGGGATGCGCCCCTCCATGGCTCGCTGCGCTCTTGGCGATGGGGTAAAGGAAAGATGTACGGGTGGTTGATTATGGGGATTCGAAGAAAAAAATTGTCGGGTATAGATGCGTCGCTGGGCGATGAAGAGAGAGATGTAAAGGCAGATGGTGTCGAGAGATGGAGTCGAGACGAGCCAAAAGAAACGAGGCTACCACGGACTGTTTGATGCCATTGAAGTACGACTGGGAATTTCGCGCACAACAGCCATAGAGTTCATTCAGAGGAGCGCCCTGGTCAGTAGCTGAAGCCACATGAGAGAAAATAATGCCGAAGCGCTCGACTGGTCCCCTCCACTGGGCTTGCGCGAGGCTGCGATTCAAAGTTGAAGCTTCGCGGTATCGCGAGCTAAGGTTGCGCCACAGCCAAGTTCTACCGGTACCTTGTACAGATACGGAATGCTCCGCAAACACAGGCGCACATGGAAAGCGGCGGTGGGTCTTGGCGGCTGTTGTTCCGCGCCGTTTCAGGTGGGGCCCGACCACGTTATTCTTCTTACATGCAGACACGTGAATATGGATGTGTTCGTGTGCTCTTGGGAATTGCGTCTTTTCGAATGAAGTAGGTGATTATCAATGATTATAGGTCTAACTATTAAATATCTAGGTAAATGTCAATGCTGGTGATGCTGGTAGCACAAGTACTCTTTCTTTTGTACATCATCTCAAGCGGCGCAAACATGGTTTAGGAGCAGCTATTACAACTCCTAACCTTTTACTCTGGTAATTAATTCGCTAAAAAGTTCGAAAATGAGAACCGATAGCAGTCAATGGATATTTATTATCTGCCATTTCAAAAACTATTGTTTTTGTAGCATATGAGCATCCAACAAATCCACTGCTCAAAACGACACGCGCACTGATAATATCTAGGTACATGTAGGTGGTCAACTTTTCGATTTGGATATCATCTTTTGACAAAGAAAACTATAAACAAAGAGTGGATATCTGATTATTAAAAAAAAAAGAGAAAGCAAAAGAAAAAGCAAAAGAAAAGAAATGCAATATGAAGAGTGTCAACTCTCAATGGCAACCACACTCTGACGCATCCTCATTAGCACACCCACGTCTTCCACATCTATCATTCCCTTCACTTCTCGAAATTCGTCAGCATAGACTTCTTGCCCGCCGCAATCAGATGGGCATAGTCCGTGCCCAGGTATCGACCCTTGGCGTAGTAGATGAGGTAGCTGAACAGCTTGAACGAGCCCATCTGGCCCGTGGCACGGCTTCTTCCCAGCGTAACAGCGGAAATCTCAGTGGTGTTGGGGCTGTACGCGGGCATCGCGCCGCCCTTGAAGTAGATGGGCAGAGCCTTGACGAGATGAATCGTCTGCGCGCTTGCAGCGCCGGCTTTGCTGGCCTCCAGGTTGCCCACGTCGCCGAGGACAAAGATGTTGTCGAAGCCCTCTGCCAGAAGAGCCTTGGTCTGCTTGATGTATCCTCTGTTGTCGAGGAGGTTTGCCGGCACAAACGAGGTGTTGGGAACAAGGCCCGTAGCTGGGATGTAAGCCTGCGTCGTGAGCGTCTTGGTGGTGCCGTCGGCGCTTGTCAGGGTCAAGATGGTGTCGTTGCCCGACTGCTCGACGGCAGAGACGGTGGTGTTGGGCACCAGCTTGACCTTGAGCTTCTCCAGCTCGTTCTTGGCCGCCTTGCGGACGCTATCCATGGTGGGCGGCGTGAGCGGCAGCTTGTCGTTGTAAACGAGATAGACCTCCTTCTTGCCCGCCTTGGAGTATTCAAAGCCCAGCTCGCCCGCAGTCTCGGTGCCGGTTGCGCCAGCGCCGACGACGACAATGGTCTTGGCGCTCTCAATCTGCTGCCGCAGCTCATGTGTGCGCTGCTTGGTCTGCTCGGTCGAGCCCATGACTGTCCAGGGCATGCCCGGGGATGAGCTGCCGGTGGCCACGACGAGGGTGTGGTAGTTGATGGTGCGGCTGCCGCCCTCGCTGGGCGAGACGGTGACGGTGTTGCTGGCCGGATCCATGGCGCTGGCGGTGCCGAGGACGAATTCAAACTGGCTCTCGGGGTATTCCTTGAAAAAGGGCCGGAGGTCGATCATGGCCTTGTCGTCGGCCAGCTGGCCCGGCACAATGACTCGGGGCATGGCAATGGGCCAGTGGAAGTGAGTGTTGGGCGCAACGACAATCATCTTGTAATCCTTGTCCTTGAGAACGACGTTGCGCATGGTCTGGCGGATGAGAGGTGCGGCAGCAACGCCAACGCCGAGCACAACGATGTTCTTCATTTTGTTTATTTGATGGGCAGACGTCCTGTTTTGCTACTGCGTTTTCTCTGCGGTTGGGAATTTGCTCACAAATGGATGGTATTGTGAGAGATTGACTATCTAAATGTGTAAAAGTGGTTGATTCGAAGGAAGAGGGCGGGCAAGGGGTATATATACATGTATGCGAGGGCTGTAAGTGGGCTGGAGCAAAAGGAGGGCCACGGTTGAAATAAGGCTCCGGCAGGGAAATAGTGTTGTACATGTATCCTACCAGGTAGAATTAATTGCTCCGCAACTCCTCAACAGAGTCATTTACATGTCGGCTGTGCGTAGGGCTATGGCGCCACTTACACACGTATCGTTGGGCGGCAAATCCATGTACAACAACGAAGCTTCTTCAGCTTGATTGGCAGCTGAAGTAATCACCCAGTCTACATCCAGCTACACGTAATCGGAACTTCGCATCCTTTCAGATGTGCGGTTCCCCGTCTGGTAGATCAATCGTACATAGGTGCTATCAAGCAGAAAGGATTACTGCTTACGATTACTCAGTACCTCCCATTAAATGCCAGGACTTGGATAATAGAACTACAGCCTGTCCAACTGATTCTTCAAACGCGCGCGCTACATCTCCCGCCGACCCAGCGCTAGCAATACAAGGCCCGCAATAGGTTTTGGCATGGGAATCTGATCTGCCCAATGCACTAACAAAACAACAGCTAAGTAATGGAGCTTCCGGCATAAGCTTCAACATGTCATCTACCGGCGTGTCTAGCAGCGGGACAGAACCAAATCAGCTCGGGCCGAGAAAGCATGAGGCTTGTGCCATTCCCGCACAATTTCCCGTCAGCCACTGCTTTTTATGTCTATATTCTCTTAAAAGAGACCGAAAGCACGGAAAAACTGTATAAACACATTGATACACACTGAATATTCCTTCTACATTGCTCGATCCTCCATCATTCCTCTTATCAGCCTCCCGCCAGAGAGCGCTGCAGCAATCCACATAGAAACCCAAACGGGGCACCGCGCGGAGATCAGAGGCAGGGATCGAGGCCTTGCACCAATCAGCGTCGTTAGCGCCGGCTTCCCGCGCTCGAGACGCCTGCGGAGTTTTGAGATTTGAGATCCATGATTTCTCATTACAGCAATGCGATAGTGTAGCACTAGACTGCTATAACAATTCTAAAGTTTGCTTGTAAGCTACAGACTTGCCGCAGCTCGATGAAAAATGTTGATTACAAGAGATATTATTAATAAATGCCTGCGGAGTTGAGATGCCGTCGTTGTTTTACACATTTTCTTTGTAAGAAGATACGTGTATATTCGGCTGCGATGCGGGCCCACGCCCGGATCCGTGCAAGTACAGCATTCAACTTCAGCTGCTTAAGATTGCAGAGATAAGTTTTGGGACTTCCTTTTATTATCAATACAATGACTCATTCAGAATGCATAATTGCCGCTGACAAAGCGGCGTTTGTGCATGTGGGTATCTTCAGGCATCATCATTGTTGTCCATGCTCTCGTCGTCACTCTCCCGCATACACTCCTTGTTCACTCTCGTTTTACGCCAATCCCTTGAATTCAATCGCGTTATTGAGAATACAAAATGCAGGAGCATTACCACACCATTATTACGGCAAATATAAGTCTCTCCTATTCTAGGTCTTGCGAGTGTTGCCAAACTTGGGCTGCCCTCCTCATGGTCGGTACTAGTCTTTCATTCTCAGTGAAATAAATAATAACAACAAGAGACGTTTCAGACGCTGTTGGAAAGCTAACAGTCTACCCCAGAGCACCCTCAGAGGCAAACATCTCTCGGTACATACAACTGAATGAGGGAATCTTCTTGCTCGTTTCCTTACTCACGCCAGAGGCCTTGCCAGAGACGTCACCCTCCAGAGATCAATGTCTCTCGTAGTCATTCCACGCCACTGCCTCGTCTTATTTCTGCTACAGCCTACTGGGAATGACGTACATCATACCTTGATCCTACGATTCTTGACTCTGTGTGACGATCAATGGGTCATCTCATTAGCCTCATACCGCCGCTCTCCAATGTTACACATGACACTCCCCTGAAAAAGACCAAGGAAATGTAGGCAAAAACGAGGGAGAAAAGAAAGACTATATGCCATCTAGGGTCAAAAAATGCCAGCCTTCAGTCGACATTCTATCCAGTCTAGCATGGCTCGTGCCATCCAACAACCCCCTTAGCCGTCCAGTCCAACAGCACACAATACGCTTTCAACCCCTAAAGTCAGTCCATCCTCAAAGCGTTTATTTACTTGGCTGCATAAATGAAAACCGTCCGAGCCACCAAACGAATGCCAGGAAAAAAAAAAAAAAAAGAGCCGAAAAGGCAAGCCTGTGCGGGCCGCCACAAACGGCGATGGATCGAGCCGTCCGTAGTCCCGGCAATCATGGCGTTAGCTGTATAAGCGTCATGTCTCTCGAGGCACACACACAAAAGAGCGCCAAAAGTAACCTAGACAAGCAATCTAGTTTCGTATTACTACGGCGACGCTTTTTTCTTTCCTTTCTTGTTCAGATGACGTGAACTTGTGTAAGTAATATTGCACTCCCACTCTTACGGAATGGCCCTTGTAACTTCACGATGAAAGTAATTTCTTTCCCTTTTCTTTTCGCTAACTCTCTTACGCCAAAAATGGCATAGTCAGCACAAAAGTCACTCCTGAGGTTGCTTCCAATCTTGCCTAAATCTACTTTTGACAGCGGGATATCGTGTACAACGCAAGTCTCAATCCCAACACACCGCATAGTCTGGGAGCACAAGATGATAGGTATAACATGTCCTTTAAAAAAAACCCACCCCCCTCCATCTTGGTTCCCAAATTGAGCTTGTGACTGTGTATCCCTTGAGATAAATAGCCCCAAAAAGCTGCCAACAGGCATTTCACATGTAAGATCTGTCTACGCGCCGGGTCGTGGGAGGATCTCTTCTCATAGGCTCTCATCGGGCCCTGGGTCCCTCCCTCCATCTTGTAGAGAGGTATCCGGTCCCAGTCTATTTGTCACGATGGGTACAGATGCCACTCCGGGTACAATTACAAAATGCTTTTTTTTTTTTTTTTTTGCTTTTTCTGGTTTTATGAGCGCCGAATTGGGAAGAAGAGAAGGCTTTGGCATCTCTTCCTTCGATCGGTGAACAGAGTATGGGTGCCTATATATCGTCATACGCCAAGCCCAAGCATCTGAATCGGATACGCCAATTCCAATCCAGACTCCTGTCTCAACTCCTTTCTTTCGGGTTAAAGGAGGAAACGACCAATCGTCGGGCCAAAAGTCATAAACGCGAGATATGAGGGATCAGAATGCAATATGTGACCAAAAGAAGGAGAGGCCATCCCTACATTTGTACGGCACCGGATACCTGGCTGTGGTTTCCGAATAGTCGGAGCTTGTCTCGCTCAGTTCGGGATCAGATCTTACTACTACTGCTAGTAGTAGTATTACTGTCTCTCATCTCCCTTGGCCCAAAGGTGACAAGACGAGGCGGACTAACAAGGGAGGGGATAAGAAAGACAGACGGCTCCTTTTCCTCCCTGTTTGTTCCCCGATGTGTGACGAAATATCATTGCTACCGACATGCTGGAATTGGAGGGAGGATGAGCTCGTGGGACACAATGCGAGCTGGACACTTGTCCCCCACGCCATGGTCGTCTCAGGAGAGGGAGGCATTCTGCTGTCTATCTTCTCAGCTCAAAAGAGCATGAGCAGTAGAGAGAGTAAACCAGCAAGCATGCATCTCGTATACATGCGTCTGTAGACGGCTCAAGCCATCTGTTCGTGCTTGGGCTTGTCCATATAAAACTTGCCCAGTCAACCACGTCATACGCATGCCAAAGGGGACTGCTTCCACTTCCACTGCGACTAAATATTACTAAGACTTCCCACCTCGTAATAGCGAGGCCATGTTGTTTCTTTTTTTTTCCTGCTCCTGGATGTCTCTCCCCTTGCCTTAGCGTCTGAATGGCTTCCCCAGTCTGCATTGCAGCCAGAACCTGGCTGCATCTGTCTTTCTGTGTAGGCGCATGCGAGTACATGCATACATACATACATACATACATACATAACAGAGAAGGATAAAAACTTGTTAGTGCTACTTTCAAGCCGTCTGTTGGGCCCAGCGTCCGGGTTTCTCATTTCTCACGCCCACACCCCCCTTTGACCCGAAATACTGGTTTGATCGCCAGACGCGTTCCTCTGTGCTGCTGCAGGCTGTGTAAGTGTCGTCCTGTGCTCTTTGTACATGCTGCAGGAAAGTGACGGAAATGCTCCAGCGTTGGTCGTACCTCTACCGCCGAGTTACCCGCATACCTGCCTCTGTCTCTGCTTCTGCTGCCACTGTGATTCCACCGACAAGGTTGGGAGTCTTCAAGCCATCGCCCAGCTTCGGACGGTATCCGATCTGTACTGATACCCGCTCGGGAGGTACACGCCCGTGTACAAGTACAACCTCGATCAGCAAGATCCAGCTGCAGCACCCGCTAGTACGGGATATATGGATATACCTAGGGACACAAGCACCTCCAGCTCGCTGCGTGACCTGACTTGACTTGGCACTGAACTGAATGTCGCACCTCGGGCCCCAAAACAAAAACACCGCCGGTGGGGACCCGATGGAGCTGATTCGTGCGCGGATCGATCACTTCTCAGACTCTCTGACTCTCTCTCTCTCTCTCGGGATCCTCATCAACCAAGCAGCTGGACTCCCCCTCCCCACATCCTCATGCAGCCGCTCATCTTGGTTGCAGGTACCAAGCCATGGCCGTCCAGCGCAACCAGCTGCTGGTTTCAGGTACTAGCCTGCCTGCCTGCGTCGGTCTCCAGTGCTGCAGCTGCAGCCTCGCGGGTTCCAGAGGTCGCCGTCGTTATCTGCCCGTACCCACAGTAAGCCCCGTATCTACAGGTATCCTGCTGCTATTCTGGGTCGCTGTTGTTTCGATACCGGCCGGATACAAGAGTTGGTCCATCGCCATGCGCGCACCTCAGGTACGGGGTCCCTGTACTTTGGGTTCAGCGCAGATCTAGCACATCCTAGGCTGCTTTTCCCCACCCCGAAAGTTGTCAAGGACCCCTGTTTGGCGTCCGTTTTTTTTCTCACTCTCTGGTTCTTCCTTTGCTCTCTGGTGGCTGCTTTTCCCTTAGCTCCTCAGATTCAGACTAAGCCTGCTAATCACACGCCCCCCCTCTTTTATCTTCGATGGACGAGGGTCGAGGGTTTGATTCCGCTCACTTTAGATTCTTGGCGGTTGACCAGGGGAAATTGCCCGGGCTGCTGGGCTTCTGTACATTCAACAGCCTTGGTCTCCCGTCTCTTGTCTGTTCCAATATAAAAGATTCGCGCTCCCTCCCGCGAGCTAACGACCGATTGATCCGATCTATCTACACCTACCTCCTCCATCTTGCATTATTGCCGAAATAGACTCAGCTTCTTTCTCTTCTATCCCCTTCTGCTGCTCTTCGACCCCCGTCGAGAAGTCTATTTGATATAAGCACCTATAATCACCATCTTCTTTTCGACCAACGACTTACACACTCTTCACTCTTCACTCTTCACTCTTCACTCTCTCTACCTTGTATCAAAAGCTCTTTTCTGGGCTTGTTCCGTCCGCCCTATACATTGGCTTCTGTACGCCAAAGGCCAAGGGGAAGCACTTACAACACATCTTCACAAACACCTTCACCAGCCATGTCAGATACCGCTGGCCCCGTCGTCCAGAGGGAGGTGGACTTCATCCCCATCGAGGATCTGCTCGCCATGTCCCCCAAAGACATCTCCCAGGTGGCCATGACAGGCAAATACCCCCAGCGAAGAGGCCCCTGGTCCCCCGACGAGAGCTTCCGCCTCGTGACACTCATCAACAAGACGGGCGCCCAGAACTGGGTCACCGTCGCCTCCTTCATGGGCTCTCGCAACGCCAAGCAGTGCCGCGAGCGCTACCACCAGAACCTCGATCCGTCGCTGCGGCACGACCCCATCGCCGAAGACGAGGCCGCCAAGATCATGGACCTCTACCACCGCTACGGCTCGGCCTGGGCCCGCATCGCTGAGCAGCTGCCCGGCCGCAGCGACAACGCCATCAAGAACTACGTCAACGGCCTCGTCAACAAGACGCGGCGAGCCGAGGGCCGCCTGGCGGGCCAGCACCCGCGGCCTCGCACCACTGCCAGGAGACGAAGCTCTGCTGCTGCCGCCGCCGCCGCCCCTTCTTCCGTTCTTGCTGCTGCTTCTCTGTCAACGCCGTCATCGGGCACTCCAGCAGTGGAATCGCCCACCTTCTCCGACATGGCAGAGTCGGACAGCGGAAACAACTATTCACTCTCTTCCTCCTGGGGACAGTTCGCAGCCAGCTCTGGGCCTCAAACGTCTCAAAGAACATCTTCCGAGTGGTACCGTCCTCTCAGCCAGTCTCCGGAACTGGCACACCCCCATATCCACCATCCTGCTCCCCATAGCCACCAAACCTTCAGAGTGTCTCCTTATGGTCAGACACAGCCTCACCAGAACGGCTACCAGCAGGAGAGCTGGCGGCCCATGTCCCGCTCCTCAGAGCCCTCATCCACTCGACGCCTCAGCACAGATCTGGCCAGATTCTCTCTCTCTTCGCGCAGATCGTCGCGAGACTCCAACATGTTTACCCCATCGCCGACCCTCAGCGCCACTTTGCCACACGGCCGCAGAGCCGATCCCCGAATGGCCATTGGGAACCTGTTAGGTTAAGGCCTTGATGGACAACTTTCCTATTCATTTCTTTTTATTTCTCCATCATCTCTTTTCCGTATCTCCTTGTATTCTGTCATGTCTTTTACTACTATGTCCTTTTACTATGCCTCTCCTCGAGACTGGCTTACAAACATTTTGACCAAGGCGAGCACGCTCTCTGCCTTCATAGCATAGCAATCTTTTTTTTTTTTTTTGTTCTTTCGTTTTTATTTGCTTTTATAGGAAATCATGTATATCACGAAGGGAAAAGGCGCTTATGGCATCATTCATCGCTCCCCGCCGTCCTCGAGAAATTCCGAGGAGGGGCGATGAAGGACAGGGGGAAAAGTGCGTTTTATTGGGATTTTCAGCTTGCGTGGCTTTATATCAATACCCTCAAATAGCTTCTGAGAGAAGTCTATCCGTCCGTTTTTCTTTTTTTTTCCTTTTAAATGTTTCTTTCTTTTGTTTTGATCGTTTCTGTTTCGTTTTGCCTACTTCTTAGCTCGAGAGTATGAGCTTACACGGCCATTTCTGAGCAGCAGAAAAGGGGGGGGCTGCCTCTCACAAGCACAGTTCCATAATGATCGTAGATCGCAGGGAACAAGTCCCCATTTTCATTTGTACCAAATAGACTTAGATCGGCCAATAACAAATATATCACTTCAAAGAATTTTCTCTCTCTTCTCAAATTTTCCGTAACAATAGGCTCCAATATTCCTCTTTTTTCCTAAAATACAAATACCTAAATGGCTGCCTCTCAGCGCGCCCGCCTCCCTAGTGTGTGGATCAATAGATACCTATAGATGGGCGTGCGTTCCTTTGAAAACGCCGGCTTTTAGACTGGCAATTTCCGCTCTAGCTCAGCTACACAGGACAGAGTTTGCCCCGGGGCATCTTCTTGACAGAGCATTTAATACACGTGTTATATAATCACTTCATAAATAATGCAGTTCGTCATCACTTGTACCACTATCTAATTCACGGTATGTTTGTTTGTTGTTTGTTGTTGCTGCGCAAAGAACGAGTTCCCCCTCTCTATCTAGACTTCTATCAGGGCCCCCATCAGCAAATGCAAGAGAGAGAAACAATCTGAGTAATACAGCAAACAAGCCCTCACCCTTGTCGGTACACCTCGCCGAAAGCTGCGATCGAGAACCAGGTATCCCTTTTGTGACGATCTAAGTCTGAGAGTGCCATCGGAGCGAGTCAACGGTCTTTGCGGGCCCCATGCAGTGAATGATGCAGCTACTTACCACCTGGTAACAAAAGCTGCAGGTTTGCTTCTTTTTCTTCCCACACCCCCCCTTGGTAAGCCATGGGAAAAAAGAGGAAAAGGATAACCCTGTCACCTGTATCGTCACATTTTTTTTTCTCGTTCTCATCTCGCAGTGGTCCCCCCAATTAGGTAGGGTGGGAGTGAGAAGAGAGAGATGGGGGGGAGCAGGGGAGCCACACTTTTCTGACCGTTGAGATGGCCCTAGGAAGAATTCACAAGTCCAGTCCAGTGGATGGCGAGCAATAGGCCATTCATCATGGAGGCTCCTCCCACCCGATGCATACTCATCTGCACAGTCATTACATACGCGGCTGGCCAGCGCCCCTGTGATATGCAACGGCTAGTGGGCAAGGAACCACCACCTACCGTATACACCCTTCGCTCTTCTCGCTCCTTCACTCCCTCACACCCCCCCCTTGTCCGGATTTACGGTGGGAACGTTTGACTTGAGAATAATTTGATGTTTTTTTTTTTGGTAAAGAAAGCATGGTAGCACAAGCAGGTATGGAGGTTGTGCGTGAAGGCGTGCATGTGGGCTACGCTACCGACTTCAGTTGGTCGGTGGGAAAGGAAAAAAAAAAGGGCGAAGGGGGCACGCAGTGGTCTGGGACGGCCATCATTGCGAGGCTTTTCGGGTCCGAGCTAGCACATAGTAGACTATGTTGGTATCAGATGAGAAAGGAAAAAGAAAAAAAGGGTAAAAAGTCTCAGCGTTTCTATTTCTATTCGTCGAATATACGAGGCAGTCGAAAAGCAAAAAAGCGAAACATCCTCATTCGCTTGCTTTCCTTTCCAGAGCAAACGCGAGTGGGGGGCCAGACACCAGACATCTTCTTCTGCTGCCCCTGAACATTCCTTCTGTGGCAATGGTATACGTTCTTGGGCAGTATGACATGCTTCACCACATTGGACTCCATTTCAGGTTTTCTGTCTATACCCTCGGCAAAGAGGAAAGAAAAAGAGCGGGCCATGGCCGACGATTGGGTCCATTTGGCGTGCTCGGCACCTGCAAGCTGTCCCAGAAAGGCGCGCGACGGTTCCTTCCAAAACTCATTTATCTTGTTCCCGCCAGCCCCTTAAACTACCGGTTTAGCGGGGAGGATAGCCAGCAGGGCCTTTTCATCAAACGGTTTTTTTGTCCCCTTTCTTGCTTGTTTCCGCCGTACGATGAATTTTATGTTTATTTAAGCTAGGGAAATCTCTATCGCTTTTTGTATCGCATCGCATCGCATCGCATAACATCGTATCGCCATCGTGGTTTAGCGTACCGCAGCCAGCACCCGCAATAAACAGGGATACAAGTTCTCCTACTACTGTAGTGATATGCATGAAGATGGTACAAGTAAGAACCTCCATAGACACAGTCACACAGAGTCAGATAAAGCACCTCGCTCAAAAGGGTTCTTAGTCCAAGACGTCCACGTCAACAACTATCAGGTAGGGAAAAAAAAAGCAAACGTCAAAATCAAGACAGTGGAAAGCGCTGCAGTGTAATGTGCCGAGCAGCATTTGCTCAATCGGCCCCCAAGACGCCGCCATATCGGGAGGAGTCCACAGCAGAGCGACAAGACAAAAACCAAGAAACGTGAGGGTCCCAAGAGTGTCTCTTACAGCCACCCCCGCCGAAAGGGGCGTCAACGCAGTAAATCCCGAAGCTGTTCGGACGCATGTCCCGAAGCCTTGCGCTCAGCCCTTGACAGATCCGCTGCCGAAGGTGGGGGGCGCTGGCAGGGGGAGTGCGCGTGATTGGCCGCGGCGGAGCGCACGGGGCAACGGCGTCGAGATTCCCGGTCTTCCTTGCAAGAAAAAAAAAAAACAGCTTCCAAGTACCTGTGCGATACTGGCGCCTAGGGCCCAATGCAGCTAGAGTGTCTCAGTACCGTTCAGGTAGAGCGGGCATGGGGCATGGGCGATGACCGCGATTCGAACCCCAGAGATCTGCCTAGTGCCACCACCACCACCGTCGAACGCCAGCTTTCAACCGCTAAAACTGCCTACCACTAGCTAAGCTAAGCTGTAAGCCACCAGGCCTCTCCTCTTTTTTTTTTTTTCACGCTCGTGCTAATAACCGTCTGCTTTTATTTCTCACCAATTTTCCCGCGCATCCTGCAGAGATTCCGACCAAGGCAATTCCAATCCGGAAATCTTTTCCATCTTCTCCTCCCCCCCTCCTATCCCCCCCCAAAATTGCCCGGTCCGTCCGCCACTCTCTCCTAACCGTTTTCCTTCAAAATCGGTCAACGTCTAGATACTCCATTGTCGTCATAGTCGCAGCATCATTATCCAAAGGCAGCAATTTCAGAAAATCAATGATTCATCAAGCCTAAACACGCCCCCTCTTTTGTTTTGTCCTGAGTGATTGAGCTCGCCCGTCCGCATTCCCATCAAAACAGTGGTCGTAATCCTCGATGGGTCCAGCTGAGCTTTCGCACCCTTGTCACTTCAACGTTGCTACTGTACAATACCAGTTTACGTACAGTACCTATAGTACTTGGTCCTCCGTCCAATCAAACCGGTAAATAAAAACAAAACAGACACAATCAAACATTAATAACCATAAAACGGACCCGAAATTTCCCTTCCCTAACTCCCATGCTACTGTTATACGCCGTGTCCCGTGCTTAGATCTGGCCTTTACGTTGTTATAATCCTTGCTGCCGCGGCTTCTATCATGTCTTCCACAGCCTCCGTGTTTCAAGAGTTCTCCGCAACGCCCCGAAATCTTTCGTATAGGAAAGCCGGTAGCCTATAACGTGTATGTACAAGTAGGAACGGGAAAATAGCCCAAATTTTAGTGCCGACCTCAGCTCTCTTCCTCTTGCCACTCATTTCCGTTTTCTGTCGTCTTAGTTTGGCAGGTCGATAGGTTAGTCTTCTCGGAAAGCTGGCATCCGAACGTAAAGGATGCGCGGGAGTAACGTGCGCAACTTACACAGGCACCCTAGGAGGTTAGTAGGCTTCCACCCAAGAAAAGAAAGCAACCAACAACAATAACAGGGGTGGGGAGAAGAATAAAACGAAACGAAACAAAAAAACGCTCTCAGGCGGCCCAAAGGAGACTTACAAGTAAGTTTCCATACCGTTTGCTTGCCCCTCTGAAATTCTGCACGTACCAAGTGGTCTCAGCTCCAAGACCACCAACGTCATTCCACCTGTTTGCCGTGCAGTACCAGCCAGCGCTGGAGATTTGTGCCCATAGCTCTGGGGCGCGGGAAACGACGCCCAGCTTGTCACGAAAGAACAGCAGCCAACAAGTCTCAACCAACCAAATTTTTTGGAGATGCATTTATATAACGAAGTGGGCTCAGCTCAGCTCAGCTCAGCTCAGCTCAGCTCTGCATTGTACAGCACAGTACAGCATTGCATTGCACAGCACAGCACAGCTCATCATCAATCATCGCATGTGCTTCCCCGAGCATGGAGTGCTACTAGCAGCACTAAATGAAAGGGCTGTCGGCCCCCCTTCCATCTATACCGGTATCCCACGGAACCAGCCGTCCTCCCAGGTTCTTTTGTCTGCCGGAAAGCCACCCGACGCAGAATACATGGAGTAACAGCAGTGGCTTGATACAGAGCTACGGCGCGGTGCCCAGCAAAAAAGCCCCGGGCATCCAGCATTGGTGGTTTGCGGTATAGTGAAAGGAGACCGCCTCTCATACGCTATTACTATTCAAAAACCACCCGCAACCTCCACCCAATCTCGCGGGTCGCGCTGTTTTGCCTTTTCGCGAACCTGTTGCTCTGCGTCTCTCTTTTTTTTTTTCTTTTTTTTTTTTTCTTCTCCTTCTTCCCTTGCTCGTGCGCTGCACTTTTCAGGGGATCCCGGGAGCCTGGAACGACCGGACCGGTGGCCAACACATTCGCGTATATGCTGGCAACTCCCAGTTTAGAATTACGCACAGGTTGACTTGTGTTCCGCCGAACATACCCTGCAGTATGCTGTTTACTGGCGCTAGTCCCATCCGGTCACTGCATGGCACATCGCACATGTTCCTTCGCTTATCTAATCTCTCCGAATTGAAACCTTTTTTTCTCCTCTTCGGAAGCCGGTAAATTCGATCCCCCGGCTGTCGCTTGCCAAAACGAAGAAAGCCACACCAGCCACACCCGCGCTTCTTTTGTTCCTTCTCTGCTAACGCTGTATGGTATCACCCATCGCCCCCCCAATATAATATCAATCTGACATATGACAATCTTAATTTTGTGCACGCCAAGATACTACAGCAAGCGCTATCGCCATCTGGTCTTAACGGTTCTTTAACCCCTGAGCCAACTACGGCTCTAGCTATGGCAAATAGGCCAGCTGATTAGAATTTTTAGTATGGCGACAGAGGTGAAAGGGCAAGTTATTGCGAGACTAGAACCCAGCTTGTAAGAGCCAAAAGCAAAAGACCTCATCACCTCCAAGGTTGCTTGCACCAGAAGTATGCTTTTCATATTTTCCCGCCCATCATCTACGTGCAAGGATCGTTTAAAATTGTAGATAAACACATGTCCATCATTCTTCCTGTCCCTGCCCCATCTTGGCTAAGCTTTTTCTTCTACATCCATGTAGGGATTTTCCTTCTTTCTGTTCCATTCGCCTAAGCAGTCTGGTCATGTATGAGCGTAAGTCGTGGGCCTTCCCTGCGACCGAGGATTTCTCCTTCCTATCTGGTACCGGCTGTTGAATGCCTGGATACTGCGACTTTCGGAATTAGTCCGATACTTTTTTCTACATAATACCTAGCAGATACGTAAAACGATGACCATACTAGGACGTATAGCGTAATCGAAACGCATTGCTCACCTCACCCGCTCACCTCACTGTCAAACATGGATCAAGGTGTACCTGGCCATGCGTATATCCAAGTGTTCTAGAATGTGACAACTATTACTGATTTCCAAGCGAGGAGAGAAGAAGAGAGGTCAAACAAAGCAAGAGTCGCCATATTCCATCTTTCCACATTACATTTTCAAAAAGTCCATTTCTATATGTGTTCCATGATCCTAGAAATAAAAGAAGAGGATCAACAGATTTTAGTGTTACATCGTGATATATATAGGAATATATATAGTATTATTACAATGTCAAAAGACTTGCTCTTCAAGTCCTCTCAACATAGCCCGACCTAGCCACACTGTTCGCAAACAAGTCGCGGCACCTCACCTTGCTCTCCAGTCTCGCGCACAGCAAGAAAGCACCACTCAGTTTCCGGTGCAGACTATACGTCTCCTCAGGCGGTGGAGCTAATCGTTCGTGAAGCATGACTGGGATGAGTGCCTTCACTCGCTCTGTGATGGTCTGGTCCTTGAAGTCGTAAACCTCGGGGGCTGAGTCCAGGAACGGCTCCGCCAGCGTAAGCACCGATTGGATGTGAGCGTCCAGCATCGTCCTGCTCTCGTGGCCTGTCAGGTAGCCCAAACCTTCCGAAAACCTCTTCACACCCTCTCGATCAGACCGTGAGGCAGACTCAAGCAGTCGCACGTACTGCGAGATGAATTCTTCCGGAAACTCCCGAGAAGCGCCAAAGTCGAGGAGCTCAAGCTTGTTCGTTGCGGCGTTGTAGAGGAAGTTGGTCCAGTTGGGGTCCGTCTGCATAAACTTGAACTCTGTAATCTCCCGTAAGCAGAGTCGAAGAATCTGCGTACCGATCCAATCACGCTGCTCTTGAGTAAACGAGTTTACCCTTGTCACGCCAATGCCGTCGAGAAAGTCCATGGTCAAGACTTGCTTGCCAGAAGCTTCTGGGTACACGTCCGGGGCTTCGAAAACGTCTTCTTCGCCTCGAAGGAGCTGCTTGTAACGGTTGGCGCATTCCGCCTCGCGTAAATAGTCGCATTCCCACCCCAGCTCCAACCTAGCATTGTCAATTGTCTTATTTAAATAGAGGCCCTTGGGAAGTAGTTTCGTGGCCGTGAGCAAGATGCCAAGATTGTCTAGATCAGAATTGATAGAATCTGCCACGCCAGGAAACTGAATCTTGACCGCCACTCGCTTCCCGTTCGATTTGAGAACGGCTTTGTGTACCTGGCCTATTGACGCGGCGGCAATTGGCTTCTCTTCAAATTCACTGAATAGGTCCCGCCACTCAGACCCGAGATTGCTAGCCAGAACCCGGTCCCGCTGCCATGCCGGCATGTAGTCAGCTCGGTCCTGAACCCGTTGGAGCACTTCCTGAAGAGGGGCCGGTAGCATTTTCGAATCCTGGAAGCTCATCATTTGGCCTAGCTTCAACGCAGCACCCCTCATGCGAGATAGCTTTGCGACCAATCTCTCCATGTTGCCGCCGCTGAGTAGCACGGATCCTTCACCACCACCTCCAAAGGCCCTGTTCATGCTCTCTGTCACGGCTCCGCCCAGCATTCCGGCTGCTAGGCCGCCATAGTTTAGTATTCGACTAAATCGGGTGGCCGGTACTTTTGATTCCCGTAGTTGATAAGTGTGCACGTTTGTTTGTGGTGTTTCAGGAAGAACTGATGCTTTCACGGTTTCAACCATTTCCTGATCTACCTTGCTAGCGTCTGAACGCTCCTTTTCGATAGAAACGGGCTCCGTCGCGGGCTGTGGTTCAGGTGGCGCACTATTTGGCCCCGACACTGCAGGATCTAAAGATTCTGGTTGCTGTACATCCGGCTGCTGAGACTTGCGCTCAATATCTTCAATGTTGCTATTCTTGGCTTCAGGAGCGGCTGGAGGCGTAGAAGCTGAAGCATCAATAGACTCAACGGGAGGAGAATGTGGTGGCGGCCAATGTCGCAGGGGATGCTCCTTCGCGGCGCCACCAGAAGAGGCCGTTGTCTGACTCTCTGCTTGTTTTCTCTGCTTGCGTAAGGAATCCAAGATCTGAGAGCCTCGTGTAGTATGAAAGATGTTGACGTCAACGCCTTCAGGTGCACCCAATTCCGCATTGAGCTCATCTTTAGTTGGTGGAGGGGCAGACGCCTGCTGCAGCCTTTGTCGAACGAAGTCGCTATCTGGACCTGAAGTCTTGAAAATAGGCTGCTCGCGGGGCTTGAAGTCCGTAGGCTTTGGCCTTTCAGGAGCCGTTGTAGATGGTGCCGCAGACTGTGAACTCTTCTTGCCAGTAGCCTCTGTGGCATTCACAAACTCGTTGTTTGTAGCCTCATTGCCACTATCTGGCTCCTTTCTCTTCTCCGTCGCTTCTGTCGTCACTGAATCCGTAGCAGCAGCGGCGGCGGCAGCATCCCGACTCCTCAGTATCGCCCCAACACTCGACGTCCTGCTATAGACATCGAGCTGCCGGCCGCGAAGAGCAACATGCTTGGATGCGACAGACCGGGAGGCGCTGAGCACTGCCGCCAGGTCAATCGCAAAATCCACAAAACCCATGTGGAACTGAGCAGCCGCAAATCACCGGACACGCATATAAAAGGGCCAAAAGCTGTCTTATGCAACTGTGAGCTTCAAGCTTCCCATGTGAAAAGGGCAGCTAAGTTTTAGCTGTCGTCAAAAATATGCAGTTAAGCGGGGCAGATGCTTGTTGCGAAAACTGTATGTCACCAGCAGCTGCAGAACGGTACCTCTGAGAAAACTTCATTCTACTCGCTGTTATGAGCATCCTGAATTGTGTTCTAAATTAAAATAATAGACAAACAAATAAATCATATTGATAATGTATATGTATCTCCAAATGTGTACCACGGCATGGTTTCTTGCGAATTTGCCTGTCCGGTAAAACTCCACGCTAATAATATGGGCTCAAAAAGAGCCTCAAGAACAATCCAAATTGATTTAAAAAAAATGCGGGTTCAAACCTTCCATCATTCTTTTCCCAAAAAAATAAGCATATCCAATGCGTGGTAGAATCTCTTTACAACAAGAATATCTCTTCCAAACAAAGAAAAATAAGAAGCGCATCACGTTGATTTGGGTGGCACTCTGCTGACGCTCTTCAAGAGCGAACTTTTTGGCTTCCTGGGCGTTGCTTGTCCAAAGGAATCTGCTGCCCTCCCTCTCATAGGCGTCGCCATCTTGCTCAATAATCTCTGGGCAGCCGGTGTTAGCCCTCCCAAAGTTTTGGGGCCGCTAGTGAATCTCGGCGTCTCCATTCTAGCAGCTTTTCCCGTGAATCCGTTTCGTTGAGACTCGCTTTTGGTTTTGGATATTCGCTCCACCATTCGTTCATGAAGAACCTCTCGCTTCCTCTGGTCTTGTATCTTGAAGGGGTTGTTTGCGTCTCCAGGCCCAAGGTTAATCGGTGCTGGAAGGCGTGTAGATGCAGTATCATTATCGTCGTCTTCATCGTCCACAAAGGCGTAGCCATTCACGCGAGGAGTTTCACCGCCTCCGATAACACTGGAGTCGGCGTCGTGTCGTCGCGGCCTGCCTGCAATCGCATCACGAACCGACGACATGGTTGGCGAAGGGGGTCTCTGTGGCACATGCGGTTGCGGCATCCTCGTGTTCTCATAGCTGATCGACCTCGGCGCCATGCGAGACAGCTCCTCCGTGCTTTCAGCAAGGGTTTTGACGCCATCCTCTAGGCCTTCCGGCTGAAACATTAAGCCATTCCGAGGGGCGACCTTCCAAGAATCAGGCTGTGCAGGTCGTTCATCATTGTCTTTAATTGCCAGCCGGTCTCTCTTGAATCCGTCATCGACAAGACTTCGCGTCTGTTCCAGTCTATCTGTGACCTCTTTCTGTTTGATCATCTGCTTAGATGGAAGCTTGTTGCCGCGCCAAAGCCAGGCGTACTTATCAGCCTTCTTCTGGTTTTGCTTGTCGATCAACTTGTAAAAGCTTTCGTTATCCTCGCTGGTGTAGGTAGCCTGAAACTTGGATAGGCTTAGATCAAAGCCTGGCCGCTGCTTATCTTGTGCAACGCTTGGTGCCATAGAGGCTGGCGTGTCGCCCACAAAGCTGGTAGGAGTCCTGTTGCCGTTTGTAGCGTTGAAAGATGGCGCTGAGGTTGATTTTCGGCCAGGCGTCATGACGTGGCGAAGCCTCTGGCCGGCGCTTGATATCCAGGCAGCGTCTTTCGACTCCATGGCGTCCAGGTACTCCTGCTGGATCTGCGTCTCTAATAGCCCCGGGAAGAAGTCTCTTGCGATGATCTGAGAGAGTGCCTCGGTGTAAGTATCCTCGTCCAGCACCTTCTTGGGTCTTCTGATCCTCTTTGCGCGAGGCGGAGGCGGCATCAGATCTGTGTCGGTCCTCTTGCGCACCAGGGCGTTCGAGGACCCGGCCGCGGAATCCATCGCTAGCCGTGAAGAAAGTAGAAATGCGACTCTGTCTGCTGTTTTCTATACGTGTCCGTGTCTTTAGTTTTTTTCTTCTCTTTTATTTTCCTTTGATGTAATTTGTCGGTGGTCTCCCTGTCTTGATAATGCAAGAGTAAGACGAGGTCCAAAGCGAGTCGTCCAAATCACGGGCAGAGCCGCTTTGTACTAGGCCGTTGGAAGCGATACTCCGGACTACTACCGTCGCAGCAGCAGGGCTGCATGTCACTCGCCCCACTCGCCACCACCTGTATGTACTTGAGGCTGCATTGTTGCATCTATCCGAGGCCAATGTCCAGGCGCTGCAAAAGCCACAGCTTTAGCTTAGGGCTGCCGCGCCTGGGAACACGCCGTTAGCAGGCGCTGGAAATATCCACAGGGCACATGGCAGCGGCAAAAGCACAGGCTTACAGGGGAGACGGGCCTATAAAACTAGCCTGCTTTTCTCCTCATCTAGACTCCATCTCTTCTAGCCCAATCCAGCGGTTTCGGCAACCCACTTCTGTTTTATCGGAATCTCTTTTAGGTGGTTTGGGCACTATTGCGAAAAGTCCAACCCGTTCGTTTTGTTCGGATCGTTCTCTACGTTAATGCGCTGTGATTGACGTGGGCCGATTGAAGAGAAAGAGCTGATTGACATTTGTTATACACGACATTTGCCGCAAATCCTCCGATTCTCAGCCCTGCGAACCTCCCCCACCAAGGTCTGGCGCACGCGATATCATATAATCCCGGCACAATATATTTCTTTTCTTTCTGCCTGCTCCAGTCCTAGGTATCCCGCTTTCACAATGTCGCAATCAGCCGTCGACCTCAAGAACCAGGGCAACAAGGCATTTGCTGCTGGAGATTGGCCCACAGCGATCAGTTTCTATGACAAGGCCATCGAGGCAGACGCTACCGAGCCCACATTCTTCACCAACAGAGCCCAGGTGCGTGACAACCCATCTTGGCCCGCTCTCTGGAACCATATGACTAACTGACTGCGATCTTGTCTTCTAGGCATATATCAAGACTGAAGCATACGGATATGCCATCGCCGACGCTACCAAGGCGATCGAGCTCAACCCGAAGCTGATCAAGGTACAAGCCCGCGAATACCAAATCCCACATGTAACAGGAGATGGGAGGCTAAGAACAATGGCCTTCGACATCTAGGCATACTTCCGCCGCGGCCTCGCCCGTACTGCGATCTTAAAACCGAAAGAAGCCATCGAAGACTTCAAAGAGTGCGTCCGGCTAGACCCCATCAACAAAGATGCGCGGCTCAAGCTGGAGGAGTGCAAGAAGATTGTGCGCCAGTTGGCCTTCTTCGCCGCCATTGAAATTGGAGATGAGCCCTCAGCTGCTGAAGGGCTTGACTTGGAATCCATGGCTCTTGAGGAGGGCTACGATGGAGCGGTGCTAGGAAATGAGATGACACAAGAATTTATCGATGACATGATCGAGAGGTTCAAGACTGGAAAGCTACTTGCCAAGAAATACGTCTATCAGATCCTTATTGCTGTCAAGAAAATCGTATATGATGAGGCCACCATGGTGGAGACGGAAATTCCCGAGGGCGTCGAACTCACCGTTTGTGGTGATACCCATGGTATGCAAGATTTGGTCAGTCTTACTGTTTTGAGATGCTAACATTTGTCGTACTCAGGCCAGTACTTTGATCTTATGGAACTGTTCCGACGAAACGGCCACCCATCAGATAAGCATTGGTACTTGTTCAACGGCGACTTTGTCGACAGAGGATCCTGGTCCACCGAGATTGCTCTATTACTCTACGCCTATAAGTGGCTGCGGCCCAAGAACTTCTTCTTGAACAGAGGAAACCACGAGACAGATGATATGAACAAGGTATACGGCTTCGAAGGCGAGTGCAAAGCCAAGTATAATGAGAGGTTAGCATCTCCCTTTCATGACTGAATTCCGAGGAGGAAAGTGTGCTGACAATCTTGCGCACAGAATTTTCAGGTTATTTTCCGAGAGTTTCTCTGCATTGGCCCTGGCGACATTAATTGGCTCCAAATATCTGGTTCTCCACGGCGGTCTGTTCTCTGATGATAAGGTCACATTAGACGACATTCGAAAGCTGAACCGACACTCGCAACGCCAACCTGGCCAAGCGGGTTTGATGATGGAGATGCTATGGACTGATCCTCAGGAGGAGCCCGGCCGGGGGCCCAGCAAGCGAGGAGTCGGCATGCAATTCGGACCAGACGTCACCAAGAGGTTTTGCGAGAACAACGGTTTGGAAGCTGTTATTCGAAGTCACGAAGTGCGCATGGATGGCTACGAAGTACAACACGACGGCAAATGTATCACGGGTGCGTTATGTCCTTTTGATTGACTATTCTTTGTTCATGTGACGGTAAAGCTAACGGTTGTGCTCTTCAGTCTTCTCTGCTCCGAGATACTGTGACTCAACGGAGAACAGGGGCGCTTACATCAACATCGGACCTGATTATAAGCTCCGATTTGAACAGTTTGATGCGGTACCACACCCGAACATTCGGCCGATGGTGAGCTTCCTTCACCCCTTTCTCTCCCATTCTCTCTTTCCCTCTCTCCTTCTTGCGATTGTTTCAATTGAGTCTAACGGGGTCTGCAGGCATATGCCCAAAACTCTCTCATGTCATCTCTAATGTAGAGTCTCTGGATTGCAGGCCAGGCGGAGGAAGAAGGATGTATATGAACTAGAGGCACATATTCACCCCTGCTTCTGGGTATCCAACAGATTATCAAAAACAGTAAAAAGTAAATTGAAGAATACGGCCAGGTAACAAAGCGGCACTTAGATATACCCTTTGCGATTAGGTACTTTAGGTTATGCAGCACCAATGCCTCAGTTATTATTCCACAACTGATCTTGTCCATGGCTTCCGACCATCATACCGAGCCAGTCGGAGCACTGTTTGATACGTAAAAGGCGCTTGACGCCTCCGTCGCTCGTACCTTTCCAGGCAGTAAGCGCGGCAGCAAATGGGCCAAGGTCATCTCGAGGTACCCGGATCCAGCACGCAGACTCCTCAACTTTTAGTATATCGAGAGAGATTGCAGAGCCCGTTATTCCGAGAAATTGGGTCAAAGCCGCTGTGCAATAAGATTTGACTTGAAGATTGTCCAGTTCAACACCCGCTCCAGGGGGGTCCGTCAAGAGCTCTAGATGGATGTATGAGAAGGATGGTGATTTGATGGTGCATGTGAGGAGCTCGTGAGATTTTTGCAACCTTGGTTTCTCGATTATTGATCTCTCGGCGTCTTGGCTCTTGACGTCGTCCATGTTTTAGGGCGTTTAAATGGAAAGAAAATATGGCATTTATAGAGTTTGGGGACTTGGCTGAAGGGTGAAAATCTAGGTTGCGTTTGTTGCATGTTTTTGGGATAGGTGCATGATTTCGTAGTGCTAGCTTAGGTGCGGCTCTCGAATAGGTAGCTGTGGCACCTCCAACAAAGAAGTAAATGGAATACAAAACATTTATTAAGAATTGAGAATAAAACTGGAAAACACTCAATACCTTGAACAATTCAAATCTCAATACTGGCGTTCTAGTACATGATATTTCGTCAGCCAAAGCTCTCGCCATCCGTGTATCCACGCCCGGAAGCAATTCCGCACTAGCGCTCCTCGAACGCCTTACCCTTTCCGCCAAACCAACTCCCGTCATCTAGCACTCTCAGCCTTGCCAATTCAAGACTCTTTCACCAACCTTCCATTCTCCATCCGCTCATCGCCACAGCCATGTCCAGCTTCGTCACCCCCGGCCAGCAGCGCTACATGCGCGCCTGCATGGTCTGTTCCATCGTCATGACATACAGCGTAAGCGTTTCCCACAAGGCCATGGAGCTCAACTCTCATGCCTTCTTCCAACTGCTTGACTAACCCGAATGCCGCGCCCGCCTGCGAATAGCGCTTCCGCGACGAAGGATGCCCCAACTGCGAAGAATTCTTGCACCTCATCGGCTCGCAGGACCAGATCGAGAGCTGCACGTCGCAGGTCTTTGAGGGCCTGATAACGCTGGCCAATCCCGCCAGGTCATGGGTCGCCAAGTGGCAGCGTTTGGACGGCTATGTGCCGGGCGTGTACGCGATCAAGGTCTCGGGCCAGCTCCCCGACGAGATTCGGTCATCACTGGAGGATGAGTATAGAATACAATACATTCCGTACGTCCATCTCCATCACGGCATACGACGACATGACACGACACGATATTCTTTCATTAGAGACGGCGCGAAAGAGAGGGTGAAATGGCTGACTTGATGATTCTAGGAGGGATGGCACGCAAACCGAAGCCGATGCTTAGACGAGCGAAGATGGACATTTGCAGCAGAATTTGGCTTATAATAAAGGAAAGGCGAATACGGCGTTTTGGTAATAGAAATGAGTTTGGAAAACCAAGATATAATATCCAAATTGTTTCTTCAGTCATTATGGTATCTATGGTAATGCTATATGCAAGCAAAAATATATCCGTTCCCATATACAATATATAACCGCTCTATCAAACGTAAAGTTAGTGAAAAACGCCGTCCAATATTCGCCTTCATCAACATGTATCGTGTCCGTTTTTTAATGATTCCTTTGCTTTTTGCCACTGGGCATTCCAAAACCAACTGAACCGCTTGGCCTTTTCCTTTCCATTTCCTCTTTCATAATCCTCTCGGCTTCGCTCATCTTCTTAGGCTGCTGTATTAAAGATGCCTTCTTCGACCCTGAAGCTAACGCGTTCTTCTTTGCTTGGACAAACACGTTTTTCGTCTGTGGCTTGTCACCAAGCTTTAATGATATTCCGCCGAAACCCCCTTTGCTCGCGACTGGCTTTGGCTGTTCGTTCGGGGCATCGGAATCTGCTTGCTCGACCTTGTCGGCGTCCTTTGACCCCTCTGGCTTCTCCTCAGGAGGTTTCTGGGCCTCTTCTGGCTTAGGTTTCGCACCAAATGACAGTTTGATTTTCTCTCCATCCTGCCTTTTGAGTTCTCTACCCTCTTGTTCCTCTTCTGCTTCTGCATCGCGTTTGCCGGCGGCTTGCTCAGCTCGTTTGATTTGTTCCCGAATCATGCGTTGCTCGATTTCTTCGTCTCCTTGATCTTGGGCTTCTTTCCTCCTCAAAGCCTCTTGTCGCCGCAGGGCGTCAGGGGAGTTATCGATCCAGCTGATGTGAAATCCCTTCTCGTTCTCTTCCACCCGACACATTCCCTCTCTCCCCAGGTATTTGGCAAACTCGGTCAGCGACGGCCATTTCGTCGCGTTCATGTGAATATGTTCTTTGTTGGCAATGTACTCTTGGTAAAACTGGTTGATCTGCACTTGCTTCTCTCCGTGGCCCGTCTTCAACAGCTGCAGGAAGTCCTTTAGGAACTCGTCGCTGTATTGGTTGATGTACTTTTTCGGATCTTCGCCGACGACGAGCATTTGGCGCACGTGGCCTTCGGACTGAGTATGCATCTTGAACCCATTGGCATCGCGGCACTGCTTTTCGCAGACTTGGCAGTACCATCTTAGACGTTGGAGACCCTTTGACTTGAGCCTGTTGCTCAAGTGCTTGGTCGAGCCAACCTCAGCTTTGGGCATGTTGAGATCTTGGCGTGGAGCCTACTGCCCTCGACAATTATGAGTTGGAATCGTAATCGGCTGCTTGAGCTCTTCGCGTTTCGTTTTTGCGATTGGACTGCAAGAAAACCAAAAGGTCGTAGAAGAGTGCGATGAGTGACGGTAGTTATCTCTAGCGCTCAGCCTTGCAGGGAAATAGAAAGCTAAATCTTATCGCCCCGTTATGAATCTGCTGCCGAGGCTTTTCCGAGTATATTACCTCAGCCTCATGGCAGTCAACAATAATTCCAATGATGCGAACTAGCGCTAGCAGCAGCTACATCAACACTACGCCTCTCAAGTCTCTTTGCACTCGCCACTTCAATCCTCTCTAGCATCTTCTTCGGCAACTAGAACGTTTAACATAGCCGCATACGATTTACGACAATCTCTCTGACCTGTTTTCACAATGTCTGAGCGTAAAGTCCTTCAGGTATGTATCCAATCATTGTGGCACGCATCTATCAAAGCATCACAGGCTTACCTTTCAAAAGAAATACTACCCTCCAGACTTCGACCCCAATGATATCAGTCGCCGTCGAGGGCCCAAAGCCGCCGGGCCGCGAATTCAAACCGTCCGACTCATGGCTCCGTTCTCCATGAAGTGCTTGAGCTGTGGTGAATACATCTACAAGGGGCGCAAGTTCAACTCTCGCAAAGAGATCCGACCGGACGAAAAATATCTAGGCATTCAGATCCTATTCTTCCACATTAAATGCACAAGATGTAGCGCCGAAATCACTTTCCGAACGGATCCCCGAAACACAGACTATGCGATGGTCAAAGGCGCCATGCGATCGTTTGAGCCGTGGAGAAACAGAGAATTAGCTGAGGAGTCGGTGGAGGAAAGGCTTGACAGGCTAGAACGAGAAGAGGCCGAGGCCGCCGGCGAGGAAGAGAAAAATGCAATGGAAGACCTTGAAGCGAAGAACGCCGATGCCAGACGCGAAATGGCAGCAGCCGATGCCCTCGATGAAATAAGACAAAGAAACGCAAGGATACATCGATCTGAAAAGGAAGGGACTGACTTTGCGGACACTATCGTTCGTTCTGAAGATGAGGAGCGGGAACGGCAAGAGAGAGAGGACGACGAAGCCGCCAAGGCGGCTTTTGCGGCAGCCAAACGGCTAGGCAACTCTACTCTTGATAGCATAGGCGAGGCGGAAGAGACGGCCGTTGAAGTCGCTGAACCTCCGACTCTGACCAATGGCGACAGCACGGCAGAGAAGGCAGCAACGTCACTGGATACGCGCATAGCGAAAACTTCGATATCCGCCCCATCACAGCCGCCCTCTTTCAAGAGAGTGGTGAAGAAAAAGAAGGACCATGCTGCATTGCTTGGTATAAAGAAGAAGCCATCTTTAGTATAAGGGTTAAAAGGGCTTGTTTGAAATCAAGGAGTTTTGGCGCTCATTGTGTGTCTTGGGAATTATGGCTCATGGAAATTTATAATTACTTATTAATGTTGGTTTACTTTATGACGATATGAACATAGGCGATATCAATGCCAACCAAGAAGCAAGAAGTACCATCGTTGCGTTTTACTTGCATCATATTGCTTTAGCGACCAACATGCACTGTCACAAAATGCGAATCCCAGATAGAATATGTTGTAATAGTAAATTTGAGTGAACATTTAATGATGATGAGACCAATTTAATCCCAACATGCATCAGCTGCTATTATCATGTACGTGCAGCTCTTGTTAACCTCTGATATATACACCGAGTCAAACCCGTTCAAATGAAATCCAACCTATTAGCCCTGTAAATCCTCCCAACGCCATGCGTGTATCATTGTAGTCGTAAAAACAGAAGAATGCTATAAAACAAAACGAGCGACGGGAACAGTCAGTGGCTCAGGTCGGCTCGCCATCGGAACGACGCGAGTATTGCTTTTTGCTATGATTGTTGTAGTAGAAGTCGTGTTTGGTTGTCATGTTCGGTGATTAGGCTTGCTAGTCTGCCAATCTTATTGTTGCGGATGAAGATCCCAGTCGAGTGACTATGGAGCTAAATGTTGTGGCACGCATCTCGCTTCCAAAACACTCGCTAGAAGGCGAGAATCTAGATCGGGGGAGCGGCGCCGTTGGTCATGGATGTAGCGCCAACCGACGATCGAGATGAGGTGCTGGAACCTGAGGATGACAGGGCACCAAAGGCTTGCATCTGACGTTTTGTGTGGTCGTGGATGAAGCGGGAGTAGCTGGAGATGCTCTGTGGCGGAGAAGGTGCGGGGAGGGAGAGAGTGTAGGAGTCTTGTCGGCCGGGCATCATGAGGGATGGTTTGAAAATTAGGTTGTTGGTTGTGTTGTGGTGAAGTTGTAGTTGTGATGAGATGCTTGCTCTCGTAGCTATTTCCAGCAGAAGATGGTTGGTGTTTAAATGGTTTGATGGTGATTTTGGTTCTTTGTGGAAGAGAAGAGAAGAGAATTTGAATGTCGTCGATAATAGAGTGTGTTGCTGGCTAGTTGCGAAATAAGGCTGAAGAATCACACGATGTTGCTTGATGCTGAATATAGAAAGGAACGAGGCAGAGGAGCGGATCTCAGGGTCTTTTATAAATCTCGGGACTAGCATCAGGGCCCTCCAGCCAAGCTTTCTTTTCCCCCTCACTCGAGCAGCCATCCAGCATCTGATACTGGGACACCACCGCGGCACATGCAAGCAAGCAAGCATAGCGCTGCTAGTCATTCTGGGGGTCTAGGGCTAAGCAGTAGGGGACTGGGGACTAAGGCGAGGAGGGGGTTGCTGATCCTCTCCAGACCGTGACGCTCACAGCCATTTTCTGCCTCCTTGGTTCTCCAACTCTCTTCCAACGACGGCATTGCATAGCACGAAACACGAACATACACGACGCCCACACGGTACTGGACGGTGCTCCTTCAACTCGCCAATCCAGGCGCTGCAGCAGCTGACGGGGGTGGCATCTTGTCCGCCCCAAACAGCGAGCTGATCGGCATCTGAGCAAATCGACCAACGGTAGCGCAGGTGAAAATGGCGTAAGTCGACAAGGCCTGTTCCCTGCTCGATCCTCCTCGCCGCACGTTTCTCCTCTTTGGCCACCACCAAAGACGCTGATAGTCGCCCTGGACGCCGCTTCGGTATTAGAGCCACTCCACCTCATACACCCACTCTTCTGCACGAGCTTCGACACCCTCGTTTTTTAGCGGCTGGGGCTGTTGTTTCGTTCAGGGTCCTTGAGGGCCCCACGCAGCAGCAAGGCCTGTGGATGTCGTTTGGGTTATGGATGCGCAGAAGACGTATGCTGAGTGCTTTTCGAAGCCGGAAATGGGGGGCCCAGATAATACGGAGATCGTCCCCTTTTGCTCACAGCCTGGAGAAGCTTCTCTTCCCAAGTTTTTTTCTGGTACAGGACCCTGCAGATCGGAATCGTCATGCTCGTCACTTGGATGTCATACCGACCCTCATTGCCCGCTTTGAAGGCCTTTGGCTGGGACCTGGACGAAGCTGGATTCTGCAGGCTGTGATACCGTCTGCCAGGAATTCGAATTACGGGGCCACTATTCAATCTTGCTGTCGGCCTGGTTACGATGACTTTGCTGCTACGGCTCTACGACTTGCTACGGCTACGACTACGACAACGCTGTGCTGTGGAGGTCATACAATACGTAATGGCATACCATTTGCTTGTTTCCAGTCGGTACGCGCCCGCAATGGCGTTCCAGCAAACCGAATGGGCAACTTTGTTGGGCCCTTGTTTGAGGAGGCTGAACCGTTCGAGACCCTTACCTTGTCGTAGCAGCTCAACGGCCATGCAGCATTCGTACAAGCTCACGACAATTTGTCTTCATTATTCAGCATCCGTCAATGCTAGAAACCGGGGCTTCCGGATATCCTTATTTCCTCATTGGGCTGTTGTTTTCAAAGAATTGCACAGTTAGCGCAGCTGGTGTAACTACTCGCAGATCTCGTTGAGAACGAAGATGGACAGACAGCTTAAGCCAGAATATCGACCCGCAGGGTCGCCAATTGAGGATGCTTCACGTTGATTGTTTCCCTTACGGATCAACGTTCGGGCAGAATCGATCCAATGGGCTGGCCCTCCCCAATCCATCAAAGCTCGAAGACTAAAGTGCCTGAGTCGTACCACTTGTTGTTTATTCGTGTAGGCACTCTACCTTTGCAGCTCGAGCGTTTATTCATGCGAGATGCACGCGTATTTCAAAGCCTCACCAAACTCAATATTGCCGGAAATCGAGATTGAGCCACGAGTCGAGATCAAGCGGCGCCTCTAGAGCCCGCTCAAGTCTAGAAACAGTTTATTCCTGGCCATCTCGAAATGACGGCCAAAGCCTCTACCCGCCTGTCCTGTCCTTATCCGACTTGTCCTCTCCATTCGCCGTCCAACCATGCAGCCTGGACGAAGTCACAAAGCTGGAGGAGGGAAACAGTACGGAGTACTACAGCCAATGCCTTTGTGACGACGGTGGTCGTACTGTAGGGCTGGTATGGACATTACCTTTAGCGGACATGTCGCCAAAAACAGGGTCTGAACGAACGATCGGCACACAAAATTCCAGCGTACGCCTGCAGCGCTGCGTCCAGATTCTTGCATATGGTGGCTGCTCATATTGCGCTGAGGTGTGCACATATTTAGGCCTACCCAGCAGCTCACCGTCCGTGATGTCACACAATACCCACCATTAAAACGGTGGCGGCAGTCCAGTTTTCAAAACGCTGCACAATACGGCAACGTTTTCGCCTCTTCCGTCACAAGGCCCACATACCAGCGTCAACGGCCTAACAGCATCGAGATAGCACGACTTGCACGACCATATCAAACGCTGCTCATTATATCATGATACTGTGGGCCTAGAGGCAAGGCAGAACAGATTTACTAGATTTGCCTCTGGTGGACAGCATGCCCAGGCAATAATCAGATGGCACTGTATATGCCGATGGAGTGAGCAGCCGATAGGTGGTGAGCATTTTGTCATGGGCTCCACCGCAACCTGGCTCAAGGTTCCTGCGTCACACGCCTGGGATCGACATCCACGCAACCAGGGCTTCGAAAGGCTTCTCTCTGCCAGGGAACCAAGCTTTTTTCATCTTCACATCCGTCATTTCACCAAGTCTGACGGAGCCACCACCCCGTGTTTTACCTCTTGAGGCAACGTTCTTACAGAGTTGCACGGCACCATCCGTGAAGTTGATTTTTACTTCTGCCTACTATACCTACGCGTATTGGTCAGAGCCAACCAGAGTTGCTCGATCCTCAACGTCCATGTTTGTTAGCCCAGATCTTGTGTGGCATATCCACCAGCCTTGTCTTTCTACACCTTGCTATTCCACACCCCACCCCTGACCGTTCGCTTCCAATTCGCTGTGGTAGAAGAATCGTGAGATCGAAAAAGTGGCCACTCACTGACCTGAAATGTTGCATCCTGCTAGTTGCAATCATGGTCAAACTTGGCTTCAGCCAGAGCCGCACCTTATTCACCCCCCTGTCAACATCTGGAAAGCGGGAATGATTTCATCACTCTTGAGTGTAATTACACAACGATATCGAGAGCATCAGAACTGTAATCATTTCTCATATTCAGCCATCTTCAAGCCTAGGAGATTGGCTTGTGCTGAACCTTTGCAGCGACAAAAGGGGCAACATTCCTAGAAGGACGGCATTACGTAGTGTTTCAATGTGGAGAGCGATGGACACAAGATGCTGCCATTAACGTCATTTCGCCTCAATTGGGGTATGGCGCTGCGCGACCAAGTTACGTTCTCGCCGCCATGCAAAGAGAATCTACTTTGCTGCCACGCATGGTTTGTGTGTATGAGAGCTCTAATCAGATCAAGGACTCATTCATTATGAGGGACAAAGTCTCCAGTACGATGATGAAAATGGCGTCGAGACCCTGACACACGAACCTATCCGCCGCACCAGGGGTGAATTGGAATCACGACAGGTGTTAGCCCTTATCTTGTGACGATGTGGCAACTTCAATTACTGTTGCTCAGAGATATTACATTGATACAACTTATTTCTGTTATTTGCTTCTGATTCTTGGTATCTTAAAACGAAGAAGCCGCATTGGCCAGAGGCGGTAGCTTCAGCTTCAGTTTCAGACTGAAGACAGTAGACCGAATATGGGTCTTGCCATTTGCAAGCTACGACATGTTTTGACCTACCAACATCTTGACTGGTGTGAAACTAGAAAGTGATATTGGAAAGAAAATAGGGGTTGGCTAGCAGTCAACTTCAAGGCACCGCACACATGGGCAGTGGTAGAGTTTGTCGAGGTTGTCGTCGCCACGGTGATCAATGACCTCACAAGAGGGGGCGACGATATGCCTTGAGCTGTCCCCCCAGCGGTTGAATGCTCAGGGTCAGCCAGTGACGCATCTGATGGTCTGGCACTGGGTAAATGAGATCTTCGATCCAGGCGAATTTGGCTGCCACTGTATCCAAACTTAATTCTGGGGACGGACGATAATCGAATCGGCGATGGTGCTTCCACCGTCCATGGCGGGCCAATTCATTTCAGCTTCACGTCACGAAAGCGCACAACTCGTTCACGATGAGAACAAAGCAAAGAGACGCCAAGAAGGGTTCCATGAGTGTGTCTTCTGCGTCATCTCACGCCTACAGAACTGGAAATCGTGACAGGGGTTGACATTCTACTCTGTATTGTTGTCATAACTTCATTACAAGGTGTATTTGGGGGTGAGAAGGGGAACAATCGCTCCAACTCTCTAATGACGTCTCGACCTCCTTTCCAGCGAAATCAATTCCTTCTTCTCCTTTGACGCCACCTTCTTTCTCTTCCGCTCAATAGCCTTGTCGACTTGGCCCTTACTCATGTCGGCATATCTGTTCATCAGCAACTGCTTCTTCTGCTCGCTCTTGCGCAGATAGAAAGGCTGCTTGCCCTGCGCAATAAGTTCCTTCTCCTTCTTGCGGTGCTCCTGAAGCAGCTTAGCCTCGTCCTCCTTCTTCTGGCGCGCCTTCTTCTTGGACTCCATGGACAGCAGCTGTCGCTTCAGGTCTTCCTTTGCCGTGACGTCCTTGGTCTTCTTGATCTGCGCCCGCAGGTCTGCCATCTCGCGCTCTCGGTAGTCTTCCAAGAAAGCATAGTTCTTCGCAACCTTTGCCTCGTCTAGTGTGCCCGTCAGGGCTTCGAATCGCGGATCGCGGGCCTTGCGGCGCGGATCAACAAGGATTTCGCGACGCCTGCTGACTGGCTTCTTGGAGCTCATTTCCTGTGGCGCATGCTTGGAGCTTCGCTTTGATGCATCCACTCGATTTGAAGGCTTCTTTTGTTCTCGTCTTAACGGCTCTTTTGATTTAATGTTTGTTGGAGCGTCGTCTGACTCGGCGTCGGCCTTGTTTTTCTTCTTCTTTGAAGGCAGGCTGGCTGCCGCGCGAGATAGTGCGCCGAAAGATATGGATGAGAAGTCGACCTTTGATTCTTCCTCTTCAGGTTCTTCAGACTATTTTCACAATGAAAAAATCAATACCAGTAGACACGTAGATGTGTAAAAAGTATCTGTCTAGGCAGAAAACAGGACATACCTCTGAGCCAGACTCTTGTTCATCCGAGTCTCTATCATCATCACCACTGTCATCTCCCTGTTCTGACACCTCATCTCCTGAATCATCGTCGCTGGCACTCAATTCTGGTTCCCATTCCTCTTCTCTTCGCGCACGCACTCGCCTCTCCAATCCCAGGGAGGTGGCTTTTCTTTTAGAAGACATTCCTTCGCGATAATGTGTTATACGGCACTTGGTAGCTTCTGCCAGAAAGCTGCGATTGTATGGCGAATCAAGTAATTTTTCTGGAGCTGGTGATAAGCAACATTTTAATGTTATCGATAACTACCCCTGTCCGTGCCAGCCATTTAGCGGACGATATTTATGCACGTAGCCCACAAAAAGCTCAGCGGGGCACTAGCGATTGCAGATTCAACGCCAAAGCCCGAATCGTTCTAGAAGAGAAAAAGGGCATCGCGGACATCCCGCATGGGACAAAAAGCATCCGTTTGCAACAAACCCCACGAACCCTTTCATGCGGTCGCGCTGGGTATTCACACAGCCTGGCTGCTTCATCCGCGCTGTGCTATTCCATACTCGAATACAGCAACACTCTACACAACGACTCAGTCCTTCGTCTCGCAATCTCTCTTCGCGCGCATCATCTCGAAAGACAAGGACACCCAAGTCTCAGGCGGCGGCTCCTACGACACTGCTGCAGCCGCCCGTTTTGATTCCTTCAGCGGCATATCTCTACACGCCGCCGAAGCGCGACAAGATGTTGCCTCAGAGCGTGCAAATCCCGGGGCTGACCCTGATTAACAATCTGTCACCCCATGCCATTGCGCCAACATCAGAAGGCGGCTTCATCAACGCTGGGTCGGGTCCCAGATCGCAAGGAGCTGCTGCGACGACGACGACGACGACGACGACGACGACGACGACGACGACAACGCAAAATCCACCTCTGAGGAAAAAAGAGAACAAAAAGGCAAAGGCGAGAAGGTTGTTGGCTGAAGCAGAAGCACAAGCGCAAGCAAAAGCAAAAGCAGTTGTGAATCATAATGGATATGCGCAACCTCCAAACCAGTACGTACGAACCAGCTTTCTTTTCATGAGCTCTTGCTCTCCTTCATGCCCTTTCTATGGATTCATTCGAGAACTGACAAGTATATTTACAATGACAGCAGGCCCTATAATCCCAATGGCTTCAACCACAACAGCCACAACAACAACAACTTCAACACCAACGCCGCCGCCATGCGAATCCCTCCAACTGGCCCTCGCATCTTCACCAAAGACTCCCCTCGAGACCCCCGCGTCGCCCCAAGCAAAGCCTCCGGCGGTATCCCAAATCCCACCCCTCGCTACCTCGCCCAGTCCCTGACGCCCTCATCCTCCCTCCGCCAACCCCGCCGCATCTTCGTTATCATGGACCTCAACGGCACGCTCCTCTACCGTCCCAACAAGCGCAATCCCTTCAACTTCATCCAGCGGCCGCACGCGCGCGAGTTCCTCGACTACTGCATCGACACCTTCCACGTCGCCATCTGGTCCTCGGCCCGGCCCGAAAACGTCGACAAGATGGTCGCGCAGCTGCTCTCCCCCGCCCAGCGCGCAAAGTGCGTCGTCATCTGGGCCCGCGACAAGCTCGGCCTCTGTCCCGCCGACTACTCCGCCCGCGTCCAGGTCTACAAGCGCCTGACGGCCATCTGGAACGACCCCCGCGTGCTCGCTTCCCACCCGGCCGCGGCCCACGGCCAGCGCTGGGACCAGACAAACACCGTGCTGGTCGACGACTCAATCGAAAAGGGCCGCAGCGAGCCGTACAACATCCTCCAGTTGCCTGAGTTTGAGGGCCTCAAGACCGAGCCGCTAGATGTCCTTCCGCAGGTCCACGATTATCTCAATACGCTGTGCTACCAGGCCAATATAAGCAGCTACATACGAGACCGTCCTTTTCAAGTCAACCCACACTATACATTAACGCCACCACCACAAGACTTCCATATGGGATAGAGACTACCATATTGGATTGAAAGAAAGATACTACCAGCTGATTGCATACAACACCGAATACATAGCGTACACTTTGCTAGAGCCTATTTGGGCTTCACGTCTTTTTAGATAGATAGACTCGGACATGCTCTGAGAGTTTCCTACCGTTGATTATAACGACAAGTAGGCAAAGTCTTTTGAGACTTTTTTTACTATTTAAGATACCCCTCATATCTTTCCTTGTTCTATTTCCTCTACACGCATGCACAGTTATCTGAAAAGGAAAGGAAGAAAGAAAAAGCTGGCACAATAGTACTGGTATTTTACGGTTTTGAATTTTCAAGTCCTGCGCGGTCTGAGCCGCTGCTTTCTTAAAGGACTACGTAGGTATTCGTAAAAACACATCCCAAATCATCATTCATTCCCACCAAAATTCTGGTATTTTTTCCCTACCCATAACCCGTTAACGTTTCATTCCTCTCCATCGCCGCTGCTAGCGCTGGCCGTTTATTTGAAGACCTTTCCGTCAGCGTGGGGGTACTCCTTGCCGTTGACGGTGACGGGCTTGTCCCAGGACCACTGAGCCTCAACGTAGGCACGGTCCTCAGGCTTGGAGGGGTCGAGCTTGATGAACTCGTAGCTCTCATAATCGGGAGCGACGTCGAAGACAGGGATGTAGTCCTGGCCTCGGATGACGAAAGCACCCTCGATAACGGAGTCGTTGTTGGCACCGTAGACGGAGGCGCAGCCGAAGAGGTACTTGCGAGAACCCTCCAGACGGTTGTTGAAGCCGCCGATGAGGTTGTTAGACATGAAAGTCAGGGTAAGCTCATCGTTGTACTTGTAGGCAACCTTCCACAGGGAGTACTCGTCGAAATTGACGTTCTCCCAGAACCACTTGAGGGCATCGGGGGTCTCGCTGTTGGAGTACTGGCGCTTCCACTCATCGAGAGGAAGAGAAGCCTTGGGCAGAGACTCAAGGGGGTGCTTGGCCTTGGGGGCAGCCTCCTCCTCGGGCTCGGCAGCCTTGGGGGCAGCAGCGGGCTTAGGAGCAGCCTTGGGAGCCTCAGCCTTCTTGGGGGCGACGTTGGTCAGGGCAGGGGTGTCGAGGAAGGGGAGCTTCTCGGCAACAGCAGAGTAGATGGGCTGGTTGACAATGGTCTCGTACCAACGAGTGACAGCGGGGTGCTGCTGGCGCCACGCCTTGTCGAAGAAGTTCTGGAAGCCACGGTACAGGAGACCGGCGCTGAAGAGATCAGCGAGGGTGATGCGCTCGCCGACGAGGTAGGTGTGGTGGGTGAGGTGCTCCTCAGCAGCGTCAATGGCAGCACCAACCTCCTTGGCGGTGTCATCGACAGTCTTCTTGTTGTAGGGCTTGGTGCCGTTCAGGAGGGCAGTCCAAGCACCGAGCTTAGGGGCGACCTCGGTGTTGAAGAATGACATCCATCGCAGAATGGAAGCGTAGCTATTCAAGTTGTTAGGAATGGGTAGACAGCCATGGTAAGCGGGGAAATGAGTCACTTACTCCTGCTTGGTCTTGCCGAGAAGGGTGGTCTTCTCGTTCTGGGAGGTGACTGTATCATCAAGTTAGCTCGAGTGCCACACATATTTGACCCTAAAGGTAGAATTTGATGATAAAAGGATGGAGAAGGGATAAGATCAGAAGTTGTCGTTATCAACACAAAGAAAAGTTATAATTTTATACAATTCTTTCAGACAGGGATAACTATAAATATGTTCATCATGTGAAGGCGGCCGGCCACGGGAAGGCCAGCCAGGTGCGGCAAAAACAAGTAGCAAGAGGGGAAAATTGGGGAAAATTGCTGTCAACATCGATCGATGTACGTACCGTAGATGGCGATGGCAATGCACTCGCTCAGGGCGTAGCCATCCTCGCCAACAAAGGCAGGGTACTTGCCCAGAGGGTGAGCCTTCTTGTGCTCGGCAGAGATCTTGCCAGCCTCAACGAGGGAGATGTTGAGGTCGAGGCCGTTGGCCTTGGCGACAGCCTTGATGGCGGTGGCACGAGGTTGGTCCTGCAGGACGACAAAAGTGAGCAGCCTGTCCAAAGAAGATGTTATTCGGATGAGGGTGAGAGACTAACGGCGGTGGTGAAGAGAGTTCCGAAAGCCATTTTGACAGATGCTTGACTGGAAAGTTGAAGCTTGAAGAGAAGAGAAGAGAGGGATGGGGCGACGAAGGAATTTTTTTTTTTTTTAATGAGGGGATGTAGCTCTGCCCCGCGCGGTGGCTGGCGCAGCGGCGGTTACAGGGGGCTGCTGTGGCTGGTGCTATGTACGAACTACCGCTGTGCGTTATCTACACGTGACTGCATTGGATTTTCGCTGCCACAGTTGAGTGCTGCAATCGACAGTCGAGGTTATCGAATCTGAGGTATCACGACGTGGGAAAACCAGATTAGACGCTGTTTGGATCTACTCAACCCGGTGACGAGAAGCAATGGCGTCAATTGCAAGCGGCCTGCGCCATGCGAGGTGCGCAAGCTCGATTGCGGCGGCACCATGGCGATCATCAATCGTCCCCCGATCAAGCTTCCAGCTTGCAATTCGCTCTATAACCAACGCCGCCCAGAAGCCCTCGATTACCGACCTCGAAGCATCTTCCTCTGCTGAATCTGTATTGATCCCGTATCAAGGCGTGACCCATGCGCGAGTCCTGCCGGCAACGCCATCATACTTTTCTCGAGAACCTCTCTTCAACGACTTATACATTGGCATCTCCAAGCTGCTCACCAAATACAACCACCTACCCACAGTTACCCCCAGCGAAGCGCCGCAGATGCCATGGACGAAGCTAGAGGAGATGCGAGCACAGATGGGAGAGCCTATCAAGTCTTCACATTACGCAAAAGTCATGCGAGTGGCCAAGCGCCTGAATCTCATTGAGCCCAGTCTACGGCCGGCCGAGGTTACGGTTGCGCTGTCGGAGTTTACGAGAGATATCAACCCGTTCTTGAACATGCCGAACCCGATCCAGATTGACAAGTTCGGGCGTGCCGTTGGTGTTGGCAAGAGAAAGGAGTCGACTGCTCGCGCATTCGTTGTGGAGGGTACCGGAGAGGTTCTAGTGAACGGCAAGACACTGAGCGAGGCCTTTGGTCGCGTGCACGACCGTGAAAGCGCAGTCTGGGCCCTCACTGCCACCGAGAGGCTGGACAAATACAACGTCTGGGCCTTGGTTGAGGGAGGCGGTACAACAGGACAGGCCGAGGCTATCACCCTGGCCGTCGCAAAGGCGCTGGTTGCTCACGAGCCAGCATTGAAAACTGCTCTAAGAAAAGGTATGTCGTATGAACCCTCTTGCTATTTTTGCACCCTGCTTCGGGCATCAATAGGAAAGCTAACGTTGTATCCGCCCAGCCGGTTGCATTACACGCGATCCCAGGACAGTGGAGAGGAAGAAGCATGGACATGTCAAGGCCCGAAAGATGCCTGCTTGGGTCAAACGATAGAAGCTGCGCGGACCCGAGTTATTTTTTTTTTACGGCGTTTGAAAGCCCGCATAGGCGAGATTACGCAGGATACCTGCGTAAGAACAAGCCTGGCGGAACGGCTTACCTAGCCATGTTGGCAGCGTTACTATACCATCTACAAAAAAAAAATGTATTTATAGAACCCTAGACGTTGCTTCTTGGGGCAATTTGGGTTATCTTACCTCTTACCCATGCTTGAAGCAACATATCATAATGAAGTATGACTAGAACAAGCACTGTGCGCTGTAGCTGCTCGGAATGTTTGAACGTGTCCAAGTGTCGCTGATTGAACCCATTCCGTATACGGATATAATATTCAATAGATCCTCTTGATCAAAAAGTTCAGCTCTCATTCAGCCAACTCGCATCTAGGCCAATAAAGGAGAGCTGAAAGTAAAAAGAAAGGAAGAGAAAGGAAGGGAAATTGGTTATAGTGCGGGCATCAGTACCGCGTTTACGGATCATATCACTCGTAAGCGAAGGCTCGGCGAATTGACATATCAGCCGCCGCTCACTCAGCCGCACATTAATAGCAAATGACGACTGCACAACAAAGATCTTGCGTAGTCAGTGCTTTGATATCTTTCAGTTACTTTTTCGGTCGGTATTTTTTTCCGGTTTCGTTCCCTGACCTTGGTCCCATGTCATAGCCGGCTAGGGAGATTCCAAGATGCTGGAAAGGATGGCAAGCTGGAAGTGTTACCCGTGCCAAAAGAGGAAATCGGCGACGTCCGGCAATCTATTTCGATTTTATCCTGAACCATGTGATTTATCCTGATCCATGTAAGTCGTGCCTGGGATTGCGAGGCTGGCAAGCCGTTCCTGCGACATGGGACTCTGCATTAAACAATACCGGAGCTTTGTAAATATCCAGCACGCATTCCGCAACTGTTCTCATTGTTCCGAATATACTGGTTGTAGTCTTTGTTGACAAGCTAGGATTTAAGGGATGGTGGTCTACGTACATGTTGCTATCATGCGTGCCAGGGCGTGCGATAAAGGGGCGGGAAATTGAGAGAGAGTTGCCAGTACGAGATATTGAACAGGGATCTCACAACGTACCTTCGGCTGACCAGGCAAGCTACGTGCTCGCCTCGTTTCTGTAAGTGGCAATGATCAAGCCAATCTGCCGGGTTCGGCCCTTGGCCGAGCAAGACCAGCTCAATGCAGCTCAAGTTCGCGACGTTTGCCATTCTCGGGGCATCATGTCCATTTGCTAGAGCTTCGATATGGCAACGGCCAGCTCTGTTCTTAGCCACTAATGACGTAGAACCACACGCCAATATTGGCAGATGCGGCTGAGGCTGCGCGAAGCCTGCTGTGCCAAGTAAATTGGTGTCCTTCCAGGGTAGTTGGAAGAAGGAAGGCCAGGCGTCCAATAAAAGGTCGTATAATTTGCCTAAGGGTGACGCAGGAGGGTTTACTTTTAGCCAATAGCAATAACGCATGTCACATTGAGTACTATGCCGACATGTACCAGCCATCAGGCAAGTTACATCCGCCCAAGCGAAAAGCACCAACAGTGATTCTCGTGAGTAGCGTGGTCCAATACTACAGTAGCAGCGCTATCGTGTCATGAATGGTTCAATGAGATCGCCTCACTCTACGCCCCGCCCTTATGCTTCGCTAAGAATCGAGTCGAAGTGGGATAGGGCGGCAAGCAGTGCTATTGGCAGTTGACATGGCAGATGATCGGCGCTTGTTTTGGTCGCCCTGTCAGTATCTATTCTGCGGCAAGCCATGTCGTAAACCCGGCTGAAGCCAGGCCTGACTTATCAAAGTCGAAACTCTGGATGCAGGGGAGCGACTTCATGTGTACGGAGCATAGACGGCTGGGGTAAAACACGACCAGGTTCTTGACTAGCACCAGAGCTGCCCGTTCCCCACAGAGCAGCTGAATGTCGGGCATTAGCCTGACGTGCCAGGCTTGCCCACACATGCGAGCTCTCTTCCGTTCTCCTTCCCAACAGCCACCAGGGCACATGCCTGTACGGGTATGTAGGCTAGATGGCGGCACCAGATCCGCGGATAGTCTTTATTCACGGTACGTCAAACGGCGTACGGAGGCTAGATAGAATTGTTAGCCCGTGCTACTTGGTAGATGCATATGTTCCGCCAGGCTGGCTGCGCCTTGCAAATACTTGCCCAATGCCTGGTAGTAGTAATACTAGGTGCCTACCACTAGACTAAGGTAGTACTGTCACTCCTTTACACAATCCGGATGTAACCCCGTAGTGGCGCTCCGTATTAGCAGTAACATATAGCGGTAGCAATAGCAGCAGCAGCAGTGAAGCTCCATAGCAGAGGTAGCATCCCTCAAGGATTGGATAGGCATAAAAAGAAAACGTAGCCGTTTCAGACGGCAGATGCGGGCCTGTGAGACATCAGGCCACTCCGCCGAACTCCTCCGACCAGGAATAGCAGCGGCTCATAGCCCGTAATTCATGCGTCCACGGACGGTAGGCGCCTCGTTCTCACGATATCTCGTCTTTGGTGCCTTTTGATTAGTATACATCCAAGTTCCAGTGCTATTATTAACCGAAACAGGTGCTGCTGCTGACGAGTGATGTGGCGGTAGTACATAGATTGAGGTCGAGGAGATATTCGATGCCCTTCTCATTTCCGTTAGCGGGCTTGCCCAATAGTTTCGTGCCTGTGTACAATGTACGACCTGTTTTCCAAGTCGCCAGATCTGCTTTAGCACTCTTCTGAAAGACGCTACTTGTTTTTTTTTTTTTTCAGCAGCACATGGATCACGGCTTTAAGAAAAAATATTCTTAGGTGCCACGCTACGCAAAGCCGCTCCATCTCCACACGCGCTTTTGGCCCTCTCAGTGGCTGCTTGTCGATGGAGTCGCTGTGGAGGACTGAGACCTTTGGCCTTTAGCACGGCCCTAGCGACCTGCATTTTGCCTGTATTTGCTTGCTGCGAGCCCGCAGATTGGCTGCCCTGGACCTGCGTGCAGCATGCGCTATCCAGCTAAAAAGCACGTTACTGGAGACTTTGACGCACGCTGCACATGGCCTCCCGCAGGGCCTCCACCGCGATCGAAGGTGCGTCTGTCCCCTGTTCCTGGTCACAAGATGGCGAGTGGAATGGCTGAGGCTGAAGAGAAACGGAGGAAAAGAAAGAAAAGAAGAAAGAAAGAGAGTAGAGAATAAAGATTAGGCGTGAATGATGCCATAATTCCGGGCCCAATCTGGAGTGAGATAAGCTGCCTTACTTATCTCTATACCGAATGCAAACGCCAAGTTTAAGCACCCCTTGCTCCTGCCTTGGAACACCGGCCCAGCTTGTGCTCTGGGGAACGGAAAGTGCTTTCTGTATCCTGAAGTCTGAGACCTGTGCGAGTACTGCGCAAATACACTGCGTCAAGTGAATAATGACATTGACAGTACATGTACTGCTTAAGTATCTAGGAAGTACTTTTAAGTATTTGTGTTTCTGCTCGAGCTTGTGCTTGTTGCCCAATTCCAAATATGGAGGTGCACGTCAGGCACAAACCTATCTTCTACCTTGTTGGGGGCCATTTTCTTCAACTTCAACTCCTTCACTCCCTCTTCTCGCCCATTCGGCCCAGCTCTAGGCCCAGCTTCTTCCACAGCGCTCACCCAACTGTCAAAGCCCCTGCAGGTGGCTTGGCTTGTTCGACGGGCGTGTCGATTTTTGGGGGTGTGTGCCTTCACCAAGCGGTCCAGACTACTACTAGAGCAACCGGCATGTTTGAGTTCAACATCCCTTTTGCTTCGTCCAGCTGGGTCCTAGTGGGTGGCACGCGTGGAACAAGATCAGGTATGCTTGTCCTGTGATTTGCTCTTGCATTCGGTATCTTTCGACTGTGGCTGAGACACAGGTGCCTTCGTCAAAAAGGAAGCAGAAAATGGACCATTCCTCATTTCGAGCGCATTGTGCATCGCGCCCAGTTGGGACGACCCGGGTTGTCGGGACGCTGTTTGGCGGACTGGGATCTTCTGCGACAACCCTAATGCCTGACCAGTGGCCGGGGGTTTTCCCCGTTGGCTGACAGGCTGCGGTTTTTGATCGATGGACGGCCGTCAGAGCCTGTTGGAAAACAATTTTCGTGTGGGCATTGAAACTTCGGTCATCCCCGTGTAGTGGACTAATTGTGCAAATAGGCCATTCGCTGCCAAGTTGCTGGGGCCTGACTAGCCACGGCAAAACAGCCGGCACACAAGCGCCGTCATACATAGGCTTTTGCTAACTACAGTCTGGTCTGACTGGCACAATGAGCAGTTTCCGCGGCTTACCACCGAGTCCCATTCCACTCAAAGAGAGAAGCTATGCAATTACACGTGGTCTATTAGGGAAATATCGGCTGGAGAAAATAGAAGAGGATGAAAAAAAATCCCTGCTTGATGGGGGTTACGCGTCATTATCCTGCTATATTTCGCTGCAGATGATCCCGTTTCTCATCCAAGGGCAGCAAGACAGCCGGGAGTCTCAAACGCTCTCATTCATGCAAATGCCTTGCTATGATTTCTCCTACACGTCTGTGGCGCGTTTCTGATTTTCACCCTGCTTGTAATGCGCCTTCGATCGCAATATGGTAGGGCGGCTACCTGTACATTGAAGTAACAAAACCGTTACATTGGCCAGCATTTCCCCCTGGCAATTGACCTTTGGACGCACGCAAGTGAACGGAGGATACCCATTCCAGCAGTGGCTTGCATTACAAAGCAGCAACCTGCTTGGGCACGCGAGATGCGATCCAACAGACGGCGCTTTATGCCCAAAGGACTGGAATGAAGCCTTGTTCACAGAACTTCTGTTAGCCAAAGGCGAGAAACCGGCTCATGGTGCCAAGCCCAATCCATCGCCGTGCCCACCTACTAAGTCAAGATGCGAATCCACTTTGTTTCGTGTCTGTGGTCTTTGGCGGAGAACAACGAGACTTCTTTGTTTCCGCCCTAACCAGGACTGATTTTTCACATGTGGTTCTGCCCAATTGCGAGCCTTGAAGCTAGATCTACACGCTTGTTGGCCTGCGTTTACCTCAAGTACAATATGCAGGGTACGGAGCACTACCTTTTCCATGTTACTTGCCTGATTTCTCGCCGTCTTCTTTTTGCACCTTGACCCATCGGGAGGGGCCCTTGTCTTTGTACTTGTCCGACGCCTTTGTTCCGCCATGCCGGGTGACCAGGGGGTGGCCACATGCAGATCCTAAATCGACAATTCAAACTCTCACACTCCTAGCTGCAGACTAGTGACAACCTATCAGCTCTATCGCCCCAAGTTCTTCCTTTAGGCCCAACGCAAGGTACAGAATACGACAGGGCGTCCAGCACCCCGGGTCATGGTCTTTTCTTCTTTCTGGTACCCTGGAGCTGAGGTCCTGTCTTGGCCGACGTGGCTCCTAGCTTTCGTCATGATCAAGCAGCCCTGCTTTGCTTCGCCGGCACACGCTTGGACGGCATATTGCTGACGTCCCTCTTCCTGCACTCTGTGCTCCCACACTACCCACCGGCGACATGGTATATACCATCTAGCTAGGGAGTACGTTCCTGTACTCGTGCCTCCCTGTCTAGACGTCTTCTTTATTACCTACTTGTCTCTTTCTTTCTTTTATTAGCGTGGGTATCGGAGGAAACGACTTTATCAACTAGTCCCCCCCTCGGTATAAGACCCGATGATTCCTCCAACGCCAGTCACCTGTCTCCAGCAAGGCTCCATCTATTTAGTGATCTAGTATTACTGCTACTAGTAACTGCTCTTCGGTCTAATAATCTCCGCCGTTTGGGGTCTGAGCCGAGTTTCCATCTTCGCCATTGTCATCAAGTGCTTAATTGCTGCTCTCACGCGCTCATACATCACCTGATTGGCAAGGAGTCTGTCCTCGTCATACCTATTTTGTTCTGGATCATCTTATCTCGAACTATTTTTGGCGAGACTATCTGCTCTGTCAGATTCAAGCAGGTAAGCACTCAAAAACAAAGTGAATGGTAGCTGTCTTCCTCAATGCTCGCACTGGGGATTTTCCAACTTGAAATACCATGGCATAGTCCTAACGCATTCACTGAACGATTACCTGCCTTAATTTACCTAACATCTTTTGTACAGGAGGCCGGTGTGTCCCGGAGTTCAAGGCTAGATCAAACCAGTGGAACCTGCAGCCTCTCTGGCGCCTGGTCCCTGACGTATTGCCTTTTGGGGGTTGATTAAACAGACCGTTGGCTCCGCCAAACCCGCCATTTGAGAATTTGCGAATTCACCAGAGGGCACCGTTCTTTCTGTTCATCACTACCACCTTTCGTTAATCCGGAAAAGAACCACCACACTCGTTTATTTTTGCTTCTATGAAAGATCAGCTCTTCAAGCTTGTTGAACTCTGAGGATCGAAGATAGCACCAATCACTCAGCTTGTCAGCCTGGAGCCTTACGTTCTTGGGGAATCCTCGGTCTGATTGTCGAACACCTCTAGCAGTCGTCAGCTAGGGAGATCACTTCGTATTGACAGATTTGATCTGTACTCCCACACATTTTTCTATAGCTATTCACAGAATTTTGTTGATCCGCGCCGCTCATCTTTTCTATAAGACAGTCGTTCAGGATTCCTCCTACGAAGACTATTTGCTTAAGCACAACTAGCGATACGGTTAACAGTGCACTGGATTTGTTTTCTGCACTACCCTTTTTCCAACTTCAACAACAGCGCTGGCTCTCCAGCGCTCCGAGAGAACTCGGCAGAAGAACTTCTTCTCAACAACGCCCAATAGGGCATGGACAATCCTAATCACCATAGAAGGCAGAATGACCCGCCTACCTATCGCGCTCCTGTACAGAAGTATCAAGTTCCAAGCTCTGTAGGCGGACCCTCTGAGCGCTTTCGATCTGCACCACTTGCGTCTGCTTCAACGCCAAGAGGTCTGGGGGGTGCGCCGGCGTACAGCACATATTACCAAGAGCCCTCGGCCGCTTTTTCAACGCCAACAAATATGCCGACGACGGCTTTAGCGTATGGGTCGGAATACGGCGCCGATTCAAGACCACAAACTCAAAGTTTCGGGGGCTACAACACGGGTATGATGATGTACAACGTGCCTCAACCGAGCGCACAAACTCCAGTCTACGATGCCCAACAGTTTGGGCAACGACAGCAGGCGACAATGCAGATGATGGCACCGGATGTCACCTCGGCATATTTTAATCCTGAAGCAGGGAGTGCAGCAGCAGCAGGTATGCAGCATCCAAGCCAGGCAAGCAGTGCATCAACCGGAGTATATCAACAGAGCCAGCCCATGAATTATGCCGGCAGCATGCCTTCTTCAAATGCCATGCAGCACACGTCTGGAACAGCAGATCCCACTATGGGAGAAGGGCAAGACTATGCTACGTCGTCTGGTCTTCAAGAGAAGTGGTTAAACTACCAACGGCAGCTGGGTTCTGTGTTCCAGGACATCTCGTCGATCTCTCTAGAAAGGGCCGCTGAAACACTGTTAAATGTCTCCAGCTGGCTGCTCATGCAGGTTGCAGAATTAGGTATGGAGAGAAGGCTGATCAGTTTGAAACCAGCTTGGTGTTTGTACTTACATGCTAAACAGGGCTCAACCAAGACGACGCCAGCCTCCACGCCGAACGAATCAAGCTCTGGAACGACTTCAACCACGCGTGGCTCGCCCTCTGTTTCCGACAGAAAGAAATAATGTCTTCCAGTCAGCAACTTTCGAGATCACAGAGAATCATGTCCCAGGAAACAATAAAGAAGCTAGGAGACGAGCTCATTCGACTCTGCGATGGTATCGAGAGCCATGGCTTAGTAGACTATCAGTATGGCGTGTGGGAGGATCGAATTGAGGCCAGTATGTCATCAAACCTCTTTCTCTTGTTCTTGGAATTGGAAGGACACTAACCAAACTTTAGTTCTCGAAGAGTGCCTTGACCTCTACGACTCTCCCGAATCGAACGCTAATACAAGCGGAGGACCGCGCTGATTCTCCTCCGCCTTTGTATATCACGACGTTGAATAAGCAAATGAGGCATGTTGGCTACATGGCAGAATGAAGAATGACGGCAGGATTTTTCATCTCTCTCTTTCTCTATTATTCATTTTCTTTCTTTCTCTCCTCATTTCCTTTGTTTACTTTACTTGTACCCTTGCATTTTTAGCGCCTTGGGAAATGTATATTATACGATGAGAAACTTTCACACGGCTTCTACAATAGCGCAGATATGGACATGGCTGGATCGGAAGGAAGGTTAACATAGAAAGAGTTTTCTTCATAATTGGGTATCATGGGATTTGGGCGGTTGGAATTTGGAATTCTCTTTTCTTAGGGTGGGCGCTGCATCTGCTTTGGGTCGGATCTGAGCGTTAAGGGAGGAAGTCAGTGGCACAGCGTACCAAGCGGTGCGTCTATGTATGTTCTATTGGTTGCCTCTTCATGAGCTGGGAACATGAAGGGACCGGTGGCAAACATGGTCCCGTACGCAAACACGCAGATATTCATGTACACACCCAAACCCACAGCATGCCCTATCACTGAGTGAATGCTGCTTGTGTGGGGGCATGTTTTAGAGGAAATGGCACGATATTAGACGGTTATTTTGGATATACACAATGGGAACGACTACGGGAGCGGACAAAGCGTGTGAGAGGACCAAAGGATCTGGTTGGGAGGCGTCGAAGGGCGGGCTTTCAGGCGAGAAATGCGAAACTAGCGAATGCTCTGTTCTTTTTCTTTCTCTCTTATCTTCCCCCACGTCAGCTTGGAAATGACCTGTACGAATTTTTCAGCCCAAGGACCTTCTATTCTTTTTTTTATAACGTATTATTTGGGTTTAGACGTTGGGCTAGAATATGACGAGTTGGAGCCCCCACGGGCTGTATCAACCGGCTGGGAGCGGCATGAGAGCTAGTGGCTGTGTACATGGCAAACATATTAAAAGTTAGATGGCAAATTTGAATAGATTCATTGGGCACAGCAGCTTGCGAGTGACGAGATACAAGGCCATGAAGTTGCAAGCCTAATGTGACCCTCCCTGCATGGACTTTTTGTGATCCAGCCACCGCTCATCACATTCAAGGAATCGGCACTTGGCGCCGCTATGGGGGGCAGCCGTCGGGTAGGACAATTCACGATGGCATATGACATCTGGCTTTGGGTGGTTTTGTCACCCGTGACGCAATGAAAGCACATGCTTGGCCTTGTAACCAAGGGGCATTACCGAGGAGCCCATGTCTGCGCCTCAACTATGGCACTCCGGCCACGATACCCGGGAGGCCATTGAAGCGCGTGACATCTCTCTTACACGCACGAGAGGTTTAATGGACGCAGGCCTCAAAACTGGCAGAGGGGTAAAGTCAGCACTCAAGAAGCTGAGGCGGCTGGGACTTTGGGGGCCGAATCAAGGGACTGCTTGGCAAGACCCAGCCCAGGATGGCTGCTGCTAGCGTTTCATGGGGCAGCGCTGCCTTGTGTAGCTGAGATTCACGTCGTGGCTGAGAGTAAGCGGGAGCAAGTCCCTTTCTGCTTGCAACTTTGCTAGCTACCATAGGCTGGGGGCGTCGGCAATCGTGGACGGACGCATAAACATGATGCTCCTAGCTGCATACGTGGAGACGCTTGGCAAGCAGCAGAAGTGACGACCCTCAACCAATGCTTCGGTGAGGCGAAAAAGAAAAAGACATAAGATACCACCATCCATGAGTCACCTGAGATGAGCTGATGTGTGCCAGCAGGCGTATGCTTGTAGACTTCATGGAGGGTAGTACTTCTGATCCATGTAGCCATACTCCCCTACAGGCTGTGGCAGCATGAAGCCTTGGCTAGGTTACATGTAGCCACCATCTCGCATTGGTTGGTTTGCTTTTTGATTATTGTAGCGGCAAAATTGAGGTACAGTAAGATGGTGAATGGTGAATGTCAGGAGGAGGAGTATTTGCATTTGGCTATAGCTGCGGCTAGCGAGCGGCATCCTCAGTTTAATTCCGATGAGGTCTTGCTAATAGGAATTTGATGGGGCACTGGATCTGAGTCTAGAACTGACCCTGGCATATCTTGGCTGCTCCTCTTATAGATGGTAGTACCTATATGTACTGCGCATGAGCAGCCATTGTCCGTCAGCTTAAGGGGTCAAGATGGCACGGCCAAGGTAAGCTTTCGGTGCATTTTCGACGGTGCCGAGATCCAGCTTGACCCAGCATGATTTCCGATCGGTCGTAAATTTCGGGCTGGGCCTGCATGTGACGTTGACATGTATGTATGTGCAGGGGTACGATTGGAGCTTGGAGCTTGCGCATTTCGCCTCGCAGAGCCAGCAGTGGGACAAAATGACGATCCCCCAGATCCCAGATTGAAGTAGCCTAGCTGCCTAGTATGCTGCTGCAGTACAAACCACAATTAGTATCTTGCATTGAGTCGGAGAATGGACGTACCAAGGTATGCGGTGTAGGTGTGAATGTAAGGATGAAAATGGAAAAGACGAGAAAATGAGCGAAAGAGAGTGAGGAATGCATGTCACTGGTAGTATACCCAGTACTGCATAGGAGGGAAGGAGTGACGGAACAAACAGCACATGACGGCACCTGCCTGCTGTGCCCCATCATAGGGATCGGTACCTCTTGGTACCAAGTACAAGTCCTAATAGAGCCGCCCAAAAGGTTATAATGAAGTGCTACTCGAAGCAACCGTGATTTACTCAACTAGAGGTGCGCATCGCCTACCAATATTTCCAAGTCCGTGTATCGTACCTGTAATTGAAAGAAGACAACACCACATTGAATCAGATTCGTGTTAATTTTTCCGAAGTAAAGCAAAACCAAGGGAGAACGCAGAAACTAGGTCTCTATCAATTAAGAGCAAGTAGAAAAGCAGCGGCGATTACATATTTAAAAAATGACATGTCATAACTGATATCTGTTAGAAGCCAATATTGTGAAAAGGCGGGTATCATTTCAACCGGCTCCCTAGCCATACTGCCATATGATCCCTACGAACAATTGAAATCATTCGCTACGGCTAAGCAGAAGAAAAAATGAACGAAAGAGGTGGGTAAAAACTGAGGAACAGGCGGGAAGCATGTTTCATTGAGATGTAAACGTATAACAGACAAGCCGCCACTTGACTTGCGCCACAACTCAGTTCCCATTTCCTGAGATAGTAGTACAACAAGCCTCAAGAATCAATGGCCGCTGCAAATGGCATTAAGGTGCTTATTCGCCGAGCGTCTTATATGTCCTTTGATGGGCATCCTGCCATTTTCGGCTCATTCCACCGCGATCAAATAAAATATCATTCGAAATAGCCGAGATGAACACCACCCATCACTTTTTTTTAGCTTCTCATTGAGCTCTAATGAACATCTTCAGGTCCATTCAAATGCTGCCCAAAGTACCAGCTTGTACATAGTTGGCGTATATAGAGTGTTGAATTAGCCCTGCCCATTATAAGGTGCATTGGGAACTGGTCTTGATCATGATCTGTGCCCTCCAAGATTCTCTGTAATAAGGCAGAAATATTTTCTAGTCAACAAATTCCCAAAGCCATCAACACTTTTTTTTCCTGGTGCCGGTACTTGCTGTACCCATACAAGCAAGACATAGTTGATCTATCCTAGATGGGTGCATAATGTATATTGGAGCTAACTCACCCAATCCCATAGATGTCAAGATTTCGTCTCGTTAACGTACCAACTCGTTTGATTCAGCAGGACATCCAAAATGACTTACCGATCAGAGGGCGACTCAAGAAAATCTCAAGGCCAAATCGTACCGATACCAGCATCGTTGAATTGCGGTGACGCATTTTTGATTCGCTGCGATTGGGCAAGTCCGTCACCAGGGCTGAAGCTGAAGATTGAATGTAGATATTCATTATCATAACTGCTATATTTCCATTATCCACAAATCGCTTTCCTAGCGGTGTCTACCCGAGACCAACGCTGCCTTTTACCCCCCTTCAACGAACGTTTAAAATTGATCTGTTATCAAGGTGTTAGTTTCTTGCTGCTTTCAATCAAATACGCCCGAAAAGGGGTCTAAACCCGAGAAGAAAGGCTCCCTCAATAATAGAGAGAGATAAAGGGAGGAGAAGAAAACAAGAAAAGGGGGACTCCCAATGAAATACGCACCTAGAGTCATGCTCATGCTGACATCCGTATTCTCCACCATCTTGGTAAACTCCTCAAAGCTAATCTTGCCGTCCTTGTCCAGGTCCGCCTCCATTATCGTCTTGTCGACAATCTGCTGCAGCTGCTGGTCCTTCAAGTTGCTGCCAACCATCATCTTGAGCACGATGAAGAGCTCGCCGTTGCTGATGTAGCCGTCGCGGTCAATGTCGTAGACCTTGAAGGCGAACTGCAGCTTTTGCTCCTTGTTGCCCTTGCTGCTGAAGGCGCTCAGGCCGGAGACAAACTCCTGAAAGTCGACATCGCCACCGCCGTCCTCGTCAAAGATGGCAATCATGCTAATCGTATTGTCGAGTTAGCCGCTGGCCTATTCATTCATCTATACACCAATAAAGGGGGGGAAAGGGGCGAGCGGTGTATAAATTCGCCGTGGGGGGAGGATGAGGTAAGATCGAACGAACCGTGTCGCAAGAGGGTTGGAAGAGATTTGAGGAAGGCTGAGAAATTCGTCGCGCTCGATTGTGCCAGAGTTATCCTGCAGCAGAATAGTCAGCCAGTCTGTCTACCATCGTGCCCCATCTCGTATCGTCTTGTTGAACCGCGGCGCGATCAAAGTGTAAAGCAGCCCAGCCCAAGCGTTCGGTCTGGCTTAGTTCCCCTTTCTTTTCAATCGTACCTTGTCGAGTTTCATGAACCGTTTCCTTAATCGGTCGACTTCCTCTCTGTCAACTTTGTGATGCAGGGTCAGCCAAACTAGAATCCAGATATAAGACAACCACAAGGAGGCGAGAGCCTACAGTTGGACCCTTGGACAATGTTGTCCAGCACAGTACTCGTGGTGTTGCCCATCTTGCTAGACAGGACTGCGCGGCCGCTTGTGCGCTAAAGAAGGTCTCGTGTGGCTAAAGATACAATGATGGCAGTCGAAGGAGAGAAACGCTGATACGGTAGGAGGCCGTTCTGCGCGGCGGTCGTGTATGCAACGGGTGGCGGTTGTTAAATGTCGTCGTATGTACGAGAGTGTGTAAGTAAGGCGCCGGATTGGATTTGTAGGCGCTGTATTAGACAGTCGAGGCGACTCCTAGAGGGGTAGCTGGTCATGTGCACGGACCATCGCTGCTCTGATTTGTAGTGTCAAGAGACTGCTGAACAGCCTGCAGCGATAAGCAGTTCCATTCAATGTAAATTCAGCCTTGCGGAAGAGACAACCGGCATCAGGCTGGATTCGTAACAGATTCGGTTGCGCATGCAGAGGCTGCAGAGGCTGGCGCATCCTTGAACATGATAATAGTTAATTGGGGGGACTTGTTAGATGATTATGTCATTTTCACAAGATAGAGTTGAAACCTAAGATATGCGCGCTTGGGATGCTGCCGCTCACAGCTGCCATTGTGGCTGAAAAGCTACCTATGGCTGTGCAGCTTATCACGTCTGGTCTCTCCTTTCTTGCAAGCGAGGCGGTGACGGAACTCTGGCGAGCGCTAAATGCCCGCTGTACGGCTCTTCTTTGTAGCCTAGGCCGCTGCTTGAGGAAGAGACTGAAACAAGAAGAGAGCAAAAAGCCACTATGCCAGCTTTCGGCCCATCCCCGGCCTGGGCGCGTTTGGGCTGCTGTGGCCGCTGCTCAGCCAACCAGAGGCGCGCGCCCACAGCACTCGCCCAAGTACCTCGCCAGCCTCTGTGCGGTGCTGTTTTCAGCGCGTGGGCCTGCTGCGACTTCAGGGGATTGAGGGAGGCAAAAGGAGGGGGTGGCCCGAGCGCCGCCATGTACCGGCGCCCGCCAAACTCTACGGCGCAGTGACTTGCCAGCGGGCCACGGCGGCCACCAAACAGCCGCAATTTTCCAGGCTCTGCACCAGTGAAAAATCTTCGCGCGGCAAAACAAATCCCAACGTCACCTCATCGAACGCGAGCAAAGAGCCATCAAAAAAGCGAAACCACAGCGCCTATTTCATCAAAAAAATATCATAAGGCGACTTCGGACGTCTTGATTTATGACTTGATCTCTTTTTTTTGCGGATTTTCCGCTGGCTTTCTGCCGTCCTTCACCACCCTGGCAACATGTCATCCCGCAAAGTCCGAGTCAAGAAGTTGACTATCAAAACCGCTCTCCCTGTGCTCAGAGAGGATCAGATCGATGCTACAGAATATGAATCACTGCTTACCGAGTCGCAAATCGCGACCGGAGTCGACCAGACCGAGGAAAATGTGAGTCCATCACCACCCTAATGCCACATCACCGCAACTTCTGATATCACGTGCTCGGTCACGTGGTTTCCCCCTACCTGCTCCTACATTACCTTGCCCGCGATATATGAATATAGGTATACAGAGTGTATCAACAACTATGTGAAATGGCATAAGCCATTCTCACATATCCCACTCGTGTATTCAAATATCTCTTTGCCGTTTCTCCTTTGTTTTTTAACATCACTTTCATTGTTTGTCTTGATTTCCCTTCTTCTTCTTCTTCTTCATCATCTCAATCTTTCTCTTTTATATTCTTTTTTTCTGTCTTATTCTTTTCTCTTTCTCTTTTTTCTTTTCTTCTTCATTCAGTTTGACTGACTCTCTTTCTTCTTCTTTTCTGTGTAGGAATACCATCTTCAGTCCATTCTAAAAGAGGCGGGAACAAGCAATGATCAAGAAATCCCAGTTCCGCCTCCCAAAGAGAGTGACATCAGCTATGATGCCCTCTATCCCGTCATTTTCCACAAACCTTCCTCTTATATCCGATTCTCTCAGACAGTGGAGGAATGTATTAGCTGTCATTATGACATGACAACCGAAGACGATGAATTTCTCAAATCTTATAATAGTAATCCGCCCGCCGGCGCCGGGGCTCTCAGTGAGGATGACTTTGAACGCATCATGGAAGTGTTTGAGGACACCGCAACCGAGCAGACTCCCTTCGCAGCCGTTGACAACACTGTTGTCGGCTACGACATGATGGTTCCCGGACTCAATCAGCTTGGCTCTACAAACATATTGCTGCACGCCAAGCAGATATACGAGTACTGGAAATCCAAGCGACAGGAGGAAGGAAATAAACCACTCCACGCAACCATCAAGTTTGAGACGCATCAGGAGACTGATGATACTGACCCATACGTCTGCTTCAGGCGGCGGGAGGTCAGACAAACAAGGAAAACAAGGTCCAGAGATACCAAGATTGCCGAGACGCTCAAGCGTTTCCGTCGCGAGCTCGAGGATGGCCGTCATCTAGTATTGATGGCATACGAGCGAGAGATGATGAAACGAGATCTATTGCAAGTGGATCGGGCTATTTTCGAGGAAAGAGCTCGGTTGAAGCAAATCAAGACAAAGATGGGCATCAAGGGCGACGACGAAGACCTCGTAAACCAAAAGGTATGTTGCAAATCAAGGCCAGCTGGGCTCCCTACACATATGATGCCACTTGACACTAACATGACTCAGCCGTCGCAGAAGCGCAAGCCTGCAGAAGTTGCGGGAGCTCAGCGACCAGCCACTCAAGTGCGGGTGCCGGTGCGGCCAGATGGGCGTTCGCACGAACAAGACCTTGTGTTGCTTTCTGACCAGCTCGCCGAGAAGGAGAACGAGCTTCGTAATGAGATTGAAACTAAGGTGCAGAATCACCGAAGGTGGAATCAGAATCATATCGATCTCACTCGAGATCCGCTATCGCCGGTAAAAGAACTGGGCATGGAGCTCAAGTTCAGACCGGCAAAGACTCAATATCTAATGACGCCGCCGGCGTCAAATTCTGCAGAGTCAATGGACATTGACGACGCACCTGAGCCAATGCAATTGGACAAACCGGAACTTCCCGTATTCCAATTCCGCGGCGCAGACTTTGGCGAGACACCGCAAAACAGCCAGCCCGCCTTCAGACGTCGCATTGGCCGACTGCAAAGGCTCTGGATCGATCGGAGGGGTCTCTCAACACCCGCACGGACAGATACATACGAGTACTCTGACCGGTGGAAATACGACTCTGACGACGAAGATGACGAGCCGCTTGTGTATGAGGTTGACCCCTTTGACACGCGAGCGCTAAAGTTCAGAGCCACAATCCCACTCAGCCCATACATCTTCCGAGGAAGGCCAACGGTCCCTCCAGAGGCGGTTAATGGCGTAGCGAATGGAAATAGGGTGTTACCACCACCACCACAAGCGCAGCCACAGCCGCCGCCGCCGCAACCTGCAGTTCAGCAAGCGCAGGCGGCATCATAAAGAACCCTCTCTTCCCCCGCGACGAATCTAGTACTGCATCCTTGTATGAGTATGGAGGTGTATATAATTCGTTTTTTGCTTTCTTTTTTTCTCCAATCACGCTGGTATTGAAGGGTTCTCAGGAACGGACAGGACGGGGGGAGGGTTAGGAGGAGGCGGAATTTTTTGCTGTAGATGAAAAAAGGCCACCGATGTATAGTACAGTAGCCTTGGTCAGGGCATTGCGAGGAGTTGGGAGTTGGGGTCGGTTCTTTAGGATTAGAAAGAGAAGAGGCCCTCCAACGGGAGCAAATAAAAAAAAGATACAACCTAAATCCTGAACTGGCATTTAACCAGAGAGTAGAATTTTTTTTTTTGTTCGGCTCGGCCGCATGCAATTCGCGTGACGATCTGTATCCGACTCGACGGTAGACAGTCCGGGCATTGCCGACAGTCCGATTTGTGCTTGTGAGAGCTCTTTTCTTCTTCTCGCAAGGCGGGTGGTGTCGTGACGCAGCCCGGTCTCACCTCACCTCATTGCGACCAGGGCGGATGACGTGAGGGGAAGGCCGGCCTGCGCAACGTGGACTCGCCGGCCGTGATCGAGGTTCGCCATGAGCGTCGACGATGAAGAAGCTTGTAGAGAAGCTGATCATCAGTCTCACCAGCCGAAGCTGCAGCTAGAGGCTCTGTCTTTGTTCATCGGCTGTTTTTTTTTTATGCTACCAAGGCTGGTGTATTAGCAAGGCGCCGAAATAGATGGCAGCAGAAACAGAAGAGAGTTTCAAAGGGGCGGGTGTTTTCCTTGCAGGGAAAGGACATAGAACATACCATGGAGAAAACCAATGGCTAACAGATTCAGTCCATCATGAAGGACCAGAGTCAACAAAGAAATTTCTTCCTCTTGTGCTGCAATAATTTTTTCCCTTCTGGTGTCCCAGCTAGACATGCTAGAAGGGAAAAAAAGTCGAGGGGAAAGAAAGCGAGTGGTCGAAGTGGACCGCGGGAACGGGCTGGAAGTGGATTATTTTGGGGAGAAGGGTGGGAGGATTTGCGTCCGCACAGCAGAAACCGGCAGCGGAAGCACACACTTTCGCAAATCAAGGGACCTGGCAAGTGAATGGTAGCAAAAGCTTTAGCACCTGGGTAGGCAGAATGTACATGGGTAGCAAGTACTTGCCTCAGGCTGCCTGGAGGGATGCGCGGCCAGAGAGTACTTGCGGGATTTGTACAGGGCCGGCGAAGCGGGACCAAGGTGGTGTCTGTTAGTGCGAGCTTTTGCTGGTGACAAGAGAGCGCTAGAGGGCCATTTGCCGAACAGGGCGCCGTGGAAAGTTCAGAAGAGAAGACTTGAATTATGGCAGCACGCACCTCCTCTGCTGGCTCATAGCCGACGTGCGCGCAAAAAGCAATGGGGATTCCTGAATCGTAAGATATCAGCCGCAGGCCGAGCATCTTGCAAAGGAACGAAGGAGGTGCTACCTTGAAACAGCAGGTAGATTAGCAGTAAGAAACGGGGGAAGCAGACTCTTACATAAGTCAGCACGGCGCCTTTTGCCGAGACGTGATGTCGAATGCTACTCTATACGGGGAGAGCTCCCAATTCACCCGCGGGCTTTGCTGCAGCGGGTGGAAGAATTGGCTGTAGCACGTACATTAGCGCAAAGCATGAACTGAGCCGGTAAAAAAAGAATGAGGCATCATGTAGGAACACAGTACGAGGTCTACTAGCCCAGGTTGTATTGAGTGCATGCATTGGAAGATGAGAAAAATTGGGGAGACGATGGGTGGTAAAGTATGGCAGGTACGTACTATTTCCGCTATGCCGCAGTTTGAAAGCCCATGACGCTCGCCCCGCTAATTTCTGCTTCTGGCAGAGAACCCCTCTATTTTTTTTAGACGTCGAAACTTTGGGTTGGAGCAATATCACATTCTACGATTAATCAACGAATTGCCTTGATCAGGTATGTATGTTCCTTACAGCTCATGTTAAATAATCACAGACTTCTTTCTTGTTCCTGTAAGATATTTTGGACTGTGCTCATTTAAATCTACCACTCAGAAAAGAAATAGACAAAAGCATAGAAGCAACGACTCCCTCTCGTGAAGATCGCAACTCCAGATATCAGAACCCCAGGAAGCATCTATCCGCCAACCTGGCGCAAGAACAAAGCCACAGATAGACACGACCTCATTCACTCATTCTGTCTTCATAGCACTCTACCAACAAACTCATCCAACATGGCCGCCGCCGCCGTCGCCCCGCCGCTCCCTCCTCCTCAAACTACCACCACAACTACATCCATCACATCTCCCACATCAACATCAACATCAGCACCTCCAACATCCTCCACCAAATCCTCCTGGATTGCTCTCGGCTGCGAAGGCTCCGCCAACAAGCTCGGCATCGGCCTCATCCGCCACACCCCAACCTCCGCCACCATCCTCTCCAACCTGCGACACACATTCATCTCCCCGCCGGGAACCGGCTTCCTCCCCAAAGACACCGCCCTGCACCACCGCACCGAGTTCGTCGCCCTCGCCCGCCGTGCCATCGCCGAGGCGGGCATCTCCCCCGCCGACGTCGACTGCATCTGCTTCACCCAAGGGCCCGGCATGGGCGCGCCCTTGACCAGCGTAGCCATCGGCGCGCGCACCTTGTCCTTGCTCTGGGATAGACCTCTTGTGGGTGTCAACCACTGCGTCGGCCACATCGAAATGGGACGTGAGGTCACCGGCGCCGACAACCCCGTCGTGCTGTACGTCAGCGGCGGCAACTCCCAGGTCATTGCCTACGCCGAGAAGCGCTACCGCATCTTTGGCGAGACGCTCGACATCGCCGTTGGCAACTGCCTCGACCGCTTCGCCCGCGTGCTCAACATCAGCAACGACCCGGCCCCGGGCTATAACATCGAGCAGCTGGCCAAGAAGGGCAAGCAACTGCTCGAGCTGCCCTACATCGTCAAGGGCATGGACTGCTCCTTTTCCGGCATTCTTACTAGCGCAGAGGCACTGGCCGCGCAGCTGCTGGAGCGCGGGCCCGACGGCGCGGGCTTCACCGTCGAGGATCTCTGCTTCTCATTGCAGGAAACAATCTTTGCCATGCTGGTGGAGATTACGGAGCGGGCCATGGCGCACGTGGGCAGCAGCCAGGTCCTCATTGTCGGCGGCGTGGGCTGCAACGAGCGATTGCAGGAGATGATTGCGAGCATGGCTCAGGAGCGAGGCGGCAGCGTCTTTGCCATGGATGAGAGGTTCTGCATTGACAACGGCATCATGATTGCGCATGCCGGCTTATTGGCATATAGAACGGGATTCCGGACACCGCTTGACGAGAGCGTGTGTACGCAGAGGTTTAGAACAGATGATGTGTATGTCGAATGGAGGGATTAAAGCCTGCTAGAAACACACACAAAAGATGATAGAAACAAATAAAACTGCACGTATGTTGTGTTTAATATTCCGGTCATCTTGCTTATCTTTCTACCTTGTTGGCTCATAGCGAACCCCTTATAGATCTCTACTAATTCCACTACCTGTACCTAGCTAGCTCAGCTATAGTAGCTTGCCATTCAATATGGCATAGCTCAGGCATAACTATAGAGCCGTAGCTTTCCCATTGCACCCACCATTCCATGTAACTAAACTCATATCGTATCAAAAAGAAAACCCTCCCTATATCAAAATATTGTAGTAAAAAAGGGATACAGGGGGAAGCGAAAAAAGAAAAAGCAAAGTAATACATATTAGCTCTCTTAAACCAAAAAAAAATTTCTTCCCTCATACTCTGTGTTTGCCAATAATACTCCTTTGGCAAGCCGGCTTTAACCTTCATCCGCAGAAGTGGGTTTATAAATAATCGTAGTGACATACTAAATGACAAAAGTCAAAAAATTAGCAAACGCACGGTAAGTCGTAGAGATGCGCCTCCTCCTTTTCGCTTCACTCACCTTGTTGTGATATCTAATAGTCGCTGAAACAGCCAAGACATTGTTCTTAATGCTGCTCGTAGCAAGATGATTCAAAACAGTATGATTTGGCATGTTCAAGACGCTGTTGTCGTCCTTCATCAAGGTGGCAGCGTTGAGGATGGGTTTGCCCAAGAAGCCAGGCAAGCTGGGTGGTGTAGCCATCTTCTCAATAGCACTCTCGGCATTGCGATAGGCTGGCGACTCTTCGGCCTGGTCGAAATCGAGCAGGTACGGCGGAATTTGGCTATTGTAGGCTTCTTGTGGCGAAATAACCCTGTGCTTGGCAACTTTTGGCTCCTCTTTGGCCTGAGCTTCAGCTTGAGCAATCTCCTTCAATTTTCCAGCCTCAACAGCTTCTCCAGGCTCGCCTTGTTTCGTTGCCAATGGGTCCTCCGATCTCACTTCGATATAGTTTACCAAGTTGTTTCCGAAATCGACAGTGGTGGGAAGGGAAGGCGTCGTCTGCATAATTCCATCCACCAAGAAGCGGATGTGATGCGTACCGGGCAAGATGTAAATGGTGGCGGCAAAAACACCAGGTTGGCCCTCGCTGTTCCGTCATGATAATGCGTTAGCACAAGCCAAAAGTCAAAAATAATCAGCGGGTGAGCAAAACGGGCGCAAAAGGCTTCAGGCACGTGCTAGGCACAGAAGCCCCTCGAAGGCAGCCAGATACGCCTTGCTTACTGGTCCAATTGGTTTGTGAACAGTGTCAACTTACACGGGAAGCAACCGGTGCTTTTTATTCCATTGGAAAATGGTACCAGTCACATATACTTTTTCACCTCCACCGTTCCAGACAATCTTGGTGGGAACCACCCGCCCAGTCTTGTCCACGCGTAGCTCCTCGCCCTCATCATCTTCAACCGTGCCGTTGCTAAGCCCGGAGTTCTTTCTTGTTAACCCATCGGATGTCTCTCCCAGCTCGAGATCGGTGAGATTCTCATCGGGGCCGGCAATGGGCGATCCAGGTCGATGTATCTCCTCCTCGATAGGAAGCGGCAGGCGGGGCGGGCGCGACATGTACATGTCTGTAAGGCTGTTGTTGGAGAAGAGCTGGGCCTCGAGATACGGTGGCACAATGGGAATCTGAGGGCGCGCCACGGATGCGTCGATGGGAACAGCGACAGGCTTAGAAGGTTCGTCGCGGATAATGGGCCGTGGTGAGGACGGCTTGGGGCTGCCCGCGACAACGGCGGCAGTGACGGCGGCAGCGGCGTTGGCGACGGTGGAGACGGTGCTGCTATGCGGCGAGCCGCTGAGGGAAGACACGGCAGTGGCGGGCACGCTCTTGTTCTTGGGCACGGAGGCGGCGATGGAGCCCTGGGCCTGGAGCGTGGACGACTCCGGGGCGGCGGCGGCGCGGTGGATGGGGATGATGTTGCGCGAACCGTCCTTGCGATGGTGATGGCGAGGGGACTCGACGCCTGACTGGGCCTGCGGCGGCGTCGACCCAGGCCCGCCCGCCTTGTTGGACGCCGAATGGTTGTTACCCATGGCTCGGGAGCCCGACCAGGGGTGGCCGCAGGGAGATGGAAGCGAGCCGAGAAGGCGATGAGAAAAACCCAACAATCCCAGACCCGGACAAGCAGCGAGGATGGGCTGCTAGCGGGAGCAAAGGAGGGTTGCAGAGGCGACCGGTTGGCGGCTTGTCGTTGCACAAGGCGCTCTCACTCGGAGCTGGCGAGCCAGGGCTGGGGCGGCAGATGGGGGGTGAGGTCTCGCGTGACGATGCTGGGACGAACGTGGTTGGATTGCGGCGTGCTGAGAGGATGAAGTGGCGGTGGGGGTTTGTGCCTTGGGAAACCGGGAGGGATCTCGATGCGGGTGTGTCGTCGGCCTTGGCTCTGTTCTCGATCTGGAGCTGCGTCTAGAGAGGATTGCGGATCAGGTGAGAGACCTGTGATGTGTGTTTGACAGGTTGGGGGCCGCGAGATGCGCGAGGATGAAAGTGGTGATGCTAGCGGTTCTGCCTCCTAGCAGCGGTAATATCTCACAAGACGATTTGCCGACGCCAGATCGAATGTGCCCAGTAGCGCAGAACGCCAGTCAAGCGTAAATCAGTCTACTAGCCAATGGCCAATTCCAGGTCCCCGTCTGAGTGGACTCTGGGAATTAAAGCAAACACTCAAAAAGAATGTCACAAGAGGGGCCTTGTCTTCCGGCAATCTGCTCCCTTGCCCCAGGGCTTCAGGGCTCCTCTTGCGGACGGCGTCTGCAGGCCTGTTCAGTGCCTACAGCGAAAACGGGATGCTCGTGGGGGACTCGCGCTGTAACTTTCGGGCTTCAGCTGTCGTGTCGTCTCGCCTGAGCCGTGACAGCCCGTGGTCGTGCAGGACAGACGATCGTGGGTTGGAGGAGCTGGCCAGTAGGATTTCGGCCATGGTTTTTCGGGGTGGGGGAAGATGCAGCTGCAGTCACGCGGGGCTTGCGGAGCGATATAGAGGCGGTACGTACCCGCTTGGAGCAACCTCAAGGCTGTGGCTTCAAGCTCTTTATCTCGCGCTAGCATGTACTGCACGCCGCTATCAAAGTATAGAGTACACAGAGCTTACGCCAAAAGTAGTAGCATGTAATAGAGTTTTCTGTACCCAGATTATAGAGCGAGCTACCTGTCTGAGACATTTCGGGTGTGTTACGGCGCTAAATGACTACTTATACGAAAACGGCCATGAACAGGATCACATCGGGGGACCTTTTGGGTGGAATTTCACACGGCACTTGGCTCTGCCGACTTACAACAGCATTGTGGAGAGGCTTTTTATAGGCAGCGTGTTTCTATTCGATAAGAAGTGATAGGCACTTTTGCTCTTGTAATAAACATTTCTTCTCCCTCTCGAGAGCAATAAAAGAAAGAAAAATCTCCAGCCAGCTCTGTTCCTTTACGAGCCGGTACAGCGACAACAACACCTCTCATCGAAATTATCCCACCTTCTTTTCCTCCAACGCAAGCAAATAAAGTATAGTTTTCGCTGCATTTTGTGTCCGAAAAAAGAAGCAGGCTATGATTTCTTTGCACCAAAACTATGTAGACGTTGCGTTTGAAGAATAAGGCCTTTTCGCTGTGGTCTACTAACAGATTCAAACCAAGTCAGCTTTCCAAGTCAGCTTCAACTGCTTCAGGAGTTGTCACCAGCATCATGACGTAGGATGATACTTACTCTTATTGACTTATTAAGGCTTTATTTCGACGCCGGGAAGATGTGCATGAAGTGATTCATGATCACAGTCTTGCCATCTTGGCGTACTTGTGTCGAAACTGCATCCCAACTACGCGAATTTCCTCTCAGGGTAAAACACATATTGGTGATTAGAGCAGTATTTAAGAGGCAGGGGGGAAGTCGGATCAATCATATACGCCGTAGGTTCCAGTGAGAGCAGGTCGAACCATTATTTCTTTCTGACTTTGGTGGAGAGTGGGCCATACACCGAGTGCAAGACCAAGCGGTGGTTGAAGGAAACCGAAAGATTTCGAAATTTTGCGTTGTTGAGCATCGTGTGGACTTCAAAGCCTTGGTATCAGTGGATATACAAATGAATAAGTGTTAGCTGCGGTCTTGACACTGACTTCTTTGATTCAGAAGTGCTCCAAAGAGGTTATCATGCGAGGATACCTAGCAAGCGAAGAGTTCAAAGGATAAAGTTGAATGCAAAGAAGCAAGATGCAGCATAAATAGAGACGCATTGATGCCTGAGGAGAGATGTGTTGTTCGAGTTACTTGGAGGAAGGTGCGTTCATGCCTACTACACACTTCATCCAATCCTTGGCACCACAAATGAAACCTGACCAAAAAATAAATCTTCCTGGCATCGTTATATTGCAAACTCTGTTTTAGCATATAATTGACAATTTCATTGTAAAACAGTATTGTGTTGTGTCTCTACACGAACTCGAACTTCAAGGTGCCATATAGGAAGCAATTTATAATACAAAATTTGTTGTACTAAGTGGCATGAAGCCTCAAGTCGTTATGATAGAACCACATTTCCACCATATATAACCAATAAATACCCAGTGGATATTGAATCTCTCATTTAAATATATACAACTAATACATGCGTTTGCAAAATACTAGAAACCAAAACTTGCGAAAATCATGCCATCTCCTCCTCCAGGTTAAGCCCCGCCACATCCCACCAGCCACGCCCAAGTACGTACCGCCATACCTCTTCATCTCCCTTTCGTCAACGCTACAAACATCTCACATGCCATCACCTTCAAAACCTCCAAATCAACCCCCCCTTCCATATGCATCTCAGTAAACACCACCAGCCTTTCGAAAAATGAACCTCTCGGCCGTACTCGATGGCCTCCGCGCCGGCCTCTACTACGCTTCTTTCATCGGCCGCATCCTTGCTTTCCCTTTCCGACTCGCCTATGTCCCGATATCCTACCTCCTGAGCGCCTTGAGGGTTGTGTTTGCGCCGGCGATTTACTTGTTCTCGTATATCACAGGCTGGTGCCGTGGCGTCATTGATTTCATCGCATCTCTTCAGGTATGTTTTTTTTTCAGCAGAAAAAGCAAAATGGCTCAATCGTATTATGCGCAATTTGGACTGCATCATTTCGACGTGTTAGTGAGAGTGGATACTAACATCATCTTCTTACCTATGTAACATATAGCCGCTATACACCTTTGTGAGTTTTTCAATCCCTTTCCCGGCGAATGTGATTGGTAGCTAATCATCCTTACAGCTCGGCACCGCCGCAGCAGTCGGCATCTTCGCCGGCTTCACCCTGGCCACCTCGTCAACAGTCATCACCTCATATCTTGGCATGCAGGACGGTGTCAACAGCAGCTCTGAAGGAACTCACTCTCGCGCTTCTCATACAAAAAAGTCTCTGCCGCCATTTTCGTCCGACCCCCTCATCAAAGATGATTCATCCTCTAATGACGGAGAGTGGTATTGGCCTGATCCTAATCCCTCCTCACGGCGCCGCCCTGCAACTGGGCTCCTGTCACAGACAATTCTCGAAGAAGAGGACGATTCTGAATTATAGATTTCCCCTTCCTTCTTCTCTTTCCTATGAATCTACCCTAGCTACCTGGTCACTTTATGCTGCTATTCGGGCGTTCATCAAGCGGTTTGGTTTTGTACTTTTCCATTATATATATATACATATATATATATATATATGTTGTGTGCTATTGCATTCTCTATAATGATGGAGACGCTTTCCGTTTCAATCTTCGCTGCTGCGAGCAGGCAACAACGCTCTAAGTCCGTTACACCTTTCCAATTCTTTATTCTGTTGCCTCCAACGCCTGTCCAAACCCGTGCAAAAGGTGTGGAAGAAAAAGTGTTTCCTAGGGATATCATAAAATAAGTATACAAAGGGGCGCGCGCAAGGGTGTATGCCAACTCCATCTACCGTTATTAAACGACAATACATATGGCTCACATCATAGCGTGTATGGTAATGTTGATGTTGACCAATTTGGTTTCTTCTTCTTCTTCAAAACATGTCGCATTTATCGTCGATAAATCTCTCGTTCGCGAGTCCTATCGTGCATGGGCGAGCGGCTCCGACTCCTCGTCCGGCGATCTCTATCGTACCGTCGTCCACTGTCCTTGCTGGTAGGACGTCGACGATCATCCCGTGGCCGGTCATCATCCCTGCGTCGGTTATTTCCACCTTCTTCTCGTCCATAGCTTGGGATATATGTATCAATATCCGGCCCACGGTTTGGCGCGCGATTACGGGGCGGCCGATCCCGATCCCGATGGTCAGCGTCGTCCCAATTTTGAGTTCGGTCTTGGGGAGGTCGTGATGCAGGGCCGCGTTCTCGGTCTCTCTGCCAAGCCGGCCGCCTTTCATCCGGACCGCCTCTGAATCGTCCTCCATTGGCGCCGTTTCGGCTGCCATACCCGTCACTGCTGTTGAAGCCTGCAGTCGCTCCGTTGGCATCAGGTCCCAGGCCGACCGTTCCTCCCTTGGGTGCAGGCGGCAGGGCAGCCTTGCGGTCGTGAAACTTTCTTCGATCCAGCTCATGACTTTCTTCGTATGTGGGAAGCTGATGTGGTTCCATGGGTAGGGGCTCTTTCTTAAAGTACGGGTGCTGTAACGCATCTACGGCATTTATCCGTGTCCTCCAATCCAGCTTCAATAAATCTTTCAGCAGAGAAATTGCTCCGGAGCCGTATCTGTGAAAAGAATTTAGGGTTAGCAATTTGTAGACTTTGGATCAAGCAAACAGTATTGGGCAGGCGTACTCCCTGAAGCGGCTCTGAAGGTTTCCAGGTCGTGATCTGGGAGATAAATGGTCGCTTCCGGGCAGATTCTTCCACCCTGGCATGTTTTCATCACTGGGCGAACCCATGAGATCCCAGATAAGATCAAGTTGATGGGCATCGCTCTCGCCGGCAAGGATGGGCTTGCCGTATAACATCTCTCCAAAGACACAGCTACCAGGTATTAGTTTCACTGGAAATCTCAAAGCAAAAGCATAGGAGTGTGTCATCTTACCCAACTCCCCACACGTCAATAGCGGTGGTATATTGCCTTAGCTGCAGCAGAAGCTCGGGGGGCCGGTACCATCTCGTAACGACCAACCCAGTGTAGTCTCGTCGGCCATCTCCAACAGCGTGGCCAGCTCTTGGCGTTGGCCCGTCGTAGTGGCGTGCGAGACCGAAATCGGCAATCTGGAGGATGCCCTTGTTGTTGATGAGAAGATTGGCAGCCTTCATATCTCGGTGGAGGACGTGATTCTCGTGAAGATAGCGCAGACCCTGGAGCAGCTGGAGCATGTAACATTTGATTTGAGCTTCTTTAAAGTGAACAGATGGGTTATCGAGGAGGCCAGAGAGATCGTGATCCATGTATGGCGTCACCATGTACATGATGGGTTTCTTGCGTTTGTCGGCTGAGGTTGGCCTGGTCAGCGGATCGGGACAACGCATGGCTCGACTTTGATTAAAGGACAAGAGTAGAAAAGAAATTACTCACTCGCCCTCGTGGGATGTTCTACGGCCATATCTTCCAGTCGTAGGATATTTGGGTGGGACAGCAGCTTGAGAAGCTTAATTTCTCGCAGAGCGGTGATGGGAAACTGAAGCCAGTTAGAAGAGAGAAAGCGATTCCAGAGAAGCTGATGTCGCCACGTACGCCATCCTTTTCGTGATGCATTATAATCTTCTTCAAGGCGACAAGTGCGCCTGTTTTGCGTGATCGAGCGCGGTGAACCTCACTATGGTACAATCGTTTGCGTTAGCCTCGCTTTTGGGGACGTTGAGTCAAGATGCGGAACAAAGGGCCAGTCATACCCAAAAGTACCCTCGCCCAATTTCCCTTGCAGCTCATAATCGGATATCCGCGAACAGCCTTGGAAGCTGGACTTTGGCCTGACGTGGTTGATGGCGAATGTTCTTGGCGAGGAGCCATCGGGGGCTGCGTCGGACGGTCGATCCATGACGCGCGCCGGGTCGATTGAGTCGCCGAGGGCTCAAAGCGCAAGTTCGGCAGGGTCAAGGACGGCGGCGATGATGAAAGAGTTGGGAACGCAGCAAGGCGACTCTTGTTTCGAGTGAATGGAACGCGTTTTACGAAGCAGCTGCGGCGGGATGGGCGCGCATCGTTTTCCTCTGAAGCCTTTAAAACCCCCCGCAAAGGCGTTCTCGAGGAGGTCGCTGACGGGATGGTAGCGCAATGGAAAAATCCCCGGCAGCAAAAGTGCAGAGCAGTTGGTTGCAGCCGTTGTGAGGGAATCGAGAAATAATATTGCTGATAATGCGAGGTTTGGCAAGGTGAGTGTTGCAGAGGTGAAGCTGGGAGACAAATCGCAAAGGGGAAAAAAAAAAGGTTTGGCTTCCTATCGCTGGAGTTGGCGCTGAGCACAAAGTTCAGAGATGGGAAGATGGCGGTTGAGCGTTTGCGCTTATCCTAATCGAACATTGGAAAAGCGGTCGGTGGAGCTGTACCTGGATTGTACTTACGAGGATGGCCGGTGGCTGCGGGAGGGTGCATGTGTCTAGGGGGTACTGGACTTGTGTGGCAGATGCTACCTGAATATCGCCGTATCATTACACAAAGGGCTATGTATGATATTATATCGAGTTTATATACATATTTTATCGTTATAATTCAAACATCCGATTCTAAAAGGCTTGCTTGTATAGTGTCAACGACGGCGTTGGCAACACACTCTGCAGGACATCATGACATTCCAAATCCGTCATCTCTCAACCCTCTTTTAGGAGCCGATCACTCAATGTAGGTGCACCAAGTAGGCACCAAAAGCAGGCCTCATTCTGCTGCATCTGGCTCCAGCGTGACGTATGCATCGAGGCCGCGGAATGGCAAGGTCCCGTCCCTGCGGCCAGCCAGTCATGTGCGCCGCCATAATCGCTGTGCATCGCCTACTGCACCTCTAGAAGGGTCTGGAGCGGTCCCAGATTCGGACGCTGGCCTGCTGATGCTGATGCTACCACTACCGAGATGCCACTGCTAAACAGCATTAGCGCTCCCCCAGATCTGGGCGAAGGAAAAGGCAGAACGAGATTCAAATGGCCGTTAGTGATACGGAGCGAAGCCGGAGCCGCCTCTCTTAGTGCCCTGCTGAGTGTATTGAGAGTTTGCCCAAGTACAGTTCGGTACAGTACCAATTGGTAGGCGGTTCCTTGTATGGCTGCGCTACCCATCATCAACCCGCCGTTTTCAGCATACAAGACGACATATACAAATTCTCATCTACTCCCTTCTCTACATTTTTTACATCCTGTGCTCAATTAATCTCCTATGTGATCATCGGTAAATGTAAATTGCAAGGGCATGCCAAAATAAGTAAAAGCAAAAATTAACAGATAATAAACCGGCCATGCAGTCCGATGTCGACGTTTTTTTTATATTTCTATTACCCCTTCGTATCCACTCCGTTCCGCCTCTATTATCGCCCCGTGCTTGAACTTTTTCTCTTCGGCCAGCAGATGCGTTACGCAAGGTCCCCCGACACTTCCTGTGACTGAAATCTCCTTCTCCTCTTTCTTCTTCTCCCATTTGGAAAAATATATATATTACAGTCTTCTCCTCCCGATGACGAAGTTCTGTTGCATCACCTCCCATCTATAACACGGCCCGGCTGGACCACTTTTCCCAGCGTCGTATAAACCCACCCACTTCAACAGTCTTTTTTTTCCTTATCTGGGGTATACAAGGGTACTTTGTCTTTCAGCCAGCCAAAAGTCTGATAAGACCCCCGAGAACTTCAACAGCTGAACAAACAAAGCTCCCTTTCTTGCTTTCTTACTCCCAAATTTCTTCTTCCGACCCATTTCTTTTGTTGTTGAAGGTCTACTTTTCAATTTTCTCTTAATAACAAAAACTCATTCATGCTCATGTCTCCCGCCGCCGTGTCGACGGATCTGCCTCCGGTCAACGCTGGCCTCCCCGAGTCCCGCGTCCTCATCATCGGCACCGGAGGCACGATATGCATGCAAGAAGGGCCCGATGGTCTTGCGCCCAGCGATGGCTTTCTAGAGAGCGCCATGGCCCCGAGGACGGTGTTTAATGACAATTCGGAGCCAAGTGGTGAGTATTTACATCCTGTATATCACATAAGACTTATACTTTCTCACATGAGAGTCTCACTCACATGAATCTCACACATCACAACTTATAAGACGTAGCTAACATGTAAAAGTCAAACTCCAAGCCCGCCGCAACGGCCACCTCGTCCAGCTCGACTCCCTGCGAACCCCTCCAACCGCCTACCACCGCCACATCCGCTACTCCGTCATGGAATTCGACCCCCTCCTCGACTCGAGCAACATCTCCGCCGCCGACTGGGCCTCCATGGCCACCGCCGTCCAGGAAAACTACCACCTCTTCGACGGCTTCGTCATCCTCCACGGCACAGACTCGCTCGCCTACACGGCGTCCGCCCTGTCCTTTATGCTGGCCAACCTGGGCAAGCCCGTCATCCTCACGGGCTCGCAGGCGCCCATCTTTGCGCTGCAGTCCGACGCCGTCGACAACCTGCTCGGCTCGCTCATCATCGCGGGCACCTTTGTCATTCCCGAAGTCTGCCTCTTCTTCCGCGACAAGCTGTACCGCGGCAACCGCACCACAAAGGTCTCGGCCACCTCCTTCGAGGCCTTTGCCAGCCCCAACTGCGAGCCCCTGGCCAAGGTAAACGGCCTCGGCATCAGCGTCAACTGGCCGCTGGTCCTCCGCCCAACCACAATTGCCGAGTTTAAAGTCTTCAAGCACCTCGACACCACGCACGTCGCCTGCCTGCGCGTCTTCCCCGGCATCAAGCCCGAAATGGTCGACGCCGTGCTCCACCTGCCCGACCTCCGGGGCATCATCCTCGAGACTTTCGGCATGGGCAACATCCCCGGCGGCGCCGACGGCCGCCTCCCGGAAGTCATCCGCTCCGCCGTCGAGCGCGGCATCATCGTTGTCAACGTCAGCCAGTGCGTCAACGGCTTCGTCTCGCCCGTCTACGCCCCCGGCACCAAGCTGGGCCGCCTGGGCGTCATCTTCGGCCTCGACCTCACCGCCGAGGCCGCCCTTGCCAAGCTGTCGCACCTCATCGCCCTGCCCGACCTCTCGCAAAAGGACATTGTCAGCCACTTCTCGCGCTCCCTGCGCGGCGAGATGACCGAGATTGCGCACCAGAGCTTCTCCCACCCGACGAACCCCGTCGACTACAGCTCTCGCCTCACCCCGATGGAGTCTGCCTTCACGGCCCTCGGCTATGCCATCCAAAACGGCGAGATCCAAGTCGTCAAGGATCTGCTTGACGGCGACGGCAACCAGCTGCTCAAGACGGCCGACTACGCAGGAAACACCGCCGTCCATCTCGCCGCCGTGTCGGGCAACTCCGAAATCATGCTCGAGCTCCTCAAGCGCGGCGCCAGCGTGCACCAGCGCAACAGGGCAGACAACTCGCCCCTATTCCTGGCCACGCTATCGGGAAAAGACGACTGCGCCAAGCTTCTCAAGACGGCGGGCGCCCATCTTTCCGTCGAGGAGATTGAGAGAGGGCCCTTGGCAAAGTATCGTCGAGAGATGCCGGCAAATGAGAGGGAGCCCTACTCGATTTCATTTGCTTGAGCAACTAAGCCCCAACTCACATGAGAAGAACAAAAAGCGAATTATAGGGGTGAAAAGGCTCAACAAGCTCCAGACATGTTGAAATTGCTACTGGCTTAGCAGGCCTGATAACGCCCTGAGTGTTTTGATGACAGAATATGATAAAAATAACATAAAACAATGAACATAAGAAGAGGATGATAAAAAGGAGGCTTGACTTATGACATCGAACGAGCGCGATTTAGCGTATGCATCTCAGTTCAACTAATCAACTCACTGAGAGAAAAAAGAACAAGATAAACTGAGAGGAATTTCCTAAGGGTTGGCAATCGGCAGGTTAGAGGGATTGATCAAGTAAATAATACTTGGGAGGACAAGAGTACCTTGAAACAATACTCAACGGGGCGTATATTTCTGGGTGCCAAATTATATTCTATCCTATACAGTCACGCAACCAAGAGATTGATATCAATCTCCAACTTGCTACTTGATTAGATAATAATACAATAGCTGTGCTACAGACCTTGAGAACAACAGATAACCGTCAGAGCCATTGCTAGAGACCACTTCAATCCAAGTATGCTCTTTGTATTGATATTGTATCAAAACAATTGTAATTCCACAATTCATCTGCATCATGCGTCGCCACATGCATTCCTGAAACGAGAGGAGGAAGAGGTTAATAAAATCTCATCATATATAAAAAAAGGAAAACGACCATCGCCTCAAAACAAGACATGAATCACCTTGATGTGATTGATGGGTATGATATGAAACTGGATATACCAGAGACTCCTAGAGCCGTTCCGTAAGTCTCTTCACACAGCTGCGTGTCCTCGACACGAATGTAGCTTGGATACTGTTGCGCTTAACGAAGGAAAAGGTCCCCAACGCCGTTTCTCAAGGCCCTTGTTCTATCCGGATGATCGAAGCCAAGGTAGTCATCCTCGGATGAGGCTATGTTCCATAACTCGTCGTCTACCATTGTATTATATCGTTAGTTGGTTTCCCCAATATTTTCTTCGTCGGAATAGTGCACACGAACCATCATTAAGATACTGTGGTTTTGAGTAGTTTGCTCGTCTGGCAATAGCAAACTTGATCTTTTCGAAGCTCTTGCCTTTGATTCCGGTTCTCCTCTCCAGTCTCTTCTTCGTATCGGCGAATTTCTCGCCCTAGTCAAAGCATTAGTAAACATGAAGAGTCGAGAGTAGCATAGTGTACTATTAAACGGCAAAAAGGTGGATGCTTACCTCAAGGAGAAGGAACTTGAAAGGAACACCGTGTACTCTGTTGACTTCGTTTTGGAAATGGAAAACGTGAATGAAGTTGTTATCCTCGGCTGTTCTCTCCTCCTCCGGAACTCTTTCAGCAAAG